CAGCAGCTGATTTTCAATTTTTTTTTATTGTTGGACCCACCAGCCCACATTGCCCAATGATTACAAGCCATGTGGCTTCTTCTAGAGCCTCCGATCAAAAAATCTTGCATAATCCAACGGTTGTCCAATTTTTAGCTAAAAAAAATTGAAAAAAATATAAAAAAATTTTAAAAAAAATATCAAAAAATTATGGAAATTTTTTCTATACATACCTACCAATATTATTCACTTTCCACACCAATTTAATTTCAAAATTTTATCCAAAAATGTTATCTTGATTTTTAGGTGAGGATTTTACGATAAATATTAACACTTGGGAATTGAAAATCTTATCCGAAAAGCTTTTCAAAATCAATGGTTTAAGAATAAAAAATAAAAAATAAATTTAAGTGAATAGTAATTGCCTTAGACTTGCTCTAGACTTAGCCCTCATGGGTGGAACCACAAATGGCAAGGCTAACACTATTCACGTGAATAGTGGCAGCCCTTTCTTGCCCTTACCCTAGACTTAGCCCTTGTGGGTGGAGATGCTCTAATAGCACAATATACCGTAACTCATTGAGTTAGAGGAAGAAGACTGCAGATGCTTCCTATAAAAATAAAAATTAAAAACTGCACTTAATTGAAGATAATGAAATGTCTATAAATTGTAAACTTAGGAAAACACGATGACCAATTTCGCTACATTTTTTTCTCAGCGACCAAATTAAATTTTTATGTAAAACCAAATTATAACAAAAGTATTTTACCCAAAAAAATTACCTTCCTATCCTAATTTTTGGTAAACTGATCAATTCATTGAAGCCAAAAGACAAGCCAGCAAAGCAACTACAAGATAAAGCAGGGCGCATACAAGCAACCCAGGATCTACGAAAACTAAATCCTATCCTATCCTAGCCCGTTTGCCGTCCTTAAAAGAGTTGAGATTTTGACTTAATTTTCTTGGCAACGTCTATGGTACACAGGTGTACCGATACACCATATGTTTTATGACACATGCTAATTGAGTGTTTTTATATTAAAAAAGTTACCGACTATAGCAAGTTAAGGTACTGGGGGATTTTAACGTTACCTAAAACATATTCAACATTTTTTGAAAACTTGAATGCAATTAGTACCTATCAATTTGCCAGTTAGGCATTACCTAGAACATGTTCAACATTTTTTGAAAACTTGGTATGTTCTAGATCCTTATGCCAATCAAAGGGTGGATTACTCCCAAACATTGCAATATTAATCGTTGTTCTAGTAAACTCATGTGTTTACTTGAAATAGGATTTCATTTACATTTTTAAGGTCTACCTTTCCAATTCATTGTAATTGCGATCATTAGAAGCATAATTTACGGATTACCATATTATGAATTAGGGTAAACCATATGCATAAACATGTAAATGCGGATATAAATCTTGTAATTTATAAGATTTAGGATCTAGTTTACAACGTTATGGTGTACCTTTAGTTCCCCAATATTGTAACATTAGTCTTTATTGTAGTAAACACAGGTGTTTACTTGAAATAGGACCCCATTTACATTATTAACGTTCACCAATTCCAATTACTCGTAATGGGATCCTTACAAGCATAAATAGGGAATTACAATAATATAGATTAGGGTTGACCATGATATGGTAAACCATATGCATAAACATGTTAATGTGGACATAAATCTTGTAATTTATAAGATTTAGGATCAGGTTTACAACGTTATGGTACCTTAGTTCCACAACATTGTAATATTAGTCCTTATTGTAATAAACACAGGAGTTTATTTGAAATAGGACCTCATTAACATTGTTAACGTTCAACAATTCCAAATACTCATAATGGGATCCTTACAAGCATAAATAGGGAATTACAATAGTATGGATTATGGCTGACAATGATATGGTAAACCATATGCATAAACATGTAAATGGGCACATAAATCTTGTAATTTATAATATTTAGAATCTAATTAAGAACGTAATGGTACCCTAGTGTCCCCAACATTGTAATATTAGCCTTATAATTATTGTTGTAAAATCTTATAATAATAACCGCCCATTTGATAGCCAGTAATTGACCAAAAGGTAGCCAGCGATTGCCACCTCGAGAAACGGTAATCATAGTTTTAAAATGCAATTGATTCCCGTATCCAATTAGGCACCACCGGCTTGGAAATAGAAAAAAAAATTATTTAGATAAACTTGTGGATCCAAGTGATTAGTGGCGGATCTATAGAGGAGTAAGGAGATGCAACTGCACCTCCCTTATGTGGACGCATAATCGCAAGGAGGTCCTCTTTTATACGTGTATACATAGTATAGCCGTACGGCTATACTCCGTTGTTATGATTTTTTTGGTCAACATAGTATAGCCGGGCGGCTGTACTCGGTTTTTTTTGTTCTCAAAATAGTAGCTGCTTTCTAAAAAATAAAATAGTATAGCCGAGTGGCTATACTAATCCTAAGACGCGGGCACCTCATCAAAAGAGGTCCCTTTTTTACGTGTAAAGTATACCCGCACGGGGGTACTCCTTTTTTTAAAAGTAAGAAGAAAACCTCTCCCGATGAAATATCATCGGCAGAAGTCTATGCTGGTAAAATTTGCCGGATTAGATATCTCCCAACGAAATTTTGTCGAGAAGGTCTAATTTGGTATATTTCGCCGGGATAGACATATGCCAACGAACTTTCGTCGGAACAGGTTTTTTTATAAATTTTTTTAAAAAATTATAAACTTAGTATGTTTAGGTTCATTTCTTTTTAAAAATTTTATTTTTAGTAATTAAGTATTATCTTTGGCTTATTTTAATTATTATTTATTTAGTGAATAATTAGTATCTTTACACCCGTACAAAGAATTTAGCACTTTCATGTTTAATACATGTATTTTTAACAAAAGTTTCAATAAGACACACAAAATTAATGTATTATATAAATAATTCTCACATATTACTGAATAAAAATAATATATATTAAAATATTATATAGTGACCTAACTTTTAAGTTGTAAAAAGGTCCTCTTTTTATTATTATTTTTATAAAACGAGTATAGCCGGGCGGCTGTACTTGTAATTTTTTTTTATAAGTATCGCCGGTCGGCTATACTTATGTTGACGTGTGGGCGCATAATCGAAGGTGGTCCTCTTTTTTACGTGTATAAATGGTATAGCCGCACGGCTATACTCCGTTTTTATTTTTTTGGTAAAAACAGTATAGCCGCCCGGCTGTACTGGGTTTTTATTTTCATTTCTTCTAAAAATAGCATAGCCGGTCGGCTATACTCGCTCTTTTTCTAAAAAAAATTTAAAATAGTATATCCTTGCGGCTATACCTATTTTGACACATGGGCACCAAATCAAAAGCGGTCCCTTTTTTTACGTGTATAAATAGTATAGCCGCACAAATACGCCGTTTTTCTAATTTTGTTGGTACAGATAGTATAGCCCGTCGGCTGTACTCGGTTTTTATTGTTTTTTTTTCTTCTCAAAATAGTAATATTATGCATGGAAAGATATGTTGGAAAACATTAAATATAATATAATTGATGATTTTGCTTCTAAAACTGCAACAAGAAGACATTTTAATGATCTTTTGTGATTGGGATTTCATGCTATTTTTATTTTGTAGGTGCATGTGAAAGTGAAGCATCGGGACACATGCAAGTTAATTTGTTATTGAATATAATGTTTTCAATGGTGTACTTTTTTTCCTTCGTCTAAGGTTTTGTTCCCTTTGGGTTTTCCTAAAAAAAAATTTAATGAGGCCCAAAGTATTATATATTATCGGTTTTTGTACTCTTATAATTTTAAGAAAATTTATTATTTGATAAAAAATTGTAATTATATTTATTTATTTATTTATAAAGGACACATTCTTGGAGGGTTTATTCAATTAGGATTTTAAAAGACTATTTTGGGATAAATAAGTCTTGTGGTATTCAATTAAGACTTTTAAATAATCTAAACAAGTCTTTTGGTATTCAATCAGGACTATTAGGATATTTTGAAGAGGGAGTCCAAATCTAGTGGTATTCAATCAAGATTTTAAACAAGTAACAAAAAGTCTTTTGGTATTAAAAAACTTGCTAATTTGATGGATTTTTTTTTAATGTGGAAATTGTGTGACATTTTAGTGGGAGGTATAAATACCAAACCCTATAAAAAAATCTCACCCTAACCCATCAGACTTTTCACGTGAGATTTTTTTTGTCTGCTAGAGAAGATGAACAGCTCTTCATGAAGTTGAACAGCTCTTTCGTGAACAAGGTATTGCTTCATTCTCACGTAAACAGCTCTTTATTTGCAATATGCCATGTTATCTGTATATGGTATGTGTCTGTGTGTTTGTATATGGTCTTTGTGGGTTTGCAATATGGTCTGTGGCCTGTGTTTGTATATGACCTGTGTTTGTACATCTCGCTTGTTATCTGTATACAGACCATATTATCTGTATATTTGCTATATGCCATGTTTTTCTATATGGTCTGTGTCTGTGGCCTGTATTTGTATATGGTCAGTGTCTTCGTGGGTTTGCAATATGGTCTGTGGCTTGTGTTTGTACATCTCGCTTGTGTCCATTAATTGGTATGTGCAATATGCCATGTTTTTGTATAGGCTTGTGTCCATTGGTCTGTGCAATATACCAATTTTTGAAACTTCCTTGTGTTCACCACTAGTTTTTATGCATAGCTTCGAATTATTTGTACTATATTCTTGATAAAGAACAAGTTACACTACAAGAAAGCTTACACATGTATTGCATACTCCTTAACCCGCAAGGCATATTTTTCAAGTCTAGAATTTGTATAATTTTGTGCGGTGTCAAATGGAAAAGAACTTTTCAACGTAGCAATTAGTACTTGGTCGAGTGGTATATCTTTTTTCAACGTTCAAAGGAATTTGATTAAACTATTTTGGCTGTACTTTTCTTTTATTTTATTTTATTATTTGGTATGATACGTATTCTTGTGAAATAACTAATAAATTTCTTACATATGTTGTAGTAGTGATTTAAATGGGGGATTCACAACAAGGAAATAACAAAGGAAAGAGCAAAGAGAAAGAGAACTATGAATCTTGGACCATGGACGATACCAATGAGTTGTTGCACCTCTTGGTGGATGCTATCAATAGTGGTTTGCGTGATGCTAATGGGTCACTTAGCAAGCAAAATGTAGAAAGAGTGATACTTCCTCGTCTTAATGCGAAAATTAGGTTCCCTAAAACTTATAATAATTATTTGAGCCGAATGAAGTGGTTTAAGAAGCAATATAACAAGATGTACGTCTACCCTTATGCGTAACAACTCTTGCTTTGGGTGGGACCCAATTGCAAAGACGTTCACTGCTAGTGATGAAGTATAGAAAGATTACTTGAAGGTGAGCTTTTAGTTCATAATCTTTTAAATATATTAATAGCTATTAGTTTAGTACAATATATTATTTGCAATATATTAACAATGAATAATTTGTCATTTGCTAGTCCCACCCAAGTCATAGTAAACTTCAAGAAGAGAGTGTTGTTGATTATGAGGATTTGAAGATTGTCGTTGGAGGTGGAACTGCAACTGGGAATGGCTCCATTGCCTTGGGCGCTAATGATACCGATGCAACAACTTATAGGGAAGAAAATAGAGATTTTGTGATGGAAGACTTTTCATATGATCGTAACAATGATGCATTCATAGCACCAAATCACTATGAACCATCCTACTAGCCTCCACCACCCCCACCAATGTAGTCCATCATCTCATTCCCTTTTAGGTTCGGAGGTTCCCACCGAAAAATCAAGTAGCAATAAGCGAAGTAGATCCGAGTATGAAGTGAGTTCTAGCTCAGTTGGGACCAACAATCAAGCCAAAGTTATAGAAAATTTTTCTATTGGCATTGAGACTATTTCTGCCAATTTTTTAAAAATATATAACCTAATGGAGAAAGACACAGAGATAGGGATATTTGGGATGCTATAAAAGAGATACCAAATTTGGATGACAATACTCGTTACATGGCAGGTGAATTGCTTAGTAATAAGGCAAAGAAGGACTTGTTCTTGAAGATGTCATTGGAAGAGCGCTCATCTTGGATAAAATTCAAGTTAGGATGATTTTAGTACTTTGATCATCTTGGGTTTTTCTGAACTATATTTTAGTTTGTGCTATTTTGCTTATACTTTGGTTGAACTATTTGAGTTATAATTTGGTTGAACTATTGTTATTGTAATTTGGTTAAACTATTTTGGCACTTTGGTTGAACTATTTGGGTTATAATTTGGTTGAACTATTGTTATTGTAATTTGGTTAAACTATTTTGGTACTTTGGTTGAACTATTTGGTACTTTGATTGAACTATTTGGGTTATAATTTGGTTGAACTATTGTGACAGCTGTTACTTTTTTATTTGGTTAAACTATTTTGACAGCAGCTTCACATACGTATTATACTGTTGGTAAACATTGACAGCTTACTTTTTTAAGCAATTATTATATTGTAATGTGTATGTAGGTGATGATGGTAGCGAATTCAGGACCCTAGGTAATGAAAACTCAACTTGTTAGTGTCATTTGCAAAAAAATTAGAAACAGAAAACAAAAAGGATCTAAACCACATAGTACTCTCAAGGCAAATAATTGTGGTACTATACCTTTAAGGAAGTACCATCGACAAGAAAACCATCAATATCTTCCTTCTTTGCAAGCTCAGCAGAATTGCCTCCATATACAGACCCTGAAATTGGATGCCAATTTATTAGTTACAATACTACCAGAGTAGAGAATATTCCTTCTTTCTTTGCTTTTACTTTTTTATGCCATCGATATCTTCCTTCTTTGCTTTTACTTTTTTATGCAATTATTATATTGTAATGTGTACTATTTTCTTCTTTTTATTGTTTTGCAATCTCATATATTTTTATATATACGCATAATGTCACAACCGAACATATATGAAGGTAATGACATAGAGGAAGAAGAAATTGATGATGAAGATATAGATAATGAAGAAATAGATGAAGAATTTTATGAAGCCATTTACAATTCAGTGATGGCAATTTATGCAATAATGCATGTGTTAAATCAATTTTTGAATATGATGTGTGGTGAATATATTGAATGTCCTTTAACTCGACGGCGAATTACTAGGAGTGGATATGACTATATACATCAAGCATTAAATGATGATCCTGCAATCTTCACAAGTATATAGAATGTATCCAAATGTATTCCGGAAGTTATGCACAATTCTTAGAGAAAAAACACTTTTGAAGGATACAAGATTTATTTGTGTCGAAGAAATGTTTGCAGCGTTCCTACAAATAGTTGGCCAAAATACTCGATATTATGTAATTCGTAATACATTTGGCCGATCACAATTCGCTGCTAGTGAAAATTTCCACAAGATTTTGAAGGCCTTGAATTGACTTTCATTGGATTTTTATTTATGGTTCCATTCCATTTAATCAATTGACTTTCAAAACAATGAGTACCCTGTTGAAAGGTATCCTAGTGGAATTGACAGAGGAGTTGAAGTAGTCGATGAGAAAGAGGAGGCAAGGGATCACGCTATGCAGTACCTCAAAAGAAAAGTTCCATTGTCTATTGAATTTGTATGCTTGTAGTTAGTACAATGCTTAGGTTATCTACAGATTATGCTGGTACTATTTATCAAATACTAGGCTTTGAGTTTGATGTACTAAAGTTGAATGTTACAATTTGAGACTATTTTTTTTTGTCGGGAAACAGCTACACTTTTCTGTGATTTATAGGACCGTTGGAAGTCAATTGGTTAAATGGAATGGAACCATAAAGTTGGTTGGTTAGAAACATAAAAGAAAAAAAATCATGTGGTCCTTTCAAATCTTATAAATTCTTATGATATAAATGTTTTAAAATTCAAACATAAAAAATCCTGATTATAAAAATCTTTTAAGTCATTACATTCCTCAATAGTCTTTTTAAATCAACTTGACTTATTTATCTACAAATAGTCTTTTAAAATCTCAATTGAATACACCCCCTTAGACTTTGGCCCTAAGCTTAAATCACCTAGGGCCAGCCCAACTCCGTAGAATTTTTCAATTTTCCAATTTTAAATGATCTATATCCTTCGGTGCATCCATAGACCGTAGAATTTTCCAATTTTCTTGAGGAAGTCTAGGTAATTGGGCTCAATTATATGCCAGTTCTTGCGGCCTAATCTGGCTAACTTTGTGGATCTGCCCCTTCTGGGTTGCATTTTATAGGACCAAGCAATATGAGATTTGGGGCTTGGGAGACTAGTTGATTATAAATCCTGTCTCTTAATCTTAAACGAGCTTCAAGCCTTCATCTTTTGCAAACTTTTTATTATTCATTCTATACTATATCTTCTAACCCATAGGGCATTAATTCGAGATTACGCTTTTCATTTTACAACGTCCTATCAGAAAATAAAAATGTTGCAATGGGTCCAATTCTTGCAAAACAGCTCACTTGAAGTTCCATAATGTCCTTTCTTTCAATTCTTGCAAAACAGCTTGAGCGGATTCTGATCAAGAATTTTGGCTCCAGCGGATTAGAAAAATGGCCATGTTGGTGTAGCTTCTTTTGTAGGCTATGTGACTTTTGGATGTGGGCTAATATCAACCACTCATTGGTGCCTTCTCCAATACACTTGCTTTGAACCTTATATGGCGAGAGTGATATTGGAGTTTAGTGTGGCCGTCATATCTACAAGAGAGAAAAGCTCTCTTTTGAGTTGGGAAAGGAAGATATCAGGGCTCTTTGCTTATGCTCCTAGTGTGGTGGTGCACCATATTTAGAAGAGAAATAAAGGAAGGGCAATCACCTATTTGAAGAGGAATCTCTTATCTGGCCTTGGTGGGTTGCAAGTGAGGTAAGCTTCTCTTTGTCTCGACAATATGTTGAGAGAGAATAATCAATTTGTGAGAAATCAAGGCTCTTTGTATTAGTGTATAGGTTGATGCAACTTTGTGTAAGAGTCTCTCTTCTTTGGCTTGTTGCACATCAGCTATATTTCTGGGTTGGTTCTCCTTTTTTGTTCCTTATGTTCGTAACTTCTATGTAATAGCTCTCTTTGTATCTCTTTTCTCTGTGAGCAAGAATTTGAGATCTGTTCTTGGCTCATATGTATCTGTATTATGAGTGTGAGTGATATGGTGTATTTGGGATTTGGGTTATGAGAGTTGATCTATGTAATCTCATGTTGTGGTGAGAGTGTTAACTCCTTTGTAATCTCCTTATGAACCTTTATGTGTTGTTTGGTTTATCTGCATATGTCATATCTTGTCTTTGTTAGTTTATCGATATCATATCGGCTGACTTGAAACACTTTCGCGTGCACAACAATTAGAATGTCAGCATTCAATCCAAAATCAATTGGCAATAGATCCAAGATCTTTTAAATACTAAGATAAAGATTCCATCATTCGATATAAAATACTCTCAACAGCTGTGACACCATCCAACACAACTGCAACCATATATATGCAGAATTTTTACAAAAAAAATTTAGCCTTTTGTAACAAAAAACAAATGCATAAGTATGACCACGCAAAGCAATCATTTTGTTTTTCTTCACCAGAATGTGAGCCAAAACAAGCTTTCTTAATTATTTAAGCTTTAAAATTCAAATTGGCCCCCTTATATATCCAGGTTTCCAGGTATTTGATTCTCTCCTTCATCCTCTGCAGCCAATATTCTTATATATTATTCGGCGGCCGTATATCTAGTGATGTGAAGTAAAATTCTAAGCAATCCCATTTACACACACCTGAAAAAAACTCTGGAATATTGGAGGGTTTTGGTTTTCACTTTTTCAGATTTTTTTTTCAAATTTTAAAAAAAAAATTAAATAAAAACCAAAAAAAAAAAAACAAGAAAAAAAAAACATAATAATATTAAAATTATTACACTGATCACTTCATTCACTCTCAGGTGCAAGTGATCAAAAAGTCAAAATTTAATACATGCATGTAGTTAAATGCAACCTGATATAACTAAGGAAGGTTCCAAGAAAGATTAATTTGAGACATAATCTTTCGTGCACCTTTTGCAATTCTCGAATCAGAACATTGACAAATACATATCAATCTTCATGATTAATTGTTCCTTAATTTGGTTTAGGGGTCTTGAAAATGAAATCTTGTGATCAGGTGCGTCCACTGATGTCGTTGGGATCAGCCGTCACTGGCAACTCAAGGTTATTGCTTTTCTCGTCTTTCAATGGTGCGCTTGAGGCTAGTGGGTCTTTGCTTTTGCCCCATACCACAGTGTAGAGACCGAAGACTATGAAAATGGCTCCAATTATACTGAGACAAAGCACAAAGGAGACAAACAAACAATCAATCAGTAAAAGAAAGATGGTCATTGCTCCGCAACCCTATTGAGGTTAGTATTGGAAAATGTTCTATTGCCGAACTGTCCGGCAACATAAGTTTTTCTTTTTTATATAGAGTCAGATTGTGAATCTCGATTCACAGTCTGGGGTAAGAAAACGTTCCCTCGTAATCCAAACGTGGAAGTTTATATGGAGGTTTTAGTATTATACCTTCCAAGGTGGACCTTTTCAGCTAAAACGATGGCTCCTAGGGCAGCGGTGATGATCATGCAGAGAGGACTGAAAGCTGTTACAAAAACGGGGCCTCGTTCCCTACTCACAACACCTTGCACATAATATGCAAGTCCAGAGCAAACAATTCCCTAATCACAAAGATCAATACGAAGTGTGTCAAATGCCTGCAATGTTTCTAAGCCATGTTATATAGGGAAGAGTATTGTGCACTCACAGAGTAAACTGAAGCAAGGAGCCTCGAATCCCAGCCTATAACCCAAACACTCATTTTGCGTTCCACCGCTAATGTTATTACCCCACCTTCCAACACTCCCATAATGCATATCCAAGCTGTGAGAGAAAGCTCTGCTGGGTACTTCTTTAAAGTAAATGACTGAAGTGCAACACATAAAAAAAAAGCTTAATTAGATCAGCTGATCACAAACATTTATCCATACGAAAGTTTACAAGTTGCAAAGTATTCTCTTGGTAGACATGATGACATGTACGTACAAACTATCAATTGTAAATGTTTGACTTACTTGAACGATGAAGAAACTGGCCCAACCACCGCAACTAGCTAAGAGCATCAAAGGCCCAGCCACCCAATGCTGGTTGGTGGAGTCGGTGGTGCTAGTGCTGTGGCTGTGTGTGTGGCCTCGTATGATATCCACAATGGGGCCTTTGTACAGTGTCATCACCATGGCTCCTCCAACAGTGATTACAGTTCCCACCACCTTTGCCAGGCTATGTAGCTTCTTAACGTTCACACTCTCTAACCTGATTATTAATCAGAATAATAACATAATTAGGATAGGACTTAGGCAAACTAATCATTATTAGTGATTATATATATCATAATTCAATTAGAAAAACTAGATCAAGTATTAATATGATTCTTGTAAAATTATTCGTACATAGATATGCACGATAACGACTTTTTTAAGGAATGAGAACAAATATTACTACACAACTAGGTGATATGATTGTTTATTCTAGGAACATACTTACACTCACAATATTATAATTATTTTAAATAAATAATATGGTTTTTTTTTTTGGGGTTTTTTATTTTTATTTTCCCTCTTCTAGCAAAAAAAACGTGTAGAGTGGCCAAGGCTTACATCATGTGTCACAAAACTTATCAAGAAGATTCCACACAAAAAAAACAAAGGTGTAATTGTGTTTTCTTTCACGTTATGTGGGAACTGATTATGATGGCATCATGTCGACCATGATTTCATCAAAAAATCAGGGAAACAAAAGAAAAATAAAGACGATGACGTGGCACGGTGTGATTGGAATAGTATATGCCAATTTCCCTTAGTGCCTTCCAATGTGTTGGCTCTTAAGCATACACTAACCTTTTTATTAACGCGCTAAAATAATACTACGCATGCTGGAATATGATTATCTACTTTTTTAACCTGAAAAAAACTGCCATTATGAAGGTGATGGCAGGAAGGACGTTGACAACAGCAGATGCAAACGTTGCTGAGGTGTACTTCATTCCCAGAAAGTATAAGTTTTGATCAAGAACTGGCCTGTAATAATCAAATATTAATATATGATGATTGTACATGCAATAATCTCAAAATTTATTTGCCAAATTTTAGTTGTTTATCAAAAGGAGAAGGAAAAAAAAAAGTTAGAGCATTACTCAAGAAAACCAAGCAGAACTATTCTGAGGAATATCGGGAGAGTCATTCTTGGCCTTATTTTCCTGTAAGAGAGAGTGAAAAACAATGTGGTCAAGTTAGTAGGGCAAAATAAGAGATATATATATTATATAGAAACATGTACGCACATTAACATACAAGTATTATTTCGGCATAAAATCCGACATATATTGTCAAATTGTAAATATGAATAAGAGATTTTGTTTGAATCTGTGACACAAACTAACAATTTCTTGGTACTTATGATAATTCAAGTCTTTTGAAATATAGTTTTGGTGACATAGTGCTTATGCATGCATGCATGGTTGTTTGTAAAGGGATAGAAAACAAATATCTAACTGGGAGAGAGAGAGAGAGAGAGAGAGAGAGAGAGAGAGAGAGAGAGAGAGAGAGAGAGAGAGAGAGAGAGAGAGAGAGAGAGAGGGAGAGAGAGAGAGAACCTTTCAAGAACAAAGGCGAACGGGGCAATAACACAAAAGGCAACAACATGACGGTAGACTGAGAGAACAAAGTTGCTCATGCCATGTTTAAACGAGACCATACTGATGATATACATGCCTGCATATCCAAATTGAAGGGAGACCATAGCCAGGTAAGGCTTGATCTTGATGAGAACTGGACTCAACTTCGATCCTGTTGGACTTTGGTCTCCCATCTTTCTATTAAACACTTCGGTCCCTCTCTCTACTACCTCAACTAATTAATTTACTTGTATTTTGAGGGATGCCAACACTAAAATGAGGAATGCTCCTCTTATAAGCCTAAAAAGCGAAAAAAAAGGAGACAATATTTCAAAATCATACGTACATGTCCAAGCCACTAACCCTCTCTCTCTCTCTCTCTCTCTCTCTCTCTCATGGATTCTCTTATCCATTAACCAAAGACACCCATATACCAAGCAACTAGAGAGAGAGAGAGAGAGAGAGAGAGAGGAATTTAATTAAGTGGATCTCTATGAAAATATAATGCTTTTCCTTTTTTTCTTTATATTTATTTTATTGGAAGTGGGGATTCGATTCATTGACCACCAAATGAAATTTAGGCTAAGTGCTTTAGCATGATAGACGCGAGAGGCTAAGCTTATGTGGAGTTTGGGAGGAAGTGGGTGCTATGAAGAGTGGACAGCACTTCAACTAATAACCTAGTTAAGACATGTACTAGTTAAATCTCTAATTTCTTTTTTGGGGAGTTTACACGGTATATGAACTTCAAATTAATGACCTCACACCTCATCAAATAATTAGTGGGATTGACATGGATGGTAAGATTTGTCTAGGCAACGCACTACATGTTGATAATCTTCAATTATGTCGCCTAAAAAGCATCCCAAATCCCGGTTAAGGTTAGCTAAACTTCTTCGTTTAGAAAAAGGTTAGCTAAATTTCTAGCATGGGCTAGCTTCATCTACTTTATATATAACTTTGCGAATCAGCAAGCCACTAATGATTCAAGGGCCGGAAATTAAGACTAATAATGGAAAACCCGCCATTCTCCACATTCAGGCATTTTTGCTTATAAAGCAAGCCACGAAATGATTCTCTCCTCATAAACTGCAAATCACATAATATATAGTTAAACATTTCCATCACTTTTTTTACACATATTAAGATTACAAACTTCTTTCTTTATTCCCGCCGTACAATTTTTCTTAATTTTTATGCGTCGCCTTTCGAAAGAGTCGAAGAAATTGCTAATCACATCCAATTACAAAAATCGTCCATGTGCATGTCCTATGATATTCTATGCAAAATTCTTCTTTTCTTGCAATGTTCTGTGTGCTTTACTCCTATATGTTCATTAAATAACAAGCTTAGTAGCTAGCCCTTTGAGAGTGGCTTCATCTGATATAATATGCCTTTGCCTTACAGCAATATAGTGGGCAAGAGAAAAGAATAACCTATTAAGTTTAAATATAGTGTTGCTTAAATATGTATATAGATATTATAATCTCACGGTATTTTCACCATATATTTTTTCCTGGATGAGTATAAAACACCTGGGGAGACAAAGTCCAAACATATAAAGTTTGTGGTTTCGTGTTTGGATTCCACGAAAACAATTAATCAGGTTGGTGGAATCCCACCATATAATCTTGATACTGTCTTTGAAAAGAGAATGTGGTTAGAATTATTCCAAAAATGAAAAATAAAAAAGAGCAAAAGTACCGGCCAACCCTTTTTTTTTCCTTTTGGTGGTGAAATTTATTGGCCAACTTCTAGTGTGTTTTTATTGACCTCGTGCTCTAATTTGTAAGTGTAAGGCGATATGCAGCGAGAGAAGACGCCTTAATTTAGAACTATACGGTGAGAGGAAGGAAGAAGAAAAAAATCTTGTTTATTCATGTAATATGTCCTTAGTTACGTATTATGGATAAGAACATGCTAGAGATTCAAATCTTGATGAGATGAACAAAAATAGAAGATTGAGTCGGCAAAGTCTAGCTCAATGGAAAAAAACTTTGACTTGTAGACTAGAAGTCTTAAGTTCGAACCCCAAAGGCATCTTAGTTGTGTGTATGTGTGAAAAACTCCCTACATTGTAGTTTCGACTATCGCTTATACTCAAAAAAGAAAAAAAAGAGAAGATTGCAAGAGAGCAGCACATTTGTTAGTACAATCACCATGTGCATGAAGCAAATCTCCTTTTTTTCTTTCTTCTTGCAATTTGCAAAGGCTATATATATATTCGTATTCTTCCGAATGACCCTAGAGCAAGTGACCACTTATAAGAATTTTTAGATTTTAATCCACCAAAAGTTCTTATATTAAGGATTGATACAACACCTACAAACTTCTCTTTTTCTTATTTTTCAAATAAGGACGTACTTGCTTTTTCCCGACCCCACTGATATAGTTTACAAGTCAATGGTGTCGTCCAACAGTTTTGAATTTGATTTTTAAAACCCAATGTACAAAGTTATATTGAAAAAACATATGGAATTGCAAGTCCTTTTTATTCAGACCACGCAATAAAGAAGGTCCTTACCATATGGTGTGTCATATTGGCTCTAGTGTCGTACCGTAAACGGCAGAATACAAATTTCCACAAATCAGATATGTTTGAAAAAAGAGGCCCCTAGCTACCTAATAGAATACGATGTGAGAGAATTTGAAAAGGAACTGACAATATGACAATTATCTCAAATCAACCTAATTAATTTTCTTGCATGACATGTGCACCTTGTTGATAGTTGATACTCTAGGCATGTACTATATAAAGAGATAATTTGACAAGTTACATTCTCTCAAACAACATCAATTTCTCTCAATTTTATCAATATTAATTATATTAGTTTAAGAATAAATTTATTTATTCCGCGTTTACAGAGCGCATTACTGGTTGTATCTTTATGTAATATCCACCGAATCTCACCAATACGAGAAATGTGATGATGAGTATATATAATATCTGCTGCTTTATTCATAAGATCTAAAAAAAGGGAAAAGAAAAGAAAGAAGAAAATAGTTGGAGAACATTGTGCAAGCTATATAGAATTGACATGGGTATATATTCTTATATTGGGGCTTGTTGACAGCGTTTTTCAACTAGATAGTAAGAAACTAGCTCTTAGAAAAGAAGCGGATTGCTACATATGCTAATTATAGATTCATAATTACAATCAAATTCGAAAGGGAGATTAAAAAGACATTTCTGGTCTTTATCTGCAAATTTAAAGTAAGATTAGCATTATTTTTGGACCGTCATATATTGCATTTGGGATGGCTGGTCGCTGCCATTTTTGTCAATGACCAATTTAGTCCCATTGATAGCACTTCCACTAGAAATTGGCAATTCGTGAGCTTCATCCTTCATAGCAGGACTGGATGGCACTGCTGAGCTTTTACAATAATCCTTGCTTTTACCCCACACCACAGAATAAAGGCCAAGCACGATGATCACGCCTCCAATTATACTACACATCAAGTTTTAAAATTAAAAAAACAAAAAACAAAAAAACAGAGGGATTTTTATATATAAACGATAGTTTAAATTAATCTAAATTACGGGGGAGGAATATTTAAACTTGGGTGCAACAAGGCGGGCTTACTGTCCTGACCAACTAGCATAACACACGTCTTCATCGAAGAGAAATTAAATATACAAAGTATAACTATTCAGATAAAGATCATATCAATGCTTAAAGTTGATTGATTACATCACAAAGATATATACCTTGTCTAAAGTATTTGTTCCTGAGAAAAGCTGCGTCACAAGACGTACGACATCACAACACACTTTGTACATGCCATTATTATTCCTCATTATCGATAATTTTAATTATTTAGGATTGGATTTTGTCATAATATAGGAATAATGTGCACAACTTACCAAAATGTGGCATATAGCAGAAGATTAGGATTAAGAAATATTCAAGACAGAGGAAATATGATGTTAGCCCAATTTTAGGTTTTTTTTTCTTTACCTGCCAAAGTGAAGTTTCTCAGCTAGAATAATGGAACCCAGAATAGAGACGATGATCATGCAGAGAGGGTTGAAAGCTGTTACGAAAACCGGGCCTCTAGTCTTCATCACCAAGCCTTGCACGTAGTAAGTAATTCCAGAGCCAATTATTCCCTAAATCATTGACAATGCATCTTCTAATTAGTTAAAAACGAAGAAATATTTACATATTGAAAAAAAAAAATCACAATCTATAATTGAATGTACTAGACACATTTAAAAACGTGTTAGCAGGTCGTGTTCCCGTTGCATTGTATGGAACTAACCGAGTAGAGAGGCGCTAGGAGCCTCGAATCCCAGCCGACCGCCCACGCACTAGCACTACGTTCAACAGTAACTGCCACGGCTGCACCTTGCAACGCTCCCACCAAGCATATCAAGCAGGAAAGTGAGATGTTTGCAGGGTATTTCTTCACTGTTATGGACTGGATATCGATACGTAAATTAACGTCAATCACGTCACATATATTAAGCTTCATATTACATGCATGCAAACGTAATTTAATTACTGACCATGCAATTGATACTTACTTGCAATACGTAGAAACAGGACCAAGCAACACAACCTATGAGGATGAAGAGTGTCCCGGTTACCCAGTGTTGGTCGGAGGATGTAGTGGTGCTGCTGTGGCTGCTGGTTTTGTGTGACCATAGGAGGTCAACGACAGGGCCTTTGTACACTGTCATCAGCAAGGCGCCAGCAAAAGTTACTAGGGTTCCTATCACCTTGGCTTGACTGCGTACCTCTTTCATCTTTACACTTTCTACCCTGCAATAATTTTATAACCCACATGTTATTATATTATGGTTTAGCGGAGATTTTTTATTTTTTATTTGGCTGAACTTATGTTGTTAGACGGATACTTATTTTTCCGAATTATGAATTAGGAATGAATCTAATTCATTGATTTTTACCGAAAAATAACTGCGATAACAAAGGTAACAGACGGGACGGCGTTCATGATAGCAGATGTAAATGATGCCGATGTATATTTCATCCCCAAGTATGTAAACCCCTGATCAACAATTGGCCTGCACAATCAGGTGAATACGTATTTAAAATAAAATAAAATAATCCAAGTCATACGCATTAGCATTGGTCTCCCCTATCTCTGTTTGCTCCTATTAGTCACGATCAACATTCAACTGTACATGATTGGGAACCTGTGGGACAGCTGTACTACTTTTTTTTTTGAAATTTTACATGTACCATATTTAATTATCGCATTCGTTACAGACGCGGAATTCATATATGATTAGCAATACTTAGTATGCTTGTTAGTGAGAGATCTTTACTCTAGGAATCCCAGCACCATTATGTGCAAAAAGGTGGAAATCGTCATTTTTGGTCTCGTTGTCCTGTAAAACAAATGAAAATCAATTCACAGAGAAAAAACTGAATTAATTTCAGATTATTATTATTTAAATGTGACTAATTAGAGATAGAAATACCTTTCAAGAACCAAGGCGAAAGGAGCAAGGAAGAGGGCTGCAGCAGCATTGCGATAGACGATGAGAACAAATCGGTTCATGCCATGGTTGAGAGTAACCATGCTGATTATGTACATCCCTGCAGTCCCAAATTGCAAGCTCACAACAAGCAAATAAGGTTTCAGCTTGTTCAACATAACACCAAACTGCCCACATGCCATCTCTCTATCTCTCTCTCTCTCTCTTAATTTAACTTAATTTCTTCCTTGTGAGAAGTGGAACTGGTTGATTGGGGATGAAATTAAAAGGTGCATGCAGTGGCCTTCTTATAGAGAAAAAAAGATTAATTATGATAGGATAATAAACCCACTATTGTGCTATTGTATTTAGATTATTCTTTGATATGAGACGTATAGCTTGTACAGAGCCACTCATACCAACACCCACTTGAAGAAAAGGGTTTTATTTTGCAATATTTTTGTGGATGCATGGTCCTGTCTTTGAAAGTATGCTTGCGTCGGTCATTACTGATAGGCAAATGTGCAATTGTGCTTTTCTGTGTCTTTGTGCTTCAATTGTGCTTGTTGGTTGTGTATGGGAGTTTCATTTTACAATGAATATAGGTGTAGCTTTAATATCTTCTGTCTCTTTTCAGGAGGGGTCTATCTCATCTTAAAGAACTTACAGATATTTCTTGAAAAAATTGGGCAAACAAACCATCACCAACTCTTTTTTGTAATCACAAAAGCTCTTAAACCAATGTACAGTAAACACCAACTATTATATCTAATGGTTTTGCTAAATATGTATCAGTAGGAAGGTAGAGGTCAAATTTTTGTTTTGGATAAAATTAGCAATGAGCTGATGTCTGTCTACAGCTAAGTTTTATAAGGTTTCTAATTGATGGATGTGAAAAGAGCCATGCATCTTGTGTGCACATATTTACATATAGTTGCTTCCCATTCAGCATGCATGATGAGGACAGGTCATGTTCCGTAATCCATAAGTAATTGAGCTTTTAAATGTACAATTATTGAGATTTATATATATATATATATTTTTTAATACAAGCGATATTTTACTTTAATATAATTTAAATTACTTGGGGGATATTCGAACTCGGTGCATAATGGGAAGTACATCCTCTCAAACCAACTTGACTAAGTATTTATATATGTACAATTTTTCTTAAACATTTGTTAATCAATCAAAAAAGTTCTGTGCCACAAAGTTGGAACCTTTTAATTCTTTGTAGGAGACTACGCCCTACCATTTAATTTTTCTTCTTGTTGCAGGGACCCTTTGGTTACCTAAATGGGAAAAACATATCCCTTTGCAACTGGTGCATACATGTGACATGTCCTATATATGACTTGGGTCAAAGAAACCTTCTGATATTATTATTTTTGATTGAGAAAAAGCAATGTATTCAGTGAAAAAAGATTACCGCGAATTTTCAATGAAAATATCTTGAATAATATCAGGAAAATCGTGACATCATGAAGATGCATGAATCAAAAAACAAACAAAACTATGCTAATCCATTCGCCGCTTCTGAATTTTGATCGATGTGATAAGTGTTTTTTTCTTCTCTCTTTTCAATCTTATCGGTTTCGAGCTGGAAACATGGCAAAGCCTTGTGTAGAAAAAATTGCATTATGTTTGAAATGTTTGGCATGCTTGTCGGAGTGTCAATTAATATAAGTACACATAAACTTATTTTAGGGATATGTTTATATGGCTCACTCCACCTATATTTCATTAATTTAAATTATTTATTTTTTTATTATAAGAATGATCTAAATACTCGAAAAATAGAATGTTTGGATCGATGAAATCACACGTAAGAAATTTCTTTATTGAACATATCCATCAATAGAGATGACTCTATATATCTGTGAACATTTGGCGATTCGTGGCCAAATAATATGGGGCGGCTAAAGGAGGGAGAATTGACTCATCATTTTTAATGAGAAGGGAAATATACAGCTAGAAAGAAGCTTTAAAATGATCTTAACATGCTAGACAGAGAAGCCTCTGGCTAGCTAATCAAGTTGTGAAGTGTTTGGAACAACTACTATTTAACTCCTCATTACTTTAAGAAAAAGTGAGTGACAAAGAAAGAAGGCAGATGCATGAGTTTTGGTGAAGAGAAATTTGGTCAAAGAAATATAAGCATATCTATTACTTTTGGTACTTTTGATTGTGGTGTGACTTAAAATTTAATCAACTTTCCTGCTCTTCTGCATAATGTATGTGATGAAAGGACCTTTGCGTGTAATCCCCCTTTTCCTCATTTTTTAAGTGCTAATGGCAAAGTTGAGTTCATCTTCCGATAAGCAATAATCAATGCTTGCTTTTCCTTTAGTTTTTTTCCTTTTGAATAATAATAATAATAATACTAATAATAATAATAATTTATATTTTCATAATTAATTAATTGTGTAAGTATCATTGTCATGTTTCCTTTTTATAAATTAAAAAAACAAAGTAGCAACTTCACAAAGCAAAAATCTTTTTTTTTCCTTTCTTATTTTAATAGGGCATTTTTCTCAATATAATGTATTCATTATGAATATTTATTTACAAGTTTTTTGTGTCAAAATATTGGAGTGACATATACTCTATCCTATCTTTAATATCCACTGAAAAAAGAATGCATTTAAAATGGATAACTCGTTTTCATTCAAAAGGGTGACGATTTGATCCTTGTAATGTTTTAGAAAAAAAGATTTCGAGAAAGAGAGTGAAGGAAAATAAAGTGATGGAAATCTGTCTTCTTACAAGAAAGCAAGAGGAGAGATTAAAGCGGACAAGAAAACTTTTCCATGAATTGCAATAATGCTTGAAGATTAAAGAATTTGCTTTCTTTTAATTCCAATGCAATATGGAGGTTTTTATTATTATTTTTAATTAGGAGTAAATTGAGTTTTTTATTTTAAAGATGATGTATCCAATTTAAATTCCTTAAATTAAATTTCAATGAGACGAAAACGAAAGTCAAGCAAATCATGACAGAGAAAATCATAATAGAGGATCCAAATCCATTATCATCGTGTCAGCATGAACAATAGAACACAAACTACAGAGACGTCTGCGTCAACAAAAGTGAGTGAATTAATTGTGGAACTTGTTTAAGGGTTGTGATTTAAAACAAATCTTGCAACTTTCAAAACGTTTTCTTTTTCTTTTTATAGATAATGGACCACCTTCTCAATGATACATTTTTAACTTTTTATTTATTTATTTATCGAGAAATATAAAATTGCTTTAAATTGTGGGTTAGTCTAATGTCTCCTTCCACAGACCCCTCCAGAGACCAATTATTGAGAAAAGATGAGAAAGGAAGGGGGTAAGTGTGCATCTTGCATATGTAGTTTCGTCTACATTTTTCATTGATAGAAAACAGTCAACTGTAAAGGAAATAAAGGCAGAAGAACAAAAAGGGATCAAGAAAGAAGGGTCAAAAGAAAATTTGTCTGGCCATTCACTAAAAGTTGGCTACAAAGTTGATGTGAACTACAAATTCCTTTATCATTCAAGATACATGCCAAATAGCCAATGAAAAAACTTCACTTCTACACAGGGTCCAAAACCCACTAATGTTTAAAGGCAGCAGCTATCTTCTTCTGAACCAGTTCCACTCCGAGACGAGGAGATAATCTAGGTAGAGTTTCCTGGACCATAATTCGATATTTTCGTCAGATGAAACTACAAATGTGATTCATCAAAACAAAACAAAAAATATCTAAATTCTTTCAGATTTCAGACTGAGGGAAATGCAGTTGAAGTCTTGTACCATATACACAAATTCTCAGCATTGCTAAAAGGAAACAATAAGGGTAAGTAAACTTGAGATGCTTCAAGCAAGATAGGCCACATCCCATCAATAATTGCGTTGGCTGTTTATTTGATTGTCAATCCACCATCTAAAGCAAAGTAATTGCTTGATACATGGCAAAGCACCAAAAAAAGTATATTTTTAAAAGAGATTAACAACTGAAACCATATCCTCGCAATGATGCACAAGGAAAAAAGCAAAATAGAATCACATATTCATGACTGGGAAAATTTGTTCATGGCTATTATGAAAACAAAACAAAAAACAAAAAATCTGCGCCACTAGAGATGTAAAAAGGATCGGCATCTGTCAGCAAGCATTTAGAGTCAGAATTGTATGTGCCACAAGATAGTTCACAGGAGCAGGAGAAAAGCAAGAAAGCAAAAATAAAGCATGAAAATTGAAAATCATCCCATTAGAATTTATTAGAAAAGGTAATATGTAGTGAAGGACGACTACAAATAACATGGGAAACATAAAGGCGTGTCCACATTGATTCAAAAGACAAATATCAAAGGATAATGGAACACATTACATGATTTTGGCATGTGCATATGAAGCCTTTTCCAATGTTAATCGATCTAAATGAAGGATACTTGGTTTAATCCGCTGGTATCGAATGCAATGTTTACACAGAAAAGTCAATTAGATTTAAGTTCCACAACAAAAAGAATGAATCATAGGTAGCATTTACAATCACCCATCACTCAGCATAGCATTGACCCAACTAAACTCAATGGAGCCTTTGCCTCACTTATAAGGGCTAGCCCACAAGCCATGACACAACTGACTCCCATGTGACATGGTTCACTTGATAACTTTACAGTGCAATTTGATGGGATGTCCAGTCTTTAGGAGCAACATGATTCCTACAATTTCTAATCCTAGGATACATAAGACAGTTTAATAAGAATCATCAAATCACATACGCCCAAAACCAAAATCCAGGCATCATAATAATATTATCTTAATGCCTTCTTTATTTTTTCTCGATTGACTGCATTATACAGCCAATCCAATAAAATAGTTTCATCTTCAAAGAATTTACTCAATCAATCATTGCAAATAAAATAATGTTAAATCTGTCTCTGGTGTCATGATGGCCATCAAACTCTTTAGAACTTGAGCCTAATTGCACATGGTTATTGGAAAACTACCATCAAAGCGAAGTTTAATATAGAGGGTACAATAATCCAATACAAGGTAGCATTATCAAAAGATTTTTGTGGATGGGAAGCTTTTCATTGTATTACTAAATAGGATAGAACAAAATACAAAGATATCAAACCCCAACAATTCAACTAATAAGAAAATGCATACAATCCTTGCTCAATTTATTACAGAAGGGAAGTAGTATACTTTGGAACTAGGCCTCTTGTTGTGCCATGGATCAGCCTATCAGGCTTAGGCAGCAGGTACCTTAACCCTTATTCAGCCCAAACTAAATTCTGGTTGGGATTGTTCAAACCAAAGCAGCCACAGATTTATAAAATTCCAAATCAAAGTCTTCTATGGTCCAGTCTAGATTTTGGGTTGGCCAGGATAGCTTGCACAAGTTCATCCCTAGTGATCTCGGATGAGGCAACACCTTGCTAAGTTGGCCACTGGACAATTTCTATAAGATTCTTTTTCAAAATATGTTAAACTGCTTGTGTGATTATTTCATTTTGCAGTTTCGTTTATTCTAAAAGTTATTGCTACTCTTAAAATGGGGTTGATGCTTCACATAAAATGTGGTTGCTCCAACACAGGGTCAAGTTCAGAAGGACAATTATAAAGCTTAGAATATGTTTATGCTTAAGTTGAGTGTCATTTGAGCGTCATTCCCTCAACATGTGAAATTAGCGGTATTCTATTCAAAGGATAATAATACAGAAAAAGCTCCCAAGTCGCTTGGTACAGCAATAAATTACGGAAATTGGAAGCTTTCACGATGAAAAAACAGCACATTACAGGAATCAAAGTTGAAATTAAAGCCGACCCAAGAAAACCAAATGGAAGGAACTAACCTCAGTGCCATCAGAAAGCACTCTAGCCAGCACTGGTATCTCATACTGGTAAGCTATTTCCCACTCTGAATTGCTCGTAATATCCCTTATCTGAATAAAACCCAATACAACAAACTTTATTGAAAACAGAGAAAAAGCTTGAAATACAAATGCTAAAAGTTCAAAACTAAATAAAAACTCATTGGGTTACCTGTAAATCAACGTCGTGAAGAGAATCAGGGCCAGCGAGTAAGAAGGCAGCCTGAAGTTTTTCTTTGAGGCCATCGCACAAACAGCACCCGGGCTTGGAGTAGAGAATGAGAGCTCTTGAAGGCTTTGAAGAAGAAGAAGACGAAGTAAAGGAAGAAGAAACAGCAAATGGAGTGAAGACCCACCTAGCCCTGTGTCTTGTCAGCAACACATTAGACGTTGGCCTCGCCAGCGCCATTGTCACTGTCGCTGTTGCTGCTGCGGCAATGGCCATGGCTACCAAATCAATCCTGCGACCAAAAAAACACCAAATCAATCCTTTGCAAAATGGGACAAGGCCCATTTCTCTCACCTTCTGTATCGGAAGGTGGGCCGATGAGGCTGCGGCTTCTTTTACGGTCTGGGGCCTGATCTAGCTATATCAGCCTGGCCCAACATTTGTTAAGGCCATCTATGAACTCCTCGTATGGACCTTAATATTGGCCACAAGATCATTTCATTAAACTTAAGTAAAGTTACTATTCAGATAAATCATATGGCTAATATGAAGGTTCACATCTATGGTTCATATATAACACCCTCACCATAGAACGACTCTAGTATTCACAATCCCAGTCATACATGGTTGAGCACCTAAGTCATTCTATATAAAGCCCTTGAAACAATATCTTTTAACCGTTGAATCAAACTAACCAATTTAAGATATATGACATCATCTAAGGGCCTTAGATACTGCTCTTCCTTACTATAAAATTCTACATGAGCATCTAGATGTCTCTATTCCAAGATTCCGCAACTGAAGCTATATTAGTAATTATATTTATTTATTACTTTAAACAAATATTGGATTGTTTTTCATTATTTGGGAAAATGAGGATTTGAACTTGATTATATATATATATATTTTATTACTTTGATGAAACATTAAATTGTTTTTCATTATTGATGAAATGAGGATTTGAAATTTTTTTTTTTCCTAATACAAAACACATTGAATGAGGGGAAATTGAATCTAAGACCTAAACTGTAAAGGTAAATGCTCTTAAGCTATCTCTAGTCATACAACTAAATGTAGTCAAAGACTATAAATTTAGCCCTAAAAAATATTAATTTTTTAAAGAATAGTGTATGATTAAATTTTTGGGAGACTTTGTAAAAGGCCAAAGGAGAGATAAATTTATTAAAATAAGCCAAAATGGACAAAATTGCCCTTATTTATTTTTGGATTTCCTAAGGAATCATTTACATTTGCATGTCTTTGGTTTGAAAGTTGAGAGGTTTTTCTTTCTTTTTTGAAAAAGTTTTGGCTTTTTCCAAAAGTGAAATTTTTTTTGTGTCTAAAACCTAAATTTACTTGAATTTTTCCATCTCCAGCCATATAATGCTATATTTTAGGGTCCTTCATCTATATATATATATATATATATAAAACAAAATGCAGAGAATTGTGAAACATTCAAAATACCAGAAAATACCCTTAGTTAATTCAAACATTAATAATTGAAATTATTAATTAAATGAGGATAGTATGGTAAATTCACATTTTTTCATATTCAAAAAATTAAAATTAAAAACAAAATCAGATAATAAATCATACTTTTATGGAATATAACTACCCATATTATTTTTTCTTAATTCTAAAAATAAAAAAGAAAACCAATTGGCACATGCGTGAGCATGTGCCAAAGGGTTAGTATTTTATTATTTTGAGAAAAACTATGGTACAACACTCATACATTTCATTACTATGTATTGTTTAATTTAATTAAACTATTATTTAGAGACATGCATGGCTATATTTTAGGGCCCTTCATATTTTATTATTTTGAGAAAAACTATGGTACAACACTTATACATTCCACTACTATGTATTGTTTAATTTAATTAAACTACTAGGTAGAGACAATATTTCACTACTCTATCTTCGAAGACTTTTTTGAAAGTCTTGCAAAGATGTTCATCTTCCACTCGTGACCAATTTTGTCCCTTCGAAGTCTGGGACATTTTTCAAACAATGTGAATAACAAAATAAACAAAGAGAATAAATTTGTGGGAAATATTTGGATGAAATGAGTGTGAAAAATATTTGACAAAAAGAAAAAGTGTGGAAAGTTGTGAATAAGTAGAGAATGTGATAGAATTTGTAAGAAACGTGGAACAAAAAAAAGGTGATGTTTCAAATCCTTTTTTATATTTATTTTAAACAAAACGAATTTAAATACATTTTAAAAAGTTATTTATAAAATTTAAAAAAGAAAAGAAAAAAGTAATGCTATTTGAACACACTTAATTGATCACATTATGTGGCAGCTGATGTAGTCATGCCACATCAATTAATGAAATTAGTTGATTGTTAAGGCCCAAAAAAATTCGTGGTTGGACCCGAATAAATTCATGGCCTAATATGACACCTTATTAAGAAAAGACCCAATTTAGAGCACACGAGAGTCTACCATGCACGAGTTACAGTCCACGAGCAATGCCAAATAAATAATCTGTGATGCTAAGGATTGAGATAAAGATCATAAAATACACTAACTCTACGAGCCCTTGCTAATTACCCCAGCAAGCATCATGATAAAAAGCATGTCATGCCAAGCGGGAAATCATTATTTCCCACCCTAACCATGCTACAAGCCTAAGTGGGCCTAAGTCATTCAAATGTCCGGGGTTTGCTTGAGTGGGTTGTAATATGGATGGTAATGAATTGTCATGAGGCCCATTGATGGGCCGAGAAATGGAAGTCCCGGGTTGCTTGGGAGCCCCATAACTCAAGCTCATTTCTTAGGCCCAAACATGTGGGTGAGCATAGAAGAGAAAGTAGCCCATCATTTCAACCAAAGTAGCCCATCATTTCAACAAAAATGGCCCATCACCTCAACCAAAATAGCCCAACACTTGATAAAGTTAGCCCATTTGTTTGATAAATTAACTTGTTGTCTTAGAAGGCCCATACCATTAGAATAAGGAGCTGCAAAAGCCCCAACACTTGGCTAGAGAGTAAAAGCCACGAAGGGAGCCTGGAGGTTCACGTACGTAGAGCTGTTGGGAGGCTCCAACATTTTTTTGGGTGGGGGGGGGGGGTGGGGGGGGGGCAAAAACATCCAAAGGACCAAGGGGTATTGGCGCACAAACTGCTATGAGGGGAGTTCGAACCAGCATGAATACCCATTTCTTTCCCTCATCAGACCTGGCCATGGAATAAAGAAGGAAATAAAGGAATGAGATAGCTAGGAATAGGAGTTCTCCACTGAGGCAGCTGCAGGAAGAGCATTGAGCTCCCAAAATCCCTGTTTTTGTGCAATTGGGCAGAGAGAATTTCACCAAATAGGATGAGTCAAAGGAAGAGAAGAAAAATGAGAGGAAAGACTTGGCCAAATTGAATAGAAACCATTAGAGTTTCTTGGGAAGAATGAGCTTCCAACTCCTATAAAAAGAGGCATTTCCTACCCATCATCTCAACCTAGATCTAAAGAGTAAGCTTCATCTATCATCTCTGAAACTCTACAATTTTGTGCCATATTTCTCCATCTCCTCTCATTTTCTCTTCTGACAAGCCATTCTAGAGTCTGACATAGCTTTTGTCAAGCTGCTAGAAAATTACCCAAAACACCCAATACTTCACCACTAGCCACAACCACATCCAGAGAGCAAGCTTCCTCTCTCACCTGCAAAACCCAACAAATTCGTGCTCTATTCATCCTTTTCCCCCCAAGAACGCATAGCTTTCTCTTCAGTGCTAAATTCATGACAATTTTGCTTCCATGCCACAAGCCTCTCATGCCAAGCTAAAAAATCTATATGTAAGTTGTTGTTATTTTTGTTGGTGAAGGTAACCAAAGTGTTTCCTAAGGCTTCACTATCCTTTCGAAACATTTTTGAGGCTTAATCTTTGAACTCAGACACAGGGGATAATTTCATCAATTTGCTATTTACGGCAACTCCACCCATTTATAGCTGCCGGAATAAAAAAGCCATTACACTGACATTGAGTTATTATTTTTACTTATTATTTTTAAATTGATTCTTTGGTCTGCCAAGAGAAGTTTTTTCCCGATGTTGCTCCGCTCATTGTAGAAAGCTAATTTTGATAGAACAATTATCAAAGTTGCAAAGTTAGAATTAAATGACGAAGTTGAGATAAAAAAGGTGGAGGAAAATCCAGATCTATGACGAATCCTTATGGAAAGAACATCAAGATTTTAACTTACTATTTTAAACTGGAGGAGGAACATCAAAATGGGTAGAAGCAATCCAATATTTTGTGCACTAGATTACTTCAAAGGTTGAGAAATCTTTGAAATCAATGGCTTTGATTTACTTGTAGATTGACGTAAAAGAAGCAATTTGGTGCTCAATCCCCCAAAACCCAAGAAAGTCATTCGACCTTTCTATAGCTTATGCCATCCAAATTTCTAAAATTTCACATAAACCTGGAGAAGAAAAGCTATGACCCAATCGAAGAACAACTCTAATCAATTCCCATTTCTCTAAGAAGTCTACAACTATTTCACTTTGAGAAACCCATATCTCATTTGGACATAAAACTTCATATTTAAACAATAATGGAGAAAGATTATCGCATATATAAGAGAATTGACATCACATTGGTGGTGGTGATGATTTGACAACAACATTGTCTATGTGGCGATGAGCGGTGGTCCGACGATGGACTGATGGACTCAATGGTTGAGCGGCGGTGGACAAAGTTTTTGCTTGGAGACCAAAAGGTTTTGTATTTTATTTTTAAGAACATTGGAAAAAGAAAATAAAAATAACTAAATTCCATATAAGCTAATTTCATTAATTGATGTGGCATGACCACATCAGCTGCCACATAAGGTGGGTAGTTAATGTGGTCAATTAAGTGTATTCAAATAGCATTACTCTTAAAAAAACCTAAAGGCTAGCTAACATCATTGCGCCTTTAATATTAGCCTTTAGATCTGCAGTTGTACGAGATGTTATGTGTTCACACCCACGCGTGATTCTTTTTATTCTTGAAAAGCACATGTGCTGAGCCCACAAAAAAATTTGGTATGGGCTATAGTTGGGCTACAAGTGGCCTAGTTAGAGGGGCTAATTGTGGCCCTCCAAATTTGTTTTTAGCCCATGATTGGAGATGTGGCCCATAATTGGAGATAGCCTTAATTACTTAAATTACAAATCCCTATAATTATATGTAGTCTTTGTATAAGTACTACATACGTGTGTGTTATAAGGGAAAATGAAATTGCCAAAAACGTTACCCAACAAATATGGACCTTAAATTTTTGTATTATCTGCTTAACTTTTAATCCAAACGTTAACACATGAAAATAGTTTAATCCCAAGATTTAAGCACATTAAAATATGAAAAATCGGAGCAGAATTTTAAAAATTATTGCATTTTAGTTGACCCTAAGGTCGAATCCATCAGACTCTCAGTTAATTTTTTGGGAGACTTTGGAAAAACACAAAGGAGAGAGAAATTTTGTAAAAGAAGCCAAAATGGACAAAATTGCCCTTATTTATTTTTTAATTTCCTAAGGAATTCTTTACATTTGCATGTCTTTAATTTGAAAGTTGATAGGTTTTTCTGTCTTTTTCAAAAAAGCTTTGGCTTTTTCCGAAAATGAAATTTTTTTTTTTGCTAAAACCTAAATTTACTTAATTTTTTATTATTTTGTCGAGGAGCGCGCCAACCAAACACACAAAATGTGGAGCTGAAGTGAACTGTAGAGTCACTGAACTCAAACGAGTAAAACCGGTAATTACTGTTACATTGACCACGGCCCACGCACCCCCAACCACCACCACCATGTCCAACCATCTCCTCACACTCGCAATCGTCCTCCTACTCGCCGCCACCGGAGGGGCCCACTCAGAACAACAACACCAACACGACACGCCCATCAGTCGTTTCCAAAACTACCTCCGGATCAACACGGCCCACCCGAACCCGAACTACACCGCCCCGGTCTCCTTCCTCACCGCCATAGCCCAAACCCTAAACCTCCAAATCCAAACCCTCCACTTCATGCCTTCTAAATCCAAGCCCCTCCTCCTCCTCACCTGGCCTGGCTCCCGCCCCTCCCTCCCCTCCCTCCTCCTCAACTCCCACCTCGACTCCGTCCCCGCCGAGCCACACAAGTGGGCCCACCCCCCCTTCTCGGCCCACCACACCGCGGACGGCCGCATATTTGCCCGTGGGGCCCAGGACGACAAGTGCATCGCCATCCAGTACCTCGAGGCCATCCGAAACCTGAAAGCCGCCGACTTTGTCCCAATCCGCACCGTCCACCTGTCCTTCGTCCCCGACGAGGAGATCGGCGGCCTGGACGGCGTCGCCAAGTTCGCGGCTTCCAAGGAGTTTCGGGATTTGAACGTCGGGTTTATGCTGGACGAAGGCCAGGCCAACCCTGGCGACGAGTTTAGGGTTTTCTACGCCGATCGGACTCCGTGGAGTTTGATCGTCAAGGCGAAGGGCGCTCCCGGGCACGGGTCCAGATTGTACGACAATGGAGCGATGGAGAATTTGATGAAGAGCGTTGAGGTTATGACTCGATTTCGGGCGGCCCAGTTCGATGTGGTCAAAGCCGGGAAGGCCGCCATTTCGGAGGTTATTTCGGTCAATCCGGTTTATTTGAAATCTGGGATTGCTTCTGGCGATGTGAGTTTGAAGTACTGGTTATTGTGTGTTTGTTTGTGTTGTGATGGGTCATTTGGTGTTTTGATCATAAGGTGTTTGATTGTATGCTTGTGTAGGGGTTTGCGATGAATATGCAGCCTTCGGAGGCCGAGGCCGGGTTTGATATAAGAATGCCGCCTACTGTGGACCCCGAGCTTGTTAGGAAGAGGATTGCTGAGGAGTGGGCACCGGAGGCGAGGAATTTGACATACCAGGTGAACTTTTGGCTCTGTTCAGTTTCATTGATTTTGTCTATTGAGTTTGTGCATGGATTCTTCACTGTTTTCATTCAGTTAGTATAATGTGAAATTATAGGAGTTAAGAATTTATGTGTAGATAACCTAATTTATAATTCCATTGTTAAATACATTACTCCATCAACTTAATTATATGTTTCTCTGCAAATTAGTTAGCATGAATCTGATTAGAAGATAAACCCTGCATGCAGGCTATTAGTTTGTAATGGTAATATTAATTATCTGCATAGTTTTCTGTTTTTTCTGTGCATCCGCAATATAAACTTTCTACTCCTCAACCCATTATATATACATATTCAATTACTGTGCGGCACATTTTCCTCACGTAGGATGATAAGAAGTTATAGTACATGTTAAATAGATTCTCAAGATTTGATATGCTCAATTTCAAAACCATTTTTTCGGACTATGAAGTTCAAGCAGTTCGTCCCTCTGGTTATCATCTTTACTGATGGTGAGCTACCATGTCTAAGGCTTTTCACTTGGAAATCGGTATTAAAGTCGGACGTCAAATTAGAAAATGTGCTGAACTTTGATTTGGGTAAACAACAAATATGGCAACTACTTATCGTAATTTCCTCATGCGGTTACCAATATTACAACTTTCCTATGGCTGGTAAGTGCCTACTTGTCATCGTTGCATCAGCTTGAAAGAGAGCTGATTCTGTATAATGGCCTCTGTTAACATTTAATAATCTACCTGAAACATTTTGGGTATGAGATTTTTTTTCTTTATCTTATTTGAAAGATATCATCTGAGACCAGTTCTATAACATTCTGCTCTACTATTAAATCACTAAATCAGGTTTGCATTATGGGGTTTGGTCATAGGAGCCAAATCCTTTTATTTTTGTTATTGCATATTTTCCTGTACTTATAAATCCATATGCATAATCTTTTCAGAGCGCCAAAAATAGGTTTTGAGTTTCAAATGTATTGTTGATGACCAATGCTATCTTTTTTTCTTTATCTGTATATTCTCTTCGTTTCCTTTATCTTCTCTGCAAACAGGCGCATAAATGAAAAATGGTTTATGACTTACTTTATATGGCAGCTAATTGAGAAAGGACCGATTAGAGACTATAGGGGTCGCCCTTTAGCAACACCAACCGATGATTCCAATCCATGGTGGTCTGTTTTCAAACAAGCTATCGCATCGGCTGGAGGCAAACTTGCAAAGCCTGAAATCTTGGCATCAACTACCGATGCACGATACATGAGACAGCAGGGCATTCCTGCTCTTGGTTTCTCCCCAATGACGAATACTCCCATCTTACTTCATGACCATAACGAGGTTCAGTATTGTTGTTACCAGTCTTTTTAACATGCACTTATTATCAAATTCTCTTCCTGACTCCCCTCATCTCTTTTCTTTTGCAGTTCCTAAAGGATACTGTATTCTTGAAGGGCATAAAAGTATATGAATCTGTAATCAGTGCTTTGAGTTCCCTAGTGGAAACATCTGAATAGCCACCACAGTACTAAATGGAGAGAACAATGATTGCAAATTAAACTTGCCATGGTAGTAGTGCTGCACCATTTTAAGTGGCGTTTTGCACTCCGGGCACTCAGGGGTGGATTCAAAGCGAGCGTCATCTGAAAGGTGAAGTTATTGGTTTAAAATGCTTGAACAGTTTTACAAGTTGTTATAAATCGGCCCCATCAAGCTTTGCAAATATTTTCTATAAATTGTCCACACTGAATAAAAGTCCTGAATCTGCCATTCTAGATGCCCTGGACGTTCTTGTTGTTGCTGTGATTGTGTCTTGCTGTAATGTCATTTATTGTACATTCCTTGAAACGATGTATATGATTGAATAAGAGGGATTACAAATTAATATATGGCATATATATATTATTGCTGAAGTCACAGTCGAGTATGGCGTTTGTACTTTGTTCAATGAACCACAGCTTGTGTTATTATTGGTTGGAAATTAAATAAGTGTTTAGCAGATGGTGTTCGTTCGTCATGCCTAGCATTATTAGACAGTGATACGAACTGTTGAAGACATCTTTTAATCGTTGATTTGATTATAGGCACTGTTTCCGGTTCAACTTTATTTGTCTTTCTAGATGAAGGGGAAATTCGACTAGTGTTGGCTGGATCCTTTTTTATCATCTTCACTCTTTCAATTACCTGGATTAGATGAAATGGAAAGATAAAATTAATAAGGTGAGTCTTTCCCCAGTTTTTAGACTTGTGTTTCTATCACTACTTCCCAAATGCTCATTTCATCACTTCAGAAATAAAATTAGTTCCAATTTTATGCCCCTATAAATAATCTCAAAACACAAATTTAATATGTTAACGATAGAGAATAAAACTCGAGCTGTCACGGAAACTCCCAAGCTACTTGGTAGAATTAGTGTATCTCGAGATAGCGTACGAGCTCTTAAGCACCCTTCTTTTACAAGCCGGTTAAGTAAGAACAAGTTTCTATCACTAACCATAGATGTCAAAAATTCAAAAGCCGACAAGTATGGAGCAAGTTCTACCCATAGGCTTCAGTCACCACCACCCATAAATGTTATAAGACTCGATCAAAAAAGACTAGTTGCCAAACCCGCTAGGCCAGAGTGATGATTGTGGTCATGTATAGCTCCACCAAGACTCCAACCAAGTTCGCTTTACTAATTATTTAAATGGGATAGCAACCTGAATAATGCTGCTACTAGTACACGAAAGATTTTAGCTCCAAATTACATCACATCTAGACTTTGGGACATACCATGCCCAAATAAATTAAAGGCACTAGTTGAAATTGAAAGCTGCATACACCTCACACCTCATGCCTTTTTGGATAACACAGTCCCCTGCATACATGCATACCTCATCAACGATTAGTTGCTATCATGCTCTCTATATCTAGCTAGCTGTAATATGATATCAAGTCAACAACTTTGTCTCTCTCTTTGGACTATAATTTGGTGCACTAGAAAACATCCACCAAACATTTAATTACTCATGTACGTAAGCCATTGTATGTATGCCATTATATTATATATTTTGTGGATATGGTGGTTGATTGAAATTGAATCCTTTTCCCGGAACTTTCATATGGATACCAAAACAGGAGATTTGATTCTTTTGATTTACACCTTATGTACCCACATGGATCTTGCCTCTTCATTATCCAACATACTCCCACCTTTGCAAACCTTCACTGCACTTTCCTATGCGGCTATGCCCATCCCTCCTCTTATCATAAACCCAATCCTCTTCCCACATATTATATATCTTTATAGTTTACAGACTCATGTCGAATAGATAAATATTTTATCTTGTCAAACTGCAAATTTCAACTACACATATTTTAATACTCAAACAACAATCGATCAATAATTCAGATTCACAATTCGTAAAGCAGTTAAACAATACATCATTTCTCATAGTTTATATATATATTAAACCAACAATAGTGTGATGTTTAACTCTTTTGGCCTATAGGTCACTTGGCCTCAACCAAATTGGTCCCTACCTCCTCATCAGGACTCGACCTGCATCGATTTAATGCGGGATTTTTGTATTAGATATGTCTTTTTCATTGATATACAAAGTACGGAAAGCCAGAACCATTTGGTACGGTGTATGCCAGTTAAGAGATAGAATATAGATAAGGAAAGAAGCAATGAATCTTCATTCATATATTTTGGTTGGTAGTTAGAATTGTCTGGATGCATATATAACAAAAGAAAAATACTTTACTCCTTACTTAGAAAGATAAGTTATTTATTTATTTATATACAAATGATATTGAAAGAAGGTGAATCAAAATTAGGACATCAGGTGCAAGAGTAAATACTCTTAATCACTTGAACTACTTACTGGAAAGACATGTTTATGCTTACCAACATATACTTGATATGATCGTAGATACTTTTCCTTACATACTTTGAATGAATTAATACTGTATATGTATGCCGATGTAAGGAGCTAAACAGTGTTGTTACCAAAGGGTAGCGAGCTCCAAGCTAAGTTTTGAAGTTGATAGGTGTATTTGTCTTCCATATATTGACTAACAAAGAGGCTCATTTGTCTTCGGCCGTCAAAAGTTTAGTTCCAAACATAGAAATATTGACTGGTACCTAATAACCTTAAAAAGTAAAAAATAAATAAAAAAATAAAAATTCCCAGTCTCCCATAATGAAAAACAAAATAAAATAATTGAAGTATGAAGTCATGTATTTGCTCATCTAATCTGCATGCTTATTTTGAAGTCACATCGTTCCATGATGATGAATATTGAAGACAACTCACATCCAGACCAACGAAATGGATGTCAAGTCATGCTTTCCCATCTGAAACGCAGCTTCCTAGTAAGAGGATCGATCATATATAATGTCAAATAAATTTACCTTTGACATTCTCTGTTATTTATTTATAATTAGTAGGTGAACTTGGTGGAATAGTAAAAACCCTGATTAACCTAGCTGGGTCAAAACAAATTGAAGTCATGGGATGATGAGCTTATAATAGTGACGAACCTTCCTTCTAATTTCCAACCAAACGAATAAGTCTATGCTTTTTCCAGGATTTCTGACAAATTGAAAATAAAGAAAGATGAGAGGGTGTGGGATTGGCATGTGAGAGTCGTCATTTAAAAATATGGGGACATTATTCATGGAGAATCATACTGCCACCCCACCTGATATATATAATTATATAATATTATCAAAATTAATGAATATTTTCGTGAGTGGTAAATTATACATTTTATATAAATAAATAAATAAAATGCCGCTCCATTTTAAGAAAGGAGATGCCTTTAATGCTAACATGATTATGTTAAGTGTGTGAAAGACTCAAAAAAAAAATTTTAAGGGGAAGGAGGAAGGAGGGAGGAGGGAGAGGGGGATTTGTACGGATTGACGACACTATTCTTTTCACACACATGTATTATCATTGGACAAACCAATTCTGCAGCTCAACGCAACATTCAAGAAAGCCTGAGCCTCTCTCTCTCTCTCTCTCTCTCTCTCTCTCTCTCTCTAATAATATTTCAGATTTCAGAATTAGAAGGAAGTATATAATATTAATTAATTTGGTCTCCTTAGTTTCTGCAAATGAGAAAAGTAGCTAGCTGCATAGATAACTTGACAAGTCTATAGAGATCACATGGACAGGGTGGTTTGTGGAAAAGCATGAAAATCCCGTTCACAATAGTCGCACATATAACCTAGAACTAACTGTACATGATGTTAGGGGTTACATGTGGGCAGTTAATTAACACAACTGCACCCTGATTTGGACCCATGTTTTGACCCTGACTTTGTCAAGTTAAAACACTTTAAAATAAATAAATAAAATTTGTAGTTTTTCTTATTCAAATTCATGACTCAGATTAACAGCATAACAACATAATATATTATATAATAAAAGAACATGGTTAAAAGTATGTATGGTCACGGTTACGTACTCTCGATTGACATTAATCTTAGTTAAACTTTGGAAAAGGGATTATTGGATAGATTGCTTACTACAATTCTTGCAAATTAAGAGTCATCGGTGGAGTAGAGACTGGAGAGATAACCTGACAACAATGGAGACAAGTTTGCTGGAAAGAGCTAATAAAATAGTATCTGCATGCTGCATGAGAGAAAAGAGCACCACTTTGCAAAGGGGGGCAAATGGCCCTTGCTTGGTCTCTTAGCCCTTTCAAAAGTATGTTTGTTTCAAAAAAAAAGAGCGTGTGTTTGGTTGCCACATCGTCATCACTCCATGCATGTGATGTGGTGGTGTGTGTGCATGCTGGCATCTTAGCCCAAAGTAAAATAAAGTTGTAGTTGCTGTTTTTGGTTTTGGCCGTACCAAATCGAATAACTCAAAATTTTAGGCATTGAACAAAGAAAACAGAGAGAGAGAGAGAGAGAGAGAGAGAGGAGAGAGAGAGAGAGAGAGAGAGAGAGATGCAGGTGTAGCCATCAAACAGTTGTGAGAGAGAGAGTTTAATTAATTTTATTAAATTCAAGTTTGTACTTTTAATTCTATATATTTTTGCATGAGGAGGAGGAGGAGGACCATGGGACGCGGTTTTAGAGCTCTGCAAGACAGACAAGTTACAGCTGTGTGTGTGTGTGTCTGTATATATTACATCTGCAATGACTTACTTGCTGTAGACTGCGCGTACGTTTTTTAGTTTTTGTGTTTAATATTTATATAATGAAACTACGCACTCTCTTTTTTTGGTAATTTATTAAAAAAAAATTGAACATTTTGTTTTGTGTTTCACAGCCCAAATTATGAAACTGGTTATTTTAAGCATCAGCTGCAGATCCTGGAAGTTGCCTCTTTTTAGAAAAGAATCCTATGTTTCTCTCTCCCTGATCTCTTCTCTGTGCATTATTGCATCACCTACATCATGCTCACTCTATTAAGATATGATTCCTTAAACTAAATATAGAAACTAAGACATTAGAGTAACATCACATAACACGGATGTGCAATTACCATTTTGCCCTTGATTTCGTTACACACTGACTATACCGATGTTAAGACTCGAAACTAGGACCTACACTAGTGGATCCTTAACTTGCTAAGTAATATTTGTTGGGTGTCAACTTACCCAAGGGGGTGACTTGTTGTGTAAGTCAAAAACTCTCTAGAAAGAAACAGTCATTTACTTTTAATAATTAAGAAAACTTTCCCATGCCGGTTTTCTGATTTGAGCCTATGGATCCCAGTCCAGGTTTGCCATATTCGTTGACAATGGAAAAAATTTACACTTTTAAAGTCGATGGCTTTTCTGATTTGAGCCTAGGAAAGCAAACTGCCAGCAAATTAAATGTAAATGCAAATCTTTTTTTTTTTTTTTTTTTTTTTTTTTTTTTTTTTTTTTTTCCTAATCTTTAAGAAACAATGTTTCACTACCCATAACAAATTACTTTGACTGAAACAAGACAGAAAAGTAAATTCAGAGATAAACAATAATTTATATTTTATATAAAACTGATAATATCTGTCACCCATTTTGTTATTTTTTTTAAAGCACTTTAGAGCCATACTGTTTTCTTTGACAAGCTAGAGAGATCCTGGCTGTGTGTTAGCTTTTTTAGCCCAAACGCGCATCTATAAATAGCAGCAACCTTTCCTCATCCCATTGAGTTCCCATCACATTCATTCATTTCTTCAGCTGCACAAGAAGTATCGAAAACAAGTCACAGAAACAGAAAACAAAAATATCAAACACCTTTGTTCACTGATCTTGTGCCCTAATTTGTTCAGCAAAACACTGGTTTGATCCTTATATCCAAGCTCATCAACAAAGGCACTGTGTTTTCTTATCAGCCATGGTGAAGACAGAGCAGAGGGTTCAGCTCACAGAGACATCAAAGCCAATGCCATCATCCAAAACATCATCAACATCAGCATCTTCATCAGCTTGCAAGAAGAAGAAGTACAAGGGAGTGAGAATGAGGAGCTGGGGCTCATGGGTTTCAGAGATTAGAGCCCCAAATCAGAAGACAAGAATATGGTTGGGTTCATATTCTACAGCAGAGGCAGCAGCCAGAGCCTATGATGCTGCCCTCTTGTGCCTCAAGGGATCCTCCGCCAACCTCAACTTCCCCTCCACTGCCTCCTCTCATTTTATCCCTCAGGAAATTACCATTATGTCCCCCAAGTCCATCCAGAGAGTGGCTGCAGCTGCTGCCAATAGTTTTGCCATTGATAATGCCACCACCCCAACCACCACAAATATTGCCTCCCCACCATCACCCCCTCCTCAATCTTCTTCATCTTCATCCTTGGTCTCCTCCCCATCAATGTCTTCGTCCCCGTCCAATAATCACCTAGACGACGACATGTCATCACTGATGGGGTCATTTGAGCCCTACACTCCTACTTATGATCATCCCCATCAGGCAATTGATCAATTACCAATGTCTAGCATGGAACCATGGAACAACTTTGATGATGGCCTACAATCCCCAAAATACATTGACCAGATGTTCAATGGCACCTTCTTCGATCCACCCATGATTTATGACTTTTATGAGGAAAGTGATATTCCCTTGTGGAGCTTCTGCTGATGCACCCAGTTCATATTATTCTTTTTTAATCCAATTCAAATTCATTCATGATCTTCGAAGCCATTTGCTCGGAGATTTACTGACAGTGACACAAATTTTACATTCTATAATATGAGTGAGTGAGATAGGTGAAGAAATTCCAAAGGGAGATTGAGACATTTTTCTGGACTCTATCTCACATGGGTTTCTATTATATAAAAAGATATGTTGTATTATATTTGATTTATGTATTATCAATTAATGAAAATTAAGTGTGTAATATATTATGCAATTGTTGTCAATGGTTTTACATATACATTAATATTGAATAAGAAGTGGAAATTTTTTCTTTTTTATTCTTTCCAATTTCATCTATGTACCCCTCCCCATGTTATGTCTCTTGTCTCATGTGGGAGGTTCATTGATTGTGTATGGAAGTGTCAGCTCAGATATGCCTATCTCAGTTGGGAACAAATTAAAGAAGAGGAGCAGGAGGAGGTTGTGGAAACTTGAAACCATCTGAATTTGTTTTCATCTGAAGGAACAATATCTTTTTCTTTTATTTTGCTCCTTGGGGAAATCAATCTGATGAGAAAAGGGAGAGACCCAATCCCATGGCCTTAAGAACAGAGCCAAAAAGAATGGGATTTCACCAGTTAGCACCTGCAAAAGGGTATTGGTACTCTTCAAAATTCTGATGCAAGTCATATGATAAACAGTGTTGTTGTGAACTTGAAGCTACTTTGATTCAAAGAATAAGTCAAACTACATGTGAAATGTGGAAACCCATAATATCTGAGTCATAGCTTATTATGCCCAAGTTTCAATTGGAGAATCCTAATGATCATTTAAAACTGCCTTCCAATTTTGTTCTCACACAATCTAACATGTTAATATTACCATATTACAATTGAGTAAGTGAATTTTTGTTTGAAATTATATTCGGGGGTTAACAATACGAAAACATAACAAATCGAGAAAAACTCGTGTAAAATGATTTTTTATATGTGATAATATCGATTAATTGGACAATTCGTTTGAATGATATCCGTAACATGTCATCTTTTAACCATAATTTTTTAGCACTTACTCGAATAAATTTACAAAGTTATTCCCAGAAAAGGAAGTGTCTAATCAAAACAGATTGAATCGACGAATTTGACACTTTGTGAGCAAAAGTTGAATCTGGTCAAGTGTTTGGAGGTAGTGGTTCAACCCAAGATTGCACATGATCTGTCCAAAAGAGCAGTGGGTGAGTGAGAGAGAGAAAGAGAGATCACAGCATGGGGTCCCATCCTCATTTGTTTCCCTCTACACTGTATTTAGTCTCTTCACAAACTTCTCAATGGGCCATAACCATTTTGGAAATATGTGTTTTTTTTTTGCTCTAACTTCTGAATATTATTAGAAATTATAATATGGGCATTTTTGGGCCCTCAAAAATTAAATTCAGAACATTGTGTTACTGCATTGTTTTGTACCCGTTTATATAAAAATTGGAGGCACATGATCAGCCCTAAATTACAATTCTCTAGAACTACATTTCACGACACAACATGTGATCTCATTTTTCAAAAAAAAAAAAAAAAAAAAAAAAAAAAAAAAAAAAAAAATTTGTTGTTTTGGGTTATATGAGCTAATGACACTTTAGACCAAACCAATTAAAAACTAATGACACAAAATTTGGATGTTGAATGGTGATCAATAAGTTTGTCGTTTTTGTCCTTTGTTTATATTTTCGTTCTAATTGATTCCATTTTATGTAATTTGGGATTTGTTTTGGTTGATCCTTCATTGGCTCTGAAAATCTTAACCTAATTAATGATCATTGAGGGAGATGCCCTTTGTTTTTCTTAATTAGAATGATTAATTATGATGTTGCTCAATACGTAGCCTCATGGGGGTCAGATCCAACATTGGCATGACTTCAATGATTTAGGGTTGGCCTCATTAGGACAAAACCAAATGAAGCTTGATAATTGATTGATTAATTCCAGTGTTTGTCTCTCTTTCTTTTCTATTTTTTAGTTTTGGAGAATCAATCCCAGGGTTTGTTTAAGCCACAAATATACAAGACATTATATAGATTTTGCAATTCCAGAAACACATACAATTTTTTTTAAGGGCTCTAAACTTGGACCGATAGATGTGGCATTTCATTACCAATTTTTTCTTATACAAGGCTTACAAGCGATATTAGTAAAGGAGGAATTCGAACACATGACCTTAGGTGTAAGGGTAACTGCTCTTAATCACTCTATAGCCTTTTGCGCATTTCATTATTGGTGTTCTATGCTTAGCTAAACTCAATGCCTACATGGCTTACTCTTACAGCTCATTTGATATATTTGGCGCGTTGAAAATGATGTGTAGCTTTCACCCCTAAGCCCAGCTCATTAACGCGTTCAGTCAAAGGTCTCTTTTGCATCCAAAACAACACTTTGATTATTAATAATCTGAGGGATTGAGTGTAAAGAAATTAAGCAAGTAATACTAAATGAGAAATAATATTTTATTAATTACTTCTTATAATGATCTAACAGTTTGTAGCTCAAATGATTAAGAGCAGTTGTCCCAGAATTTGAGGTCATGTGTTCGAATCCTCGATTCTCCAATATTGCTTGAATCTAATGAGATGAACAAGCTCTTGCTCAAAGGCCCACACACTTTGAGGCCTTTGTTAAGTAAACAAAACCATAACTCAGAATTTGTATTGGGCTTGCGCACCCTCCGCATTGTAGCCTTTCCGGGGTCTAAATTCTCATCAAATTCCAACCCAGGAACCCATTTGATTCATCTTGTCAGCCCGAGTCCGAGTTAAGAGCACCAATTACATTCTCAGTTTTTCGAGTAAGAAAAAGAGAAGCAGCCTTCAAGCACAGAATCTGGTTCTGCGCCTCATCGCCGTCTTCTATTTGCAACTCTTTCTGGTTTGCCTTTGGCTCTGCAAAACCGGTGAAGTAATTATGGGTCTTTCCAAGGAACAGTTGCTTGCTCGTTTAAAGGTTCTACCTTCTCTCTCTCTCTGTCTCTCTCTCTGGGTGTTTCATTTTAGTGTACTTCTCTGTATATTGGACTATGCCATTGAATTTGATCTGGGAATTCTTTGCTTTGCGTCAGAGTTCAATATTCGAGGTGAATTAGAATAGTCACAGTCGTTGATGGGCGTCTTTGATTCTTTACAATTTATGTGATAAGCCATATATTGAGTGTTAACCAAGGGAACCCAGATGAAGTTTGTGAAGAATAGTGAAAGTTATTACAATCCCATATTTTTGCTAAGCACTCTTCCATGCCTTGTTTAGCTGTGATGATAAACAATTTCATAGCTTGCAATAGTTTCTATTTACTTTGGTTGCTTCAAGGTCTTTGAGTTTCAGAGTATATCAAATCATAAGATATAATCATCTGGTAACAATGTGATACTTAGTGGAGCAACTATTTGGGCTTATTTATATTGGAGTTGCATTTGGTTCATCTTGTGAATGAAAAGCTAAAGTAGTGAATTTCTGAAACAACAGAGAAAATTGTTTTCTGATACTAGAATGTGCTTACATTGTTGCGTATGGCTATGTTTTTAAACTTTTAACTGCTGAATCCCTTTAATTTTTGGAACTAACTTATACTGTTGGTTTTGTTAGGAGCTTCAAATTGGTTTTTCCCAGTATGAACATCCTGTTGTTTTGACAGTTGAGGCTCAGGTAAAAGAAGATAAAAGAAAAGGGGAAAAAAATTTATCTTCCATCTTTTTGTGTCAATTGTTTTATGTATTCTGAGGCAAGCATATGATTTTTCCATCAGGCAAAATATGTTGGACATCTGGGAGGTGGACTGAGTAAAAATTTGTTCTTGAAGGTATCGTATTCTAATACTTTGGGAAACAGCATTTGCATTGCATAATAGTAAATTTTGCAGTTTTTGTTCTCTTCCATTCTCCACTGTGCGGAACAGCACCTACAGTTTTTTGTTTCTTAATTAAATGCAGGACAAGAAGAACAGGTTCTATATTGTTTCCGCTTTGGCAGATACTAAAGTAGATCTGAAAGGTATGCACGTATTCCTGATTCTGATCATTGTGTTATGTATCAGCATTTTGAATGTCACAAACTAGTGGTTCTGAGCTATCATATAAATGATTTTTTACTTATGTACCATTTGGAGTGTGCCTGAACATTTCTAAGCTTTATTTACAACTTGAAAGTTGCGCAGTTCTATCTATAAGGCTTGGTTTGGGAAAAGGTGGTTTGAGAATGGCTCCTGAAGAAGCACTTGGAGAATTACTTCAGGTTGGCATATGCTAATCTTCAATTTAATCAGATTAAAAATGATATTGATTCTTTGATTTCTAAGATCTTCTGGCATGTCAGCTTATGCTTCGAATTTATTGGCTATATTTCATATGTATATTTAAAAAACAAAAAGAGATATGCTATTACAAAAAATGTCATGTAATATGTAATTTCCTTTCCTATTCTGTTTCTTATTGCAAGGTCCCACTTGGTTGTGTTACTCCGTTTTCACTGGTGAATGAATCTGCAAGGTATACATTACTCTTTCATTCAATTAAGATATTAAAATTATATATGGTTCTCTTCTTGATATTTCATTCACGCATTATCATTTGTTACTCTTGGCCTTGAACTTATAACGCTTGTGAAATGATTTGAATCAGTTACTTCTTACCATTTGATTGATGTTGTTTTGCCTATGTAATTTTACAGTAATCAACAATTGACTGAATAAAAATCGTAATTCTGACCATTTTGATTTTGTGGGAAAATATTCCATGGCCAGCATCACCATTTTAGGTGGTGGGAATAACTTTCTTTCCGGCGGAGTTAATGTTATTTAGCCTGTGCATGTTGATACTTTACTCCTTTTTTTCATATCTTTTTCTTTTGTTGACTTCTGTCTTTCTTTCTTTTTTTTTGGTGAAGGCATGTCTCTCTGTTGTTGGATCAAAAATTTAAAAGTCAGGAACATTGCTTCTTCCACCCATTGTCGAATGACACATCAATCTGTAAGCAATAAGGGTTTTGATGAGCGAAAAGGATATATTTGTCTTCTCTTCTTTCGTATATTCTGATGAACTTTCATGTTGTTTACTAGTTTATTTGTTTATTCTTCTCTTTATAAACCTCATATCTATATGCGTATAGCCTTACCTTGGATGTCTCTTATAGATTGAGCATGATGTTCCAAGTCAATTGCAGGAAATTAGCTGGATGAGTAGTTATTTGGGATAGGTTAGGAATAGTCTAGGCAAGGAACACACTTTCAATTGTAAAGTTTCTCCTGATCTTATTGTTTTAATTAGTGTGGTTTAATTCCTGTGTTAGAGAAACATTCCATTTTGTTAACTTATGCTTTTCGTCCTTGATTAGAATTTACGCTGTATTACTATGTTGTGTGTCAGGATTTTCATTTTTTACTCCAATATATATATATATATATATATATATATATTTGTTTGTGAAGACATTCTGATTCTGGTATAATTTGTTGAATTATTAATTTTTAATCATGTCACCCACATCTTTAAAAGAAAAAAGAAAGTGTGATTTTTCAGAAACTGCACTCAGTATGAGTATTTTATGTCATTGTTCTTAATAAGTTTATCCCTGATTCATGACAAAATTTTCTGTTTCCAGCACTTAGCACCCATGATCTCGATAAGTTCCTTAAATCAATTGGGAGAGACCCCTCATATGTTGACTTGGAGGTAATTAGAATTAAGTTTGTCAGTGATGTTTAAGGAACACTAGATCATTTCCTCAAACATTATTCGGCTCATGCAGGCTAACCCTTCAGTTGGGAAAGATCAACCGCCAGATCTTGCTTCTCTTGTTCCATCCGGTTCCACAGTGTTGCCCAATCCTCCAGAAGCAGAAGCTTCCTCAAAAGGTTCCATCGAAAATCCAGTTTCGGTCAGTAACAAGTCAACGACAAGTACAGGTATATCAAGAAAAAATGCAATTCATTGTAGATATGTAGAAACAGAAATAGAATTGATTCTAGATTAACTTCTCCTCAGCAAGGCTGGCCCGGATGAATTTTACTTGTCAATATTGTTCTATTCTATTGATTCTTTATGATAAAACCGCCATTGTGTTATTTTATTTATACATTTAAGCAGCTTATTTAAATGATTAAGATTTTTTTTTATTTAAAATATTATCATTTTCTTGTTAAGGGATTATGGGTATGTATAGATTGTGTTTCCTTTTTGTTATTCATGTTAACCAGTAAAATATTCTTTCGTGATGCAGCAAATGCTACTAAGCCATCCACTAATGCAAAAAATACTAAGGACAAACCAGTCAATGGTGTTCACGTATCAAAGTCCGTAACAGATGTTGGAAAGTTGGTTGAAGATTTACTGGATAAAACATCTGCATTACTGCTTTCAGAGGTTAGAACAATACTATGGTTCTCTTGAGTTTCAACTTTTGCATTACTTTGTTAGGCTCATGGAATCAAGTCATGCAGACCACTGAGGAGACTATTAAGAAACATGGAGCACAGCTGGGAGCTGCGATATCAAATAGTATCAGAAGCCATCTTCGTGCAGAGTTGGAGAGCACCATTGTATGTATTTTGCTTTGATGGTTGAATGCTCTATTCTGAAGCATTTATTGCCCATTAATTAAAAGCTCTTAGTGTGTAATGGCAGTTTTATAGAGCACTTGGATTACATGTTGAGGCATGGCTGTTCACTGCCATTGGTGCATGCCCAATTCTGAAGTTTTTGAAAGAATTGTTCAAATCCATGATCACGAGATCTTTTTTTGTTTTGTTTTTTATGCAGATGACGTTCAAAAACTCAGCATATACTGAAGGGTTTCATGCTGGTGTACACCATCATGCAAAGCGTACATATTGATGATTGTTTTAGAGTTCAGCATCAAACTGTTCCAATGTTCCTTCCAGATTTCAATCAATTTTATGATCTGATATACTAAAATATTCTCTACTACATTCGATGGAATAGGTATAACATCTTAACTGTCTGGGATGCTTCATTTCAAAATTATTTATGTTTTTTTCAATTACAAAACAGCATATTTGGAGGATTAGAACATGAATCTATGTATATCTGTTGTTTATGTGCATCTAATTACTTACATAGTTAAGACATTCACAACAATATCAGACAAACAGTCAGAGCTTTAGATACAGGTATTTAGGTGAAAAGTTTAAGGTTATTGCTGCAGTGCTGACTGTCAGTTACGACGTGAAGGACCAGTCTGCTCCTGCTGAATAAGTTATTATGGGTTAAACACGGGGCCAGTTTGATTTTTAAGCAAGTTTTGTGAAGCTCTTGCGTCTGTTGTGTGTGATAATTCCAATATTCTGAAACATGAATGTGTGGTGGTGATTATATTGTTCTGCTCACCTGAGAGATAGAGGTGAGCGCCTAAGAGCCTCCAAAATTATTGGAACATGAATCTCTGACGTAATGTTGTCCAGATCCAGAGTAATCAGCCACTTAGGGGTTAGAGAATAGTGCAAGAACGCCACCATGGCTCAGCTGCAACAAAACTTGAATTCAGCATGATGAATGAATATATGCAAGCTTCCGTAAAGAATGAATTATGGCCACCTTTATCATCAAATTGAAGGCATTCATATTATTCATGAAAAAATAAATCCACGAGAAAAAGCTGTCGTTCAAAAAAAAAGAAAAAGGGTTTATTTCTAATAAAGTAGAGATGAGACATGGACTCGAAGAAATGAGAGTTGCAATAGCTTTATTATTTTTTTGGTAGTAACATCAAGCACATCACAATCATGTATGAAACTCATAGTTTGATTATGTAAGCTTTGGGGGAATTCAACACTAACCAGCTCTAGAAGCAGAAGTAGCAGCACTATGTTGCTCATTACCCCCCTGTGGTTGAATTCTTCTATGCCTTGCTCCAAACGGCCACAGAGACCTCAGCCTACTCCAACTCAAGCACCTCTGACTCCTCCTCTCAGTATTCGAACCCTCCGACTCCTCCGACCCGTCGCCACAAACCGGAATCCCGACCCGGCAAACTGGGCAAGAGTTGTGCAGCCTCAGCCATGGAACAATGCATTCGCTGTGGTATATGTGATTGCATGGCAACTCCCTCGCCTCTGCGCCAACTTTAAACTCCTCCATGCAAACTGGGCAACAAGGGTCGTTGCCCAAATGGTCCTCTGTGATTTTCACTGTTGGTAATGCGTTGATTTCTGTTTCCGGTACTGGAGACGGGCCGGGCCTGTCGTTTTGGGTCAGCTCTTCGATTAGTCCTTGGAGACCCGACCCAAAAAAGTAGTTTTCCAGATCGACTCCACGTGGCACTGGTAGTATTGGATTTTCTTGTGATCTGGGAGTGGGGCCCAGCGAACTAGGAGGATCCTCGATGGGACGGACAATAATCCAAGTCCTAGGACGATTTCGAGCACGGGGTTCGGGTTCTGGGTCCCAATTCTCTCTACCATCAAAGCTAGGGTTGCGTCGCCTGCGCCTATTTGTCCTCGACTCTTGAGTTTCAGCTTCTGTTTAAAATTAAATAACTAAATATCGAAACAAACATTTTTAAACAAACTCATGAAACAATTCTCAATTTATTTTGTGGAACGCACTTTTTTTTATAGTATGTGCATGATCACCACTGAATTTGTTCATATTCAAACTATACGTACCCATGCCTCTTCCCTCGTGACCAAGTTGGCGTCGCCTAAACCGGGGACGTTCTCTTGCATCTGCTTCTGGGTCATCCAATCCATGGTTGAAAGCCCCCATAGGAGGGTCGAACATGAGAGAAAGTAATTCCAGCAAACGAGCTTCTGGGGAAGGATCGAAGTCGGTGTAGTCTAGGAGATCTCTAGGCCTGATTGACCTGTCAAACTCCGAGAGGAACTGTCCAAAACAACGAGGGCAGACTATCTCTGATGGATTGGTGGTGGAGGCGATCCTCACCGTTCGATTGCATTGGTAGCACCAGAAGAGCTGGTAGGTTGTGCTGCCATTGTTGATGTCTATGTCTCTTACGCGAGGTGGGCTCAGAGACATGTTTGATTGGGAGAGGTTGGAGATTGAAAAGTATTAGATGGTTCTGTTCAGATAGGGTTTTATTTGGAACTATCAAATGGGAAATTGAAGATGTATGAGTAGAAGTGAAAACAAAGAATGGCTTTTAGGGTACACAAAGCAATCCTCTTTGTTTCTTTCTCGCTCTGCATTCTGATGCATCAAGTTTGCTTCTTTTTGGGTTTGTAGGGTATATAGGGTTCACACTTTCGTTGTAACAAAGAAAGGGATGAGTGAGATATTGGTTATCAATTCAATATCATGCATGCAACATGACGCAAATGAGGTTTCCTAGTGTGAGAGAGGGGGTATTCTTATAAATAAAATAAAAACAATCAAATTGGATTGAAGGGAATTTGGATATTCTTATGCTTTGGGCCTCTTGTTTTATGTTTTAAGTCCCTTTTGTTATATTATGGGGCCTAGCCTCCTAGGTATATTGATCTTTCTTATCTGATTTTGTAGCACCTTGTGTCGTTATTTTGTAGCCCTCAATCTCTCTGCATGGCATTCAAAGGCCTCCTGACTTTCGTGGAAAGGATATTAGCCTATGCATATGAGACTATATGCATTGCGAGTGTATGCTATTCTCGGATTCCGACTATTCTTTTATGGCATGTTTACTTACTCTAAGTTAAAATGAGGAGTAAAATTATTTCGAGTCCTGAGCTTTCCTATGTTTACCAACACATACTCTAATTCCTGACTTTTCTACATTTACTAATACGTAAGGAACAAAAACTTACGGTTGGGAGACAACGTGGGAATGTTTGCTTGATTTCGATCCTCCAAGGGATACAACTTACATTAATTTTGATTTTGATTCTATAATGTTTGTGCATGCTAAGGTAATAAGGAAAAAGTGAAGACTTGTAACACTTACTGGGTCTGGGCATGCAAGTGAATAACATAATAAGCCCAACTTATATATGATCCCAATATCTTGATTCGAATTCATTTCGTTTTTATGTCACATTAAAATGGGCCATAGGCCCATGATGAATTCATTGTTTAATCTCAAGCCCAGAAAAGAAGGGGCTAATTTCATTTAGGTCACAAATTTATTCAGCCCTATTTTCACCACAAAAGGATTAATTAATTAATTAAATTCAGCCTTAATAATCACATTATTCAGTGGAAAAGAAGTTACAAGTCATGCTCACCTCACTGCTCGCAACCACGAGATAAAAGTGAGCTTAATTATGAACCCAAACAATGGCATAATTAGAGATCAGTGCACTCATCTGTACAGATTATATAAAGTCCTGTCCAAACCGAGTATCATTGCTCTTGGTTCAGTTCTATTATTTTACTTTTTCTTTCTCAAACTTGTTTAATTATGATTTTTTTTTTTACCAAAAGAAGAATTAACATGTAGAGGAATGGTCGACAATAAGATAATTATCTTTCTATTCATTGGGAACAATAATTATTTTTATCATACGATCTCATGCATGTTTGGGCATGGATGATCATTATAAATAAATAAGGGTTTTTAATTGTAGAGGACTTCAATTTTACCTCGAGTTTTAATTGAGTCCCGAATTTTTTTTGAGGCAATTATATCCTTTAAGTCTTACGGTTACATTCTGTCAATTTAGCCATTTATTTGAAGGGTAATTCAGACTTTTGACAACAAATACCTCATTTCCATGTCTTTAGTTTATTTTTCATATTGCATAACTTTTTAAAATATTTTAATCTAAATGGACTATTTTAACCCTTAAATTGACAATCAAATAGACGGCAGGACTTAATTGTAACTACTTATGGAGTTAAATGATGTAATTGACTTTTAATTGTAACTACTTCTGGAGTTAAAGGAAGTAATTGCCTTTGAAAAAACATTATGGGACTCAATTGAAACTCGAGATAAAGTTCAGAGACCTCTACAATTAAAAACACAATAAAGAATTTATGTATATTCCCACTAGCCATGTATAGCTTATTTTCCAAGTAAACACCATATATATATATATATATATATATATAATGAAGGTAGCACTTGAAGGTAGCAAACCAACCCTTTGACAAAGTTTCATGATCACCATAAATTTTGAATACGATTTCTCATAAAATTCAATAGATCATTTGAATTTAAATATAATGTTCCATCAATCATTCTATTCAAGTTGGACGGCAGGACCATCACACCTATATAGCCCTTTCATTTCATTCAACCCTATATTTGGAGAAATGAATTTCAACATGAAAGAGAAAATAATAATAAAAACATATCCATATCATATGTGTTTTTTTTTGGGAGAGTATTCTTGAATTTATATATACACATTAAATGACGTAATGGCCTGTGTTTTTTTTAGGGTCAAAGTTAAGAAGGATAAGAGGGGGAAACTCACACACACATGTATAACTATAGAGGGCTTGAACCCAAGATCACTTGGGAGCACACCAAAAAGCATTGGCATCCAACTAACACCCCATTGAAGACGTATTGACGTGCGTTAGGTTTTGCAAACTCCCTTGAACCCGTGTGTGATATTTACAATATGCAATTAACTAAACTCAGTAATTATAATATATAAGTTGGCGTAGTTCAAGACCTTTTTTTAATATTATTATATTCTACATATATATATATATATTTAATTTCTAAACTTGTCATTTTCATAGAAAAATCTCATCATATCTCTAAAAACGAAATATCACAATATTATACAAGTGTATATATCTCACGTCGTATCCTGCTACTAACGTGTACGTTACAAATTTAACTCAAAAGTTTTGAGATTTTTTTATGTGGACATTTGTCTTTGATAATGACCAAAGTCAAAGAAACTAAAAAACTAGGATCCAAAAACAAACAGAAAAAACATAGGCACTAATTCTGAGTATTAAAAAAACGTAGGCACTAATAAGTCAAAAAAGAAGACAGGGATTAGGTGACTAAAACCTCTCACAACTTGTCCCATAAATTTGCCAATAAAAGTACAGTTTAGATGTTTGCATAAGAACATCCACAATAGGCTCTCTAAATCACCTCCTTAGACAAATTTTAGAGAGACATTGTAAAAATGCAACTCCAACTATGCTCCCTATCCACCTCCTAAAATAGGAAGTCCTCTAAGAGCTCCTAAATCTGAGAAGAGAGAAGGGACTCTTAGTGGCTCCCTATAATTTAATGCTGCTTTATTTAATGAGTATTTCAAACCTTTATTTAATGCTAACTATTTTTATTTTTTTTTAATATAGATGGACTAATTAAAAAAGAGTTATAGCGTTTATGACTCTCCAAATTAAGGAGTATGGTTGGAGTTGAAATTTTTTAGAGAGATCCTAAAATAACTTTATTATATTTTTAGCTAAATTTTAGCTAAGAAATCATTGTGGATGCTCTAAGTGTGTGTATATATATATATATATATATATATATTTGCAATAGGATATGTGTGTGTATATATATATATATTTGCAACTTCCTTTTAAGGTGTAGCATTTAATTAATCACAAGAGAGGTTTCAAAGTCAAATTTTTTTAGGTGTTTGCATGGGACCCCGCTAGCATGTTTTGAAAATCGAAGGTCGGAGACTCAGGACCTTTTTGGTGTTTGAAATTTGAAGGCAACTCTAAGAGACTAGAGCAAGGTAATGCTTTTGATATGTTCGTCACTTCTCTCTCTCTCTCTCTCTCTCTCTCTCTCTCAAATCTTTTTTTCTTTTAATTTCCTCTCTTTGGTGTATAAAGACAAGTACTTTTGTTTGTGTATAAAGTTATGGTAGAAAATTAGAAATCAAATGCAACCCAATATTGTTAATGAGGTCTAATCCAGTGAAAAAGGGCATTGACTTGCAAATCTAGTAGTCTCATATTTGAACTCCATGATACCTTGACAATGTATGTGTGAGAAAACCTATCTCTCCCAATATCGCTTGTATCAACAACAACAAAATGCAACCCAATATTTGATCAAGAGCTAAAAAATGAAATAAGTTAACATAAGCACCACTAGTTTAAAACTTTAAAGAAAAAGGTGATAGTATATAAGCTTTTGTCATATTAAGTCATCTGCATGGCAAAGATACCATTTGCCATTTCAAATTTATAAAAGCAACAAATACACTTTTTTATTTTATTTATGGCAACAAAGTTACAAAACCAGCAAAAAGATAACATGAGTTTCCAATCTATCCTTGGAAACATTACTTTGTGCGGAAATTGTTCTGAGATAGAGCAGGCTAAGCTAATTGTGGAACCAAACGCACTAGCTGGCCACTCCATTATAGAAATCTCCTTTAGTAAAAAGAAGATGTAGGTTGCATCATGGTGTGGTTGATTTGGAGTCAAACAAGAAAGGAGAAGCTGATATGGACATTAATTCATTTATAATTTATATAATTCTTCTTCTTTCTTCTCTTTGTCACTGCAATTATATCACTTGCTACAACTATGGCACTTGCCGTATGACTTATACATCGTTTTGGAAATTGCCGTTTAGACCTAAAGAGGGTTAGCTGAACGTGGCACTTTCTCAAATCAATCAATTGCTATTGCAATTTGCATGTAGATAAATTTACAAGACAAAGTTATGTGCACAAATCTTTTCTATATCACGGATTTTGTATTACAAATTTAATCATTAAGGTTTAGATAAAATCTAATAGTTTTACTACAACAGGCGGGCAGCTAACCCGTCACTAATTGGTCAAAAGTAAGACTTAAGTTTGGAGAGGGGTACTTATCATATATTCCTCTTCTTATAACATACTACTTGAGTAGTCACTTAATTAATGCGTGCTATAAGAAGAGGGATATATGCACCGGAATATATATATATATATATTCTGTTAAATTCAGCCATTTTATTAAGAAAAAATACTTGCATGTCTAATCTCACACACTATGTTGTTGAACTGTGTGAAATATGAACAAGAGGGTTTAACGTGAAAGAGATAAAATTTTCTCCAACCAAAGGATCAAGTAAGATATGATGTTGAAGTTAGTTGCGACTTATAGCTTCACACCTACACCTACCCTAAATAGTTGAACTCTCACCATTCTAATGTTTGAACAAAGGCTTAATATCACAAAACATCCTTAAGGTTTACAAAACTATCATATTGCATCCTTAATGTTATTTTGTGTCATTTGTGGTCCTCAATGTTAGTACGTATGATCACAAATGGTTCTTGCCGTTAGGTTCTGTAAAAAAATTTGTTAGTTTGCTGATGTGACATATATATATCACAAAACATCCCTGAGGTTCACGTACCTATCACAAATGGTCATTGGGAATTTTTTTTTTATTTTTTAATTTAAAATTCGTAAAATTTTGGTTTCCTTGTTAAAATTTTATGAATTTTAAATGATTTAAAAATATATATTGTATTTTAAATACACGTGACACTGTATTATTGGAGATGTGGGCTCCACATATATATATATATATGCCACATCAACAAACTAATGGAATTTTAAAAATAAAAATTTTAAAATTCATAAAAAATTTAAATGAAAAAACTAAGGGCTTAGGGTTCATAAATGGTCCTCAAGGTCAAAATCCTTCTATAAATGGTTTTTTTCATTTTTTAAATTTTTAAATTTTAAATTATTTATAAAAAAAACTTCATTAGTTTGTTGATGTGGCATATATGTGGAGCCCAAATCTTCAAAAATATTGTGTCACGTGTATTTAAAATACAATATATATTTTTAAATAATTTTAAAAAGAAAATCAAAATTTTATGCATTTAAATTTAAAAAATTAAAATTTTTTGCAATGACCATTTGTGATAGGCGCGTGAACCTCATGGATGTTTTGTGATATATATATATGTCACGTCAACAAACTAATGAAGTTTTTTTATGGAACCTAACGACATAGACCATTCCATTTGTGATCACACATACTAACTTTGAGAACCACGAATGACAAAAAAAATACATTAAGAATGCAATCTGATAGTTTCATAAACCTTAAAGACGTTTTGTAACATTAAGCCTTGAACAAATAACAAAGAAAAATGAAGTTTGTACGAGTAAAGTCACTTGTTCATGTTCTGTTGAGTTTGGACCAAGATGATGATGCCATCTCACAAATCATACTTTACCATCCATGTTATTGATGTTTAAACACATTGTGTGTTTCCAAAGACAAAAAAATAAAATAAAAAGGTTCACACATTTTGTATTATTGTACGGTTTGCAGAATAAGTTCATGATACTTAAAGATGAGCTACCTATGAGATGACTGATTGACCAAATCGAAGATGCAATGTCCCAAAGAAAGGTCAAATTTATCAGAAAGGAATTTATTACCAAGATTATTATTCAAACATTATAAAGAAATCATGACATTGAGGGGGACATGGACATTGAGAATTGCTCAGTGTGATAATGGATAATCAATGCATGAACCAGACATGCCTTTCATATCTTGTCCATTGTTATAAAAAAATATATTACAGAATCTGATGGGAAAATCTCTGAAATGCTTGAACCTTTTTTTATTTGTAGAGGAAGTTTTGCCATGAACACCACTCCATGCTTAGAGGGTCCCCCCCTCCTTTTAATATCTCATATTTTTTTCCCTTCGTCTATAAGCATTGTAGGTTTTCCATGTCCTATTCTTACCCAGTTAATGTACTTGAGATCATATATATGATCTTGAGATGTAGATTTGAACATACCTTTTTGTTAGAATACAAAAACAAGACTTGACCCATGTCTTATTAGATACGAAAGCATAAATGTTAGAATATAATAAAGCTAAAAGTTAAGATCCACATGCATCTTTACTATTTAAACTTTCAACATCAACAAGTGAGCTAGAGAAAATAGTAAAACAGAAAAGGAAGATCTAGGATACTAAAACTAATATCCATCACAACTTTTCTCAAATTTTAATTAACTAAGGACATATTTAATCGATTCGTAGTAAGTTCATATATAATAAATGAAACATTATCACATCGAACTTTCAACTTAGATAACGGTTCGATACATTCAAAATTTTGGCATTTTAATTTCTGTGATTTGATTATTGGCATGAACCCACCAACTACACAGACTAAGCACTCCAGTCTTGAACAAAACACTTTTCTGGGGATTCATCCAAAGAAAATTTGACTGGAAACTATAGAAGTCTAGATTATTGGTTCAAAATGAAGGAAGAAACAAAGACCTAGAGATACATATATAATATTTCAATCTCTTCCCACAGTGGGTCAGAAATTGAGCCCTCCCAAGGAAACCAAAAGATTAAAATTTGCAATTTTATAACTATATGTGGACCAAATTATGACACACCCAGATGGGAGCCTATTAAATAACAATGGAGAAACATAATATACTCCAAGAGACATAAAAATAAAAAATAAAAAAATTAACAATTAAGCATAATCTTATTGCAGCTCTCTCTTTCTCTCTCTTCCCCAAATCCCCACCATTAATGAAAACCAGGCTAGCAGCATATATGTTAGGTCAGGGATGATGTAGCTTCTATCCATTGGGATTTTTTTTAAAACCAAAACCCTAGAGGATTGGTCAAAGATTGTAAAAAATTCAACCCCTTTAAAAATATTAGAAAATAAGTGCCTTTTTTCTCTCTTTTGTGAAAAAATGCATGTGGGAGTTGTTAGAAAATTAACCTAAGAAGACATTTGAATCTGGAGAGGGGGTATTATTACCCCCTTGCGACCAAAATAAACAAAGCAAAGAGAAAAAGAATCTACATACTATATTTTAAAATTTGAAAAAAGAAACAGAGAAAGTTCTTCTTCTTCTGGTCTTTTGGGTTCTTTTTTATATTGGATGCAACAGAGATTGTGGATCCAGCAAGCATGAAAAGTTAAAAGATTTTTACACCAGGACAAAGAGCCCCCACCCACCACCCCCACATGATGTGCTATTTCCGTATAAAAATATTGCAATCTCCTAACATTATCCTACTGGATGAGGAGTGCACATGGCTACTTAGCATTAATTTAATCAAATCTGTGTCGAGCCTATCGGAATTCTAGTCAATTATGTTCTTGATCAAAAAGATAGTCCGGCCAATTCAAATAGGGACTCATCTATTTGTCACATATTGTTTGGGACCCCTATAATTTTAAACGCAATACTGCTTGGCTCTTTACATGTACTGATCGATTATTTATTACTTACGAATTACAGTTAAATACAGACTTATTTTAAATATAAAATAATAATAAAATTATGAACATATGTCAAATTGTGATTTACGAATAACGAACTGAGTATTTTAAAGAGAGAAAAAAGAGTTTTTAGATAAGGGTTGAGATGGGTGTTTTGAGTAAGGGTCACTTTTGGCCACATGTGGGGGGGTGGTGTTGGCAACTTGGCATAGTGGAATAGTGTGATCAGTTATGGTACCTTGATCTTTCCCATCTTCTCACGTTACTTCTTTGTTTGACATTTTCTGTCATAAGGGTATTGCTATGAATTGGTCGGGAACTTCTTTGTACGGAAAAGGTTGAGCAAGCACAAACATATCTATAAATTGAAAAGAAAGGAATATATGCATTATGAGGAAATCTCTTACCAGACAAACACTCTCACTGAGACTTATAATCTTTAGATCAGTGAACAAGTGAGTTGTTATGGATCAGTGAGCAATCCTTGACCACTGCTCGTGGAGCACGCAATTTATCAACGACTAGCATTCACCCACCCATGACTCTATCATTATTCTTAACTATTTGAATTAGGACAAGTGAAAGTCAAATATTGTTTAGATTTACAATATCTAATATTTAATATTTTGAAGGACAGATAGATACGTTCTTCACTTCAGCTCTATTTTACCTGCCAATTTATGTTCAGTTGATCAAAATTTGAAAGACAGATAGATACATTCCTGAGGCTCAGACAGACAGAGATACATACATTAGGGTGAGCAAGTACAGTTTGCATTCCAATGGTTGTGAGGTCCCCAAATTGAAGATAAGGCTTTTTTTTTCCTCGTTTGTTGCAGATAAGTTGATGATGATGATGATGTTACAGAATAAGAGACAAATGGTGATCAAGCAATTGATCTCATTATTGCAGTCTAGAGAGCACAATAATGTAACTTCATGCAGAAAGAAGAACCCCACAAGTCACTACCGATTTCAAATACACAAACAACAGAAAGGGAAAAGGCCAAAAATTCTCTGAAATTTTAATCTTCCATTGATTTACATGGTGTATTTACAAGTTACAGTGTGATGATCGAAGCCTCAAACACATGCTCCCTCACTCACTCTCTCACTCTCTCTCTCTCTCAACCTCCGATGAGCTTTTGCTCACCGGGTTGACATTTCGAAAGCACTTAAAATTAGTAAAATTTACACTACCAAAACAATAGATGTCTTTTAGACATTTGTATCACAAAATTTTCCATCCATTCGGTTTTGAACAGCTTTGACAGCAGCAACTCTGGCAGCAGTGGCAGCTCTGTTTGCCGCCATGACTGCCTTGTTCACATGTTCATCTACCCGCCGGAGGTTAACAGCATTCTCTGCAGCTTTCCCAGCAGCCTGCAATTTCATAACAACAAAATAATGAACAATGAATTAGTTATTCAAATCTTTTTTTGTCATGTAATGGTGAATGTGCTAAAGTCCTAGTTTGAATGAGACTATAAAATACCTTAACTGCTCGAACAACTGCATCCGTTAGCGGCGCAAGAGGGTGCTTAAGGGTGCCACCATCCCACATACCACATCTTGTGTCGCCATTTCGAAAAGTATAGACGCCATAGCCCTGCTTCCGGCCTTCATGCCATGAACCCTCGTAACAATGACCATTAGCAAAATGATAGACCCCGAATCCATGGATTTTGTCTCCAAAATATTCTCCTGCATATCTATCTCCATTTCTGCAGCAAAATCAAATTTATCATCATTGTCAGGTTCCTCCGTCAAAGTACATGAACAATTTAACCAAGAAAAGACGCATAGTATTAAATAACTTGTAGTTTCAGCATCAAATTCAACTGAATGCCAGACGACTGAGGTGCACAATTGAATACGAAAACACACCATTAAACGCATACATAAGGAAATAAATTGGCTAACCAAATGAAATTCTCGAGATGATAATAACAAAATCATCAAGGAAGCCATAATGGAAAAACAGAGACCTGTAAGGATTCTTACTTGGATGTATTAATTGCAAATCAACCAACCACACAACACCCAAATTCCACTGTTTTATTCATCATGAACAGTTCACAAATAGTAAACCCCACAAGAATACAGGTCAAACCAAAATCACGAAATTCAAAACCTCAAGCAACCCAAGAAAACCCAATTGAAGCTACCCAAGAATTCTCATCAAGAAAATGGAAAAAGAATGAATCTTTACTGTATTATAACTAAAAAGGAAAGTAACCCAAATTTTGTTACCACAAATCCAACCAAAAGCAACCCAATAAAGATTTCGAAAACAAGAATTGAAGAACTTACCTAAAATGGTAGCAACCAAGGCCATGCTTAGCGCCATACTTGAATTCACCAACATAGCAGCTACCATCAGAGCAAGTCTGCACTCCAACGCCATGGCTCTGCCCATTGCACCACTCCCCTGCATAAGAGTCCCCTGTGTAGAATCTATAAACCCCATACCCATGCCTCGATCCTTGCCTATATTGACCCTTGTATCTGCTTCCTCTAGCCCACCCCTCAATCCCATACCCATCGTACCTCCCATCGATCCAATCGCCTTCATACCTCCCATTCACAAAATAATTGTAAACTCCGCTCCCATTGCATTTGCCCTTGTGAAATTCCCCCTCGTAGAAATCGCCATTGCTGTAAAATTCGACCCCTTCCCTTATAATCTTCTTCTCCTTTCGGGCCTTGTTCGTGTTCGGGTCGGACCCAATGAACCACTGGACCGGCTTCGACCCACCGTTCGTCTTGCAGAACCGGAACCGCTTCGCATTCTCGTCCCAGGAGTGTTTCAGAACGGAGACGCTGTGGTTGATTAGGCCCCTGTTCCTGTTCGCCAAGAAAAGGGTGACTGCGACGAAGACCAGAGCCAGGAGGAGATTTTCGGAAGTGGGTATCTCTTCTCTTCGTAGATAGAAGAAGAAGAAGAAGCCGGAGAAGCTGAAGAGGGTGAAGACAGTGAGAAAAGCCATCGCCAGGTGCTGGTGGCTGATCCGGTTCGAACCGGGTTTCTGAGTCGAACCGGGGTTGTAATTCTTGGGCTTCTGCTCTTCTTCGTCGTATTGTTGCTGCTGGGCGGCGATGACGTCCTCCTCGGTCACCGAAGAGAGGCTATGAATGGAGGATCGGATGGTCGGCGACGACCGCAGCAGCGACGACTGGGTCCTCGTGAGCTTCGCCTGGCTTTTCTGACCGTCCATTTCAGAGAATGATTGATTGATTCAACCCCAACCGTCCGATGATCGAGCCTTCCTTTTTCTTTCTCTGGTTATTCTAAACCGACCTCCTGTATCGCGAGATTCTTATCACCAACGTCGCTGGCCGCAAGCCCACCGGAACCATCTCACACGCAAAAGCCACCTCCTGCGTAAGTTAAGCTCTGGGCCCCACCACCGGCGCAGGTTAGCACCAACTGAAAAACAACCAACTCTCTGAAGATTCAAAACAGAGCGCAAAGAGAGAGAGAGAGAGAGGGAGAGAGAGAGTGAGTCTGGAGCTTTTGTCTGGAGAACTGGACCGGCTTCGGGCTTTTGGTTTTATTATTGATGCTGCATTGGGGAGAGAGAGGGGGTGACATTTAATATTCACCGTTAGATTTTCATCACGCGGTGGAGAATGAAGATGTGGTAGTAGCCGTTGGATTGGATTGGAAAAGTCCCGGTCTTGACGGGGAAGATGTGGTCGTCGGATATAGATTCGGCTTCGGCTCCTTTTCGCTTTACTGTGCAGGCCGGCACGTGCCACTTCCACGTCAGCATTTACCTGAGCGATGTTCCCCTGTGGCGCAGTCCCATGATATGTTAGAGTAGGGCTTGATGAATTATTAATTTGTTGATGTTACTGGTTCTTGGAGATGCAATGCATGGGGTTTAGATTCTATCACTGCTTCAAAGTGTTCAAGTGTTAAAGTTACTTTGCATAAAAAGGAAAAAAGAAAGTAAATTAATTTGACATCTGTCACAACAACTCACAACCTAAGATCTTTCAATGGAATGGACTGCACCAAAATATTTAACCTTGCAAATGCAATGCATGTGGGGCCACCCATTTTAAGTATAATTGGGTCAGTAAAATGGCCCTTCTTGTAAAATTCCCCCAAATCCTGTCTAGTTTTGCCATATATGTTTCTTGTTATTTACTTTAAAAGCCCCCAACCTATGAGGATTGAGACCAATTTGCATCTACCTTATACCCAAAATATATAGTTTCTTCATATTAATTTCGCATGATTAAATTAATGGAGGAATGAAATGAGAATGGATGACTCATAAACTCAGAATAATCTGAATTTAAACTTTCAAGAATATGCAAACAACTGAATTTACCTGATACGTGTGATTTTCCGATACGTGTACACGTATCTGGAGTTCATCTCAACACATACCCCAATGAAGGGCTTTGTTTCCATTTCGTACATTCTCTCTTTCTTAGCATCTTTTATAGAGAAAATAACCACCTACAATTAAGACCTACAACCTGTAAAACAACTAAGATATTACAAATCAAACTTAAATAAGGTTTAACAGAGAGAAGTTCCAATCCCCAAAGTCGTGTCCAAGCCGAAGACTTCCCCATATCAGCCAATTCGAGGCTGAGCATTGTGCGTCATATATATCGGCCAGCAAATCAGCCACAAATGACAATAAGGCATAAGGATGTGAACCATCCAATAAGGAAATAAAAATAGGGTCCAAATGAGCCAATTGGAAAAGAGATATAATTTCCGCTTTTGCAAATTGTCATGTGTATTTTGACATACTTTGTCGGGGTCTCACAATAGCGTATGTGAAACTCAACATGCTTTCAATCTTTTGCATAACCAACGTAATGCGCTGGACAAATACAAGAACAAATTGTTTAAACCTAGGTTTTTTCGTCCACGGGTGTCTTATCACATTTTTACACCACAATTTCATACGACATGATGTGGAAGCTGATGTGTACATACCATATTATGTAAAATACTAGTTTCTATTTTTTTTAATTTTATTTATTAAAATAAACTTCATTCATTTAATTGATGTGGCATATGATATGGACATGCCACATAATGTGATATAGAAATGTGAGATAAAAATGTGGTAAGTGTACCATTACTCAAATAATTATTGCACACACATGAATCGGGTTTAACCTTATATCATCAAAAATAACATTTTCAACCTTTTCATGTTATTTTTTCTACCAAGTGACGATGTGGAGAATTGTAGTTTAGTTGACGAGAAAAATAGTGAAAAACTTTTACTTTTTACGAAAATTATAGGTATATATAATTATGTAAGCAGATCTTGTTTGTCAAAATTTGCAGGCTACCTGCACCACAACTCATCGAAAAATCACCATCAAATCAACTATTGATGTTACTTTAACTGGCGTCATGCTAATCACATGTACGGTCACGATTTAATCTGGCATGAACAATTAATTATGTATTTATCTGTGACATATTTTCAAATTACTTTTTGTTGGTTGTGGTGTATAGGAATAAGAAGTGGGCATCTACTCGGCCATTTATTACTTATCACTCGTATACTTTCAAAGAAAATTAATAAATGCTTTGTAATCTCCTGTTGAAAATTACAACAGATAATTAACTGATAATGTTTATCACCTGACACGTCATTTTCCTTTTTATCTTACAAAATCCGAAATACATAAAATTAACGATAACTATATATTTTCATCAATTTTGTGGTGCGTTAAAAATATCACTCGCTTTAGTCCTTTTCTTGAGAAAATAGCGATAGTAATTAATTATTGATCATAGAAAAAGACACAAACACAAAAATCAGGTTATGTTCTAGATGATTGAGATATATAAGGGTTCGGTCCTCATCTTAAAATGGCAATCTGATTAAAGATTTTGAAAAAGAAAAATCTAAGGGGTTGTTTGATAACCATTTCATTTTCACTTTTCTTGAAAATTGAAAACATGTTTGGTAGTTTTCAAAATCACCCTTAATTTTTAATACATCTTGAAAGTGTTTTTAGTTTTTAGTTTTAGTTTTCATTTTTTTTGCGCTCATATTTCATTCATTAATTTTACATTACTACACATGAAATGGACACCAATTACCAAAACTCGGTAGTTGGGACCTCCCAACTTAGACTTGGCCGCTTGATTCTTGTGTTTAGCCACATACCCAATCCAAGCTTCGAGAACTCCATATGCAAAATTCACCGAAAAATCATCCTAATTCAAAAAAATTCATCAACAAAATGCTACAAACTCTTTGTAACATGCACTTTTATTATATTATCTCAAATTCACAATTTGACCAAAAAAAATTACATTTCCAAGTTTCACATAAAACTGGAAACTTAAATCAGTTACCAAACAACTTTTGTTCAATTTTCACTTTTCACTTTTAAAAACAAAAATAGTTACCAAACAAGTTCAATTTTCAGTGTTTGGAAAATGAAAAATGAAAACTAAAAACTAAAAAATGAAAAATGAAAAATGAAATGGTTATCAAATGGGTCATAAGGGAGCGAGTCTGCTTCTTACACTCAAATTCAAATCCCTCTCCGTAGATTAATTTATAATAATTTAGATTATCATTTGTACTAAAATGCATCCGATCCACAATTCTTTCCATCTTCTCAAACATGTACTAAGCTTAGTTGGCTAGTAAAAGTAGCTTAAACTTTCTAGAATGGTCCGAGCTACTCCATTAGTATATAAGCCGTACTACACCATGTAGACAGACCTCTGAGAGACTCTCCACCATATTAATGTTCCAAGAAGAAAGGTATCATGCCACATGTCCACCTCTGTTTTGTCTATGAGGTTCATTTTATTTATGGGTAAGGAAATTTCAAATAATAGAAAAAGGTTTATTTTATTTACACACAATCAAAGGTTGTTTTGGTCAAAGGAATGTGGTGGTCCAAATTTGTGTGTGTATAAATAAACATACTCAAAATCAGACATTTCATTATGAAGTCTGCATGCAGCAGTAATCAGCTACAGTACTTTCCGCTAGACTCTGGTTCATCAGGCATTGGTTGTTCAGAGATAGACCATATCTTTTGACCGAATAAATAGATGCTTCAAGATTTTTCCATACGAAATTGTAACACGTTAGCGATAACTTCCGTTCTTGAAGTTAGAAAATAAAAATTTCATGACTTGTTGCACAATTAACATCATATAAAAGATAAAATAACAAATATCGAACCCTAATACACTGCATTCCTGAACAGTAAGCTCAACTTTGTTGGACTGCACTTGATCATCTTCATCTTCATTCTCTCTTGACATCTCCTCCGGTGATTTTCCTTTTGATTCTGGCACCAAAAACATAAAGAAGAACCCCAAAATGCTGATCACACCAAGCACAATGAGAGAATTCGTCATTCCAATGTCAGGCGGGTACCCTTAACATGGTCTTCATCATAGAGCCTGCTGATGGCAACCACCCCACAGCGCTAAAGATGTCCTTTTGGAAAAGCTTTTGGCTATAGTAAGCGATGTCTAGCAAGAACCATGTGGTTGCTGTGCCCGATAAGTGTAGCCCATGTCTCCTAAGAAACTCTTTTGAAAATAGAGCAAACTTTGAGGAGCTGTTGGATATTATCATTTTCTAACTAGTTTTACTTTCTAGAATGGTCCGAGAGTTACGATAAACCGCACTGCATCATCTAGAGTTCTGAAACACTGAACCATATGTATATGTTCCAAAAAGAAATGCCAAGTATCATGCCTCATGCTCACCTCTGTTTTGTATTCGGGGTTCATCTCGTTTATTGGAAGGAAATTTCAAAGATTTTATTTTCTTTAATTCCCACATATAATTGGTTCTTTTTGGTCAGATCAGAGAGGCACCACATTTCAAAGAAAAATGTGTATAGACGGATAACATACACAAAATCAAGCATTCTTTATGAGAAAAAGACCCTTTTTTTTTCCTTTTCTTTTTCTAGATCCAAAATCCGGTCAATGTACTAAACACAGCAATAGATCACTTTGGTTCTTGTAGTTCAAAAATCAAAATTTCATAATATATACCCACAATTTAACATGACCCAAAAAAAAAGAAAAAAGAGACTATCCTGCTCATTAATTCTAACTTAAAAAATACTACTCGAGCAGTGCAATCGAATTACTGAGAACAAAAGAAAACTAGAGCAAAACTAATGGAAAAACAAACAAACAAAGGTCGAACAAAAATCCTTGTATACAGACATTCCTAAACAGTAACCTCAACTCTGTTGGGCTGCACTTGATCACCTTCAACTTCATTCTCTCTTGACATCTCCTCCAACGATTTTCCCTTGGACTCCGGTACCAAAAACGTAAAGAAGAACCCCAAAATGCTGATCACACCAAGCACAATGAGAGAATTCCTCATTCCAATGCCAGGAGGATACCCTGCATCAGTCTTAGCCTTATCTTGATTCTGTGATGCATACAAGAACCCGAATGCCCCAATAATCGCCCCGGCTTTGCCCTCAGCTGCGGAAATCCCATGGCATGTGGATCGGAACCTTGCTGGGAAAATCTCTGCCGGTATAACAAATGTTGTACTATTGGGTCCAAAATTGGCAAAGAAAAATGTTAGACCATATATGACAATAAATCCGATGTTGTTTTCAGGTCTAGTCCAGTGATGGTATGGAATTGCCAAGACGAACATGAAAACAGTCATGAAGAAAAACCCAATTAGCTGAATTGCAAATCGGCCAATGTGATCGATGAGGAAGACTGTGACCCAGTACCCGGGAACTGTGCCACATAGGGCTATTAGGGTTTGTGCCCTAGCAATTTTGTAAAGCTCATCTAGGGCACTCATAGAGCTTGCTAATGGCAACCATCCCACAGCGCTGAAGATGTCCTTTTGGAAAAGGTTTTGGCTATAGTAAGCAATGTCTAGCAAGAACCATGTGGAGGCCGTGCCCAATAAATGTAACCCATGTCTCCTAAGAAACTCTTTGGAAAATAGAGCAAACTTTGAGGACCTGTTGTTTTGTGGCTGCGCTACTTGTTGTTTCTCTTTGATCTCAACATTCAACACTTTGGCCATGTCTTGGCAAGCCTTGGTTTGATCCTTGGCTACCAAGGCAGTGTAACGAGGGGTATCCGGCATTTTCATCCGTGAATAGAAAGTCAATGCAGCAGGAATTGCTCCAAACATGAGAATAATCCTCCATACGTAATCTGCCTGAGGCACAGTCGATCCGATCGGATCAACTGAGTAGGGGTCAGCATGGTATAGGGCGCGAAAGATAGAAGAAACAACAATAGCCATCATCCCACCAGCCAAAATCCCAAACCCTTGCATTGCAAAAACCGACGCTATAAACGCCCCGCGAGTCCTTTTATTGGCATACTCCGACATAATTGTCACTGAAAGCGGGTAGTCGCCACCAATGCCAAAACCTAGCCAAAATCGGAAAAAGCAAAGAGTGGCTATGACAAAAGTTGGGGAGCTACCAAAAGAGAGGCCAGAGCCAATGGAACAACCCACCATGAGCATTAGGGTTATGCCATAAGCAGTGGCAAAGCCAGAATTTTATGTGTGTGGGGGCCTCATATAAATTATAAAAAATAAAAAATTCCAACTCACAATACATACTAAAAATAGTATATATATATATATATCACATATGTCAAGATTTATATTGCTTATTTGTTGCAATCATAATTGTTCTCGACAAAGGGATAGACAAATACAAAGAGTAGCGATTTAGCAAAAATCTTTAAATATTTTCCCCTTATTAAACCTAATAGAAAGAAAAAATAAAAAAATTCTCAAACTAAAAAAAACCTTAGGTCTCTTCATGCATTCATATCATACATGAAAAAAAAAAGTTTTATGTAAAAATATTGACTAAGTATGAAACATGGTTTTTCGGAATAATCATTTTTTCAAGATAATTTTTGGCGGCTTTTATTCCTTATACTTCAAATAAGAAAACTTGATCTTATGAGATTTTAGTATGAATTATATATTGACTTAATGAGCCATCATTTTTAGCCTAAATCATATTTTGCACTAAAACCGATTTTTCATATTTTGATTTGGTGGGAATTTGATTTTTTAGTATTTTTATTTGAATCCAAATAGGGGGTACTTCCTTATTTACATTGTAAACTTAAGTAAATGGAGTAATATAAAAATAAATGAAAGTAAAATGACAAAGACATTTACTTAAATGTTGAAAGTGGAAATAAGGTAATCTGTACACTTAGAGTGCACCACCACCATTTGAGCAAATGGTAATTTGAAGCACCTTCTTGTGCCTTAATGTTAATAGATTCGACACAACAAATGTGGGTACATATCAAAACCTAAAATATTTGAAATAATATACATATAGAAATACATAACAATATATTACTTTAAAAAAATAAAAAAAACTTGAGTGGGGGCCCGGGACCACACTGGTCCTAGTGTGGCTCCGCCCCTGGCCATAAGCGCCCTTACGCCCGAGCTTGTCCCCAAGCCACCCGAAGACGAGCTGGCCGGCTAGGGTACCACATAGGGCAACTCCATTGACTGCTGCTGCCACGTTTGGCGGTAGGCTGCCGGGCTTTCATTCATTAATTTGAAAACATGTTTGGTAGTTTTCAAAATCACCCTTAATTTTTAATACATCTTGAAAGTGTTTTTAGTTTTTAGTTTTAGTTTTCATTCTTTTTGCGCTCATATTTCATTCATTAATTTTACATTACCACACATGAAATATGCACACCAATTACTAAAACTCGGTATTGGGACCTCCCAACTTAGACTTGGCTGCTCGATTCTTGAGTTTGGCCACATACCAAGTCCAAGCTTCGAGAACTCCATGTGCAAAATTCACCAAAAAATCATCCTAATTCTAAAAAATTCACCGATAAAATGCTACGAACTCTTTGTAACATGCATTTTCATTCTATGATCTCAAATTCACAATTTGACCCAAAACAATTACATTTCCAAGTTTCACATAAAACTAGAAATTTAAATCAGTTACCAAACAACTTTTGTTCAGTTTTCACTTTTCACTTAAAAACAAAAACAAATATATTAGTTACCAAACAAGTTTTCAGTTTTTAGTTTTTTGAAAAATGAAAAATGAAAAATGAAAACTAAAAATTGAAAAGGTTATCAAACGTCCTAAAGGAGTGAGTCTGCTTCTTACACTCAAATTCAAATCCCTCTTTTCGTAGATTAATTTATAATAATTTAGATTATGATTTATACTAAAATGTATCCAATCTATAATTCTTTCCATCTTCTGAATACATATATTAAGCTTAGTTGGCTAGTACAAGTAGCTTAAACTTTCTAGAATGGTCCGAGCTACTCCATTATTATAGGATTGGGTTTCCTCTATATATAAGCCGTGCTGCACCATATTAATGTTCCAAGAAGAAAGGTATCATGCCACATGTTCACCTCTGTTTTGTCTATAGGAAATTTCAAATAATAGAAAAAGGTTTATTTTATTTACACACAGTCAAAGTTTGTTTTTGGTCAAAGGTATGTGGTGGTCCAAATTTGTGTGTGTATAAATAAACATACACACAATCAAAGGTTGTTTTTGGTCAAAGGTTGTTTTCATTATGAAGTCTGCATGCAGCAGTAATCAGCTATAGTACTTTCCGCTAGACTCTGGTTCATCAAGCATTGGTTGTTCAGAGATAGACCATATCTTTTGACCGAATAAATAGATGCTTCAAGATTTTTCGATACGAAATTGTAACACGTTAGCGATAACTTTGGTTCTTGAAGTTAGAAAATAAAAATTTCATGACTTGTTGCACAATTAACATCATATAAAAAATAAAATAAAAACTTGCATTCATTAATTCTAACTCTGCAGTCAAAAATACTACTCTAGCTCTGCAGTCAAATTATTGAGAACAACATATAGGAAACTAGAGCAAAACTAAGGGGGGGAAAAGAACAAATATCGAACTCTAATACACACTGCATTCCTAAACAGTCAGCTCAACTTCGTTGGACTGCACTTGAGCACCTTCGTCTTCATTCTCTCTTGACATCTCCTCCAGTGATTTTCCCTTCGGCACCAAAAACTTAAAGAAGAACCCCAAAATGCTGATCACGCCAAGCACAATGAGAGAATTCCTCATTCCAATGCCAGGCGGATACCCTGCATCAGTCTTAGCATGATCTTGATTCTGTGATGCATACAAGAACTCGCCCCAATAATCGCCCCAGCCTTATCCGAAGCGGCAGAAATTCCATGGCACGTCGACGGGAATCTTGCTGGAAAAACCTCCGCTGCGCTGGTACAACAGAAGTTGTGCTATTGGGTCCAAAATTGGCAAAGAAAAATGTTAGACCATGTATGACAATCACCCAGTACCCAGGAACCGTGCCACATAAGGCTATTAGGGTTTGTGCCCTAGCAATTTTGTAAAGCTCATCTAAGGCACTCATAGAGCCTGCTGATGGCAACCACCCCACAGCGCTAAAGATGTCCTTTTGGAAAAGCTTTTGGCTATAGTAAGCGATGTCTAGCAAGAACCATGTGGTTGCTGTGCCCAATAAGTGTAGCCCATGTCTCCTAAGAAACTCTTTTGAAAATAGAGCAAACTTTGAGGACCTGTTGGATATTATCATTTTCTAACTAGTTTTACTTTCTAGAATGGTCCGAGAGCTACGATAAACCGCACTGCATCATCTAGAGTTCTGAAACACTGAACCATATGTATGTTCCAAAAAGAAATGTCAAGTATCATGCCTCATGCTCACCTCTGTTTTGTGTTCGGGGTTCATTTCGTTTATTGTAAGGAAATTTCAAAGAAAAAGGGTTCTTTTTGGTCAGATCAGAGAGGTACCACATTTCAAAGAAAAAGGTGTATAGACAGATAACATACACAAAATCAAGCATTCTTGATCAGAAAAAAACCACCTTCTTTTTCTGGATCCAAAATCCGGTCAATGTACTAAACATACAGCCATGGATCACTGGTTCTTATAGTTCGAAAATCAAAATTTCATAATATATATATCCACAATTTAACGTGACCAAAAAAAAAAGAAAAAAAGAGGCTATATCGTGCTCATTAATTCTAACTTAAAAAGTACTACTCGAGCAGTGCAATCAAATTACTGAGAACAAAAGAAAACTAGAGCAAAACTAATTTAAAAAAACAAACAAACAAAGGTCGAACACAAATTCTTGTATACAGACATTCCTAAACAGTAACCTCAACTCTGTTGGGCTGCACTTGATCACCTTCATCTTCATTCTCTCTTGACATCTCCTCCAACGATTTTCCCTTGGACTCTGGCACCAAAAACGTAAAGAAGAACCCCAAAATGCTGATCACACCAAGCACAATGAGAGAATTCCTCATTCCAATGCCAGGAGGATACCCTGCATCAGTCTTAGCCTTGTCTTGATTCTGTGATGCATACAAGAACCCGAATGCCCAAATAATCGCCCCAGCTTTGCCCGCAGCTGCGGAAATCCCATGGCATGTGGATCGGAACCTTGCTGGGAAAATCTCTGCCGGTATAACAAATGTTGTACTATTGGGTCCAAAATTGGCAAAGAAAAATGTTAGACCATATATGACAATAAATCCGATGTTGTTTTCAGGTCTAGTCCAGTGATGGTATGGAATTGCTAAGACGAACATGAAAACAGTCATGAAGAAAAACCCAATTAGCTGAATTGCAAATCGGCCAATGTGATCGATGAGGAAGACCGTGACCCAGTACCCAGGAACTGTGCCACATAGGGCTATTAGGGTTTGTGCCCTAGCAATTTTGTAAAGCTCATCTAGGGCACTCATAGAGCTTGCTGATGGCAACCATCCCACAGCGCTGAAGATGTCCTTTTGGAAAAGGTTTTGGCTATAGTAAGCAATGTCTAGCAAGAACCATGTGGAGGCCGTGCCCAATAAATGTAACCCATGTCTCCTAAGAAACTCTTTGGAAAATAGAGCAAACTTTGAGGACCTGTTGTTTTGTGGCTGCGCTACTTCTTGTTTCTCTTTGATCTCAACATTCAACACTTTGGCCATGTCTTGGCAAGCCTTGGTTTGATCCTTGGCTACCAAGGCAGTGTAACGAGGAGTCTCCGGCATTTTCATCCGTGAATAGAAAGTCAATGCAGCAGGAATTGCTCCAAACATGAGAATAATCCTCCATACGTAATCTGCCTGAGGCACAGTCGATCCGATCGGATCAACTGAGTAGGGGTCAGCATGGTATAGGGCGCGAAAGATAGAAGAAACAACAATAGCCACCATCCCACCAGCCAAAATCCCGAACCCTTGCATTGCAAAAACCGACGCTATAAACGCCCCACGAGTCCTTTTATTGGCATACTCTGACATAATTGTCGCCGAAAGCGGGTAGTCGCCACCAATGCCAAAACCTAGCCAAAATCGAAAAAAGCAAAGAGTGGCTATGACAAAAGTTGGGGAGCTACCAAAAGAGAGGCCAGAGCCAATGGAACAACCCACCATGAGCATTAGGGTTATGCCATAAGCGCCCTTACGCCCGAGCTTGTCCCCGAGCCACCCGAAGAAGAGCTGGCCGGCTAGGGTTCCACATAGGGCAACTCCATTGACTGCGGCTGCCACGTTTGGCGGTAGGCTGCCGGGCTTTGCTGAGCCCTCGACGTGGTAGTAAATGCGCCCGAGGAGTTTGGTGACGAGTGAGATGCAAAAAAGGTCATAAGAATCGGTGAAGAAGCCCATGCCGGAGATCACAACCGCAGTGAAGTGGTAGAATTGGGTTTTGGCTACGTCCAGCACTTTTAGGACCTCAGGTTGCTGTTCCTTCGCCATGGTTGGAGTTTGTGACTCTCTCGATCAAGTTTCTTCTTTACTAATCTTATAACTTCTTGAAAATACATCGTGGGTTGTGATTTATGTATTTATAAGGGTTTTTGGGAGGCAAATTAATCCTGGTCCAATAAGTACTAGGATATAAATGTTTTAACTCCTATTTGGATTTGAACTGCCTCTAGGATGTGTATAGGTTGAATCAAATGCACATAAGGATTTTAACTCCTATTTCGAGTCAAACTGCCTCTAGAATCTGTACAAGTTGAATAAAATGCTTTTATTTTTTAAATATAATTAACCTAAATATACCCCTAACCATAAGCCTAAACCCTCGAACCCTAACCATAAGCATTCCTCTTCATTATTTATATATATAAAAATCAGGTAATGCTTAATTCCGTCCTTATTGCTCTAAAAAATTCATCAGCTCTGTTAATTTGGGACATCAATTTTCTTCGTTTTTATAAATAATTGTTTCTTTCCGGAAATATGCTATATGGAACTAATGCTTTTTATGTCAATTATATCTTTGAGAAACAAAAAGTTACGTTTTCTTTATGAATATTTATGCACTTGACATTTAAAACTACTGGGCCTTAGATAATTCGATACCACGTTTTGATTGAGCTGATCATCTGCACTTGTTCTTAAATTACTTGTCATTTTGAATTCTGCAGAAATGGATACAGAGCCTGCATTGCTGTTGGTAGATATAATATTTAAAACATTGTACATTTATGATGATCGTGGGTCAAGGAAAGCTGTTGATGGCATCACTACAAAAGGTTTACAATGAAAAGTTTTGCAGCAGCCCTTGTTCAGGTCATGGAACGACAAGTAAGTCGTGTCTCCTTTTCAGTAAGAGTAAGTTTGCTACAGTCTCGAAGAATGCATTGTGTAAAGTTGCCACAGTGCATGCATCATTATTTCATATTGTTATGCAAAGATCTTTCCGTGAGCGAAGGGCCTGCGAGAAGACATTTGGTCACTTATTTTCTCAGGTTTAGCCCGTTGAACCTTCTCTAATTTACATTCTTATTTGCTCATAGCATTTCATATTTCTTGTTTCCTTTCCCGTCACAAGAAATTTACAAAATGAATATAGAGGAACTTAAAGATGCACGTATCCCATACAAAGATAGTCCTGAGTTTGTATGGTTGTTGAAGGAGTTCTCAAGTACCTCAAGCAAATCATCTTCTTTGTTTGAGCAATGCAAGGTGAGAGATTATTTGTTTCATGATCATGTATGAAAGGGGATATTTATTCTGTTTTTTTTTCTTCAAATTGATTTGATGTAGTTTTTATGTGCCAAAGTTTTTAACCGATCCTTTGCTTTTCACAGCCAACGTTTCTGGATATATATCTTAGGGCAATTTTAAATGCAAGGGAAAAGCCAGCAAAGGGTCTTAGTCTTAGTCAAGCTTTTCATCCACTTTTTAGACATATGTTACATGAAGATTTCGAAAACAGTGTGCTTCCCTCTGCTGTTAAAATGCGGAAACGTAACCCTGAGATTGTACTGGAATCTGTTGGGATTCTCTTGAATTCAGTCAACCTTGATTTAAGTAAGTACGCGGTCGAAATTATTTCAGTGGCATTCCCACAGGCTGGGCATGCAGATGAAGGCAGAAGGGTTGGGGCGCTGGCAATTATACGATGTGTGAGCCAAAAGTCTAGTAATCCAGATGCTTTAGAAGCAATGTTCAATGCTGTCAAATCTGTATTTGGAGATTTGTTCCTGATTATTTTATTATTTTGGGAGTTTTGAAAAGAATGGAATGGAAGGGAAAGTTGTAATGAACAGCGAATGGAATGAGAAAGGAAGGTTTCAATTTGAACAGGGTTAGAGGGAAGACTTACATTTCCTTACCAGAGAATTGGCATGATCACTGCACTGCAAGAAATGTGTAATGCTCCAGATGGGAAACATCTCAACAGACGGTCACAAACCTTATGCAGTTTCCTTTTATCTCGTTACATTATTTTATTGAACTCTTTCTCGTATTTTTGTACGAGTACTCAGATCTTGTGGATGTAAATTTTTGCTTAGCTTTCTGATTGAGTATTTCATTTTTGTTTATGTTTCTTCCTTGTGTATTTATATTTCCATACGATGTTCTAATTCCCAGGAAATGAGGGGGTGAAGCTTGCAATTTTGTCAGCTCTGGATTTGTGCGCAGCAAGATCTGCTGATGCCATTCAATCAGATGTTGTTTTGTTTGTCAGCAAGATACGCTTTAAATATACTCCAGTATTGTAATCGTATAGCCGCGCGGCTATACCCTTTACTATATTCCAATATTTTAATAGTATAGCCGCTCGGCCATAAGCCTAATATATTCCAGTATTTTAATAGTATAGCCGCGCGGCCATACTATTTGAATATATTTCCAGTATTTTAATAGTATAGCCGAGCGGCTATACATCTAATATTTATTTTTTATTTTTTTAAAAATTATTATTTTTATCTTAGCCTTATTTAATTACTTTAATTACTAATTATATTTCAATTAGTATTTAAATATTTTAATTAATTTCACAAATTACAAAATATATATGAATTAATTATTTTAAATTATTTTGTGGGCTTTTAAAAAAAACTTTCGGTTAGTTTGTTTAGTTTAATATTTTTAATTAAGTAATATCTTAGCTTTATTTAATTACTTTAATTAGGAATTAGATTTTAATTATTATTTCTTTAGTGAATAATTAGTATTTAAATATTTTAATTAATTTTAGAAATTACTTAATAAATAGTATTTAATTCTTTTAAATTGCGTTCAGATGAGGGAAATAAACTTGGAATTTTGACCAAAGTCAGAATTTCTAAATTGATATGAACCAATTCCCGTATTTGGATAAGAAAACATAGAAATTTAGAAATTCCGCGTGGGAAAAAACATGGAATTTGGGGATCATAAATCCCAACTTTAAATTCTATCTAAAAGTCGTCATTTCTAAAATCCCAAGAGAGATTGAGTTTTTAAAACATATTAATTTACAAATAAAAGTTAAATTCCTTGTTTTAAATCCGTCACCCAAACAAGAAACTTTATAATTTCTAAAACATTAATTTCCGTCATTTTAAATTCCGTCATTTATGAAATCCTTTGTACTTTTAAATTTCCTCATTCAAACGCACTGTTATGGACTTGAAAACTTGGGCTTGGAGTTGTTCTTTTGGACTAAATTTCTATCCTATCAAAATCAGCATGAGACGGGATCACAATAATATTTGGAATTTTTGAAATCTTATTGGACTCTTTTTTTCTTTTCCTTTTTTGGAATCGTATTGGACTTGAGTTACTACCGTGGGTTGTATACAATTTTCCTTTTTCAAAATAATTAACGAATTTAAAGTGACGATTTCAAACAAACAATTAAAAAGAAATGATTTCACAACCAATAGTGTAAGGTAACATTGTGCTAAAGTGCTAGTGTAGTTTTATTGTGGTATATTTGCCCGTTGTAAATGGTATCTTGTACACACCCTATACTCTGTATAAAAGAAAATACCAAATTTCCAGCGAAAAAACAACATATGCCATAGTCTTATTAATCAGATGCCTAGAAAACATGAGTTCAACTAGCAGGGCAGAAGGATACTTGCCTTCAGTTCAAATACTTGATTACAAATCTGAGTTTTCACTTATTCTAACCGGGCGCCTTTGAATTATTTTCTCAACTTCTCCTTCATTCTGTCAACTGCAGCCCTAAGAGTTCCTTCATCTTTGCAGAAGGTAAATCTGACTAGATTCTTTCCATCTTCTGGGTTAAAATAAAACACACTGGTTGGGATTGCCACCACCCCAACTTCCTTGATCAGATACTCACAGAAAGCAACATCATTTTCCAGTCCAAAAGGAGTGTGATCTACAACCACAAAGTAGGTGCCACTTGATGGATACACTTTGAAACCTACAGCCTTCAATCCCTCCACCAAAATCGCCTTCTTTGCCTGGTAATCTCTTTTCAGCTCCACATAGTAGGAGTCTGGGGCTCGGAGAGCTGTTGCAGCAGCCCACTGCATTGGAGTGGAGGTAGCGAAAGTGAGATAAGAGTGCGCCTGCCGCACTCCCCATGTCAGGTGTGGGGGAGCTATAGCCCAACCGATCTTCCATCCGGTTAGGGAGAATGTTTTCCCCAAGGAATTCATGGTTACCGTGCGCTCATACATCCCAGGAAGAGAGGCCAGTGAAATGTGATCCATTTCAAAAGCCAACTTATCGTAAACTTCATCAGTGAACACCAACACATCATTTTCAATGCAGAGAGATGCAATTTCATTGAGTTCCTCTCGAGTGAACATTTTTCCAGTAGGGTTATGAGGAGTATTTAGAAGAATTGCACGAGTATTCTTTGAGATTGTGGACTTGAGCTCATCAATGGGGACAGAAAAATCCGGAGGGCATAAGGTGATGCCTTTTACTTTAGCACCAGCCATGGATAGAGTGGCTTCATAAGAATCATAAAAAGGAGCAAAGAGTATAACCTCATCACCAGGATTTATCAAGCCCAGCACAGTTGCCGCAATTGCCTCAGTGCACCCAGAGGTAACTGTAATTTCCTTCTCAGGGTCCACAACAAGTCCAGTATCTTTCTTGAATCGCTCAGCAATGGCAGAGTTTAAGTCCGGAACCCCATATCCACGAGCATATTGATTCTTCCCATCTATGATGGCCTGAATTGCCGCTTCCTTTACAAACTCAGGACCATCAAAGTTGGGGAAGCCTTGCCCAAGGTTTATTGCTCCATATTTAATGGCGAGACTACTCATTTGTGTGAAGATTGTCGTCTTGAATTTTTCTAAGCGCTTTGCCACCTGACAAACAGAGACCAAAACATTAGGGAGACTTAAACTCTGCAACTGTTGATCAACTTGAGGAAGTAGTACATACAAATGTAGCTCAATCATATATGAATATGCAACATGCCGGATCAAAACAGACATAGTATAAGTCAATGATCACCGCCTATATTTCACCTCAGTTGGATACCACTTTTCAAATGACATTGTCACCTAGGACCCCCAGCCAATTACTTGGCACTACAGACATGTCAAAAGCTTTTGGAAGCAGCCATGGACTGATATATAGATAGAAAAAGCAACAATTGAATATACTGTATGAGGCAAGACTAAAGTCTTTATAGAGGAAAACTGAAGTCCAAAAGGCAGGAAAAAGGGATGGAAAAAAAGAGGGATAGCCTATAAGAATAAGCAAAAGAAGATAAAAACTCACCAAATTGCAAACCAACAAATTAGGAGGCATAAAACTCCACCCTCTAATATCAAAGCAGCTGTATTATAACATAGTTGTAAAACCCAGAATGACTGCACTATAACTCTAATTAGTGACCACTAATTGTCATCTTAGCTTAATGCTTTATTTTTATTATTTCCACCATAGTTTAGTTTTTACTCAACACATTTGACCTTACAGTTGACAGAACAGGCACTTCATTCACTTGAGATTAAAAATGGAATTTTGGACTCTACATTAAGCATATACATCACTGATAAGTTATAACCCATTATCCAATGGTAAACTTATATTATAATATAAGTGCATCATGTAATTACATTACTATTATATTATTATCATTGCTTCAGCAGGATTAAGTTACAAACCATACTTGGATTGCTGTCAATTCCTTACAATTGAGTTTCAGGTGGTTTCTTAAGCAGCCTCACATCACTTATTTTTCTCTACATTTCTTTTAAAAACACTCAAAATTAAGAAATTAAGAAAATGTAACAAAAAATAGTAAGGCATAGCAGTACAGTGGCTACAGCCTGACAATCATTCTACAAGCATTGAGTAAATTGCAAACAAAAATTAAGTTCACCAGACAGATCCTACTGCAGATCATAAGAAAACCTACGAATTTCTACATACCTAAGGCATCTCATCCAAGCTATAAAAAATAAAAAATAAAACTAAAAATGAAGCCTTTTGGCCATGTGTAAATTGCCCGATAACTAAAAGCCCCAAAACCCAATTCCATTCAAACCACGACCATTTACAGTACGCCATGAAATTAAGCACAAATTGGGTCCATGACATACCTGTAAAGGCTGCTGGGTCTTCTGGATCGACTCGCTTTGACCTGAAACGACATCGTTCTGGGTGGAAACGGTGGACATGGTGGCTGAGAAAGATGGGCGAGGAGTGGCTCCTGTTTTAGTCTTAACGAATCTAAAGTCTGCGTACAAATGCTTGGACAAATTTATCAATGAGGAAGAGCCGAAGCGCATTTCATTGGCTGGCCAGGTGCATTGAATCTGCATGACAAAAAGACACAATGGCAATGAAGGCAAACAGAGTCTCCAAAAGTGAAAGGATTTCTATTCTAAGCGACGGTGAGAGTCAGAGGTGCACGACTATTTTTGCGAGAGAGATTTTTTGGGTTTGCCTGGAATGGTTTCATAGTCAATGGCCCAAATCCAATACTGTAAATTTAGTGGAGTATTACAAATTTTTATTGAGTACGCATGGATCATGCTGCTATGCATGAATAGATAATTAAAATTTTGAGGTTTGCTACCAACCCATTGTGGTCATGGGCCTGCTAACATGTGGGTACAACACAAGGGCGTACTTTGTCCGACTTCACCAAAACGAACAAAATCAAGACTATCACACCTCACTTAGAGTCCATTTGGAACTGCTTTAGATAGAAAATACTTTTATAATCCCAAATGACTTGTTTTTCTGTCAAATATACCGTTAGTTACATTTCATTCATATAAATCAGCCATTTTAATGCTCTATGGAGTTGCAAGCCGGTGCTACTAGGCTCGATTTTTTTTCATAGAATAAAACATTTTTAAGACAAAGTCATGGATCGTCGAAATTGATTACAGTTTAATTTAGGTTATTTTAAAAGAGGATCTGAATCCTCTGCTCTGATTTTCTCTGCCATGATCTGCTTTTCTTTTGTTCTCCATATGCCACCTCATTAAAATTTAATCTAACGGATTTAAAAGTTGACACATCATATCAATTTATTCCTAATTAAAAAAGAATAAAAACTCCTAACACCCAACTAACAGTTAGTTAACGTTTTTTTTTTTTTTTTTTTTTTTTTTTTTTTTTTTTTTCCTCATTTTCTGTTCTGTTTTTTTTTTTTCTCCTTCTTATTCACATTCTGTTCTGTTCTTTTTTTTTATTTTTTATCTTTTTACTTTTTTTTTAAATATCTCTTTCTATCATTTTCTCCTTTTTTTTTCTGTCCTTGCATAAACCATCATGCCATCATCTAACTAACTAGAGTGCTAAAGAGAAAAGAAAAGAAAGGATGTACGAAATAGAATCGAAGAAGTATTTATAATCTCCTGCTTACTTTATGGGATCAAGTTCACGTCTTCACAGTAGCCTTGCCAATATATTCGCACTAACCAAAGCTAAGATAATATGAATATGAATGTAAATAAAGAGAAGAGGACAGAACCTGAAGAAAGAAGGAGAAGAGGACTGAACCTGAAGCAAGGAGAAAAAGAAAAAGAAAAAAAGAAGAGGATGACAGAACACGAAGAAGAAGGGAAACAAAAAGAGCTTTGGACGTTAAATATCTTGTTAGTTGGGTGTTAGGGTTTTTATTCTTTTTTAATTAGGAATAAATTGGGTTATTGTTTTAGGATGTTGTGTCAACTTTTAAATCCGTTAGATTAAATTTTAATGAGGTGGCATATGGAAAACAAAAGCAAAGCAGATCATGGCAGAGAAAATCAGAGCAGAGGATCCAGATCCTTTAAAAGAACACTAGTTTACAAGGCTTCAATTTCTATGGCAAACATTATAGGGTTGTAGTATGTGGTCCCAATCAAAAGCAAAATGTCAACGCTATCTTAAAATAACATTGATTTGTTTAAAATTTCTTATTGTAGAAAATTAGTGACGCATATCTCATATGATTAGGAAATCTCACCTGCCCAAAGCCAAGAAATGACAAGCGTCCATTTTCTTTTTCTTTGGGCCAAAGAGTAAGAAAAACCAACCATTTACAAGACAAAATCATAGGCCTTGATCTCATTCGGCCTACTACCGAGACTGGCAGCATAGGCTAGTCTAGTTTTGTTTGGACTTGGTTGGGCAACTCTGTCTTGTTTGAAAATTGTTGATGGATAGGTCCTAGACTCCTAGGTACATGGCGCCAGCAGTTCCTGCTCTGAAACGATGATAGAGATGGTAAGCAAAATGAACAAAATGAAAATACATAGATAGAAAATTAGAGAGAAGATGAATCCTTAGCTCTGACCTTTTCCTCTTAATCAGCTTTCAAGTGAAGCGAAGTATTTATAACAAAATATAACCTCCCATACTAAATCCATATGAATAATTAGCTCGATCTTAGTCATTTAGTTTTATTCATGTTAATTTTTGATTTAGTAGTATCACATTTGTCATTTACATATTAAACGGAACAAAGATTAAAATTTCTTCGTCAGCCGCCCGTTCGATCGGAAAGAGTGACCTTGGAAACTTGTTTAGCGGCAACTCTCAAAAGGTGGCCCCTGCAATAATAACTAGTCATATATAGTAAGTAGTAGGAACTACTACGATTCTGCAGTGAGACGTTAATGGTATCTGTCTCTCCCTAGGCATTTTAAAGGAGCAAAGTTCGTTTCATTGTCACATAAAAGGTTTGCGGTGCTAGGCCCTAATAATGAATAGATGGAGTTAATTATTTATTTTATTTTTGGTTGAAAGGAGGGCAAAGCCCAATAATATATGAATGAACATAGCCCAAACAACGTCATCGTTAATTAGATTTGAATAACAATTTGTTACTAAAATAATCTATAAATATTGGGTTTTGAATATAAAATTTGTCTCTCTCGATAAATTATATCATTTTTAAACATTGGGCTCATGGCCTGTTGATGATTCATAGGTGCGTGTGTAGAAATTACTATTAGAATAAATTACTTTGTGTATTATTGAAGAGGAGGTGTATAATTTATTTCTTAGCATATATACATAACCAAGTGTACGCACGTATTTGCACATCATCATTTCAATAAGGTATTATATTCCAACTTAAAATGGATAATACGACAAAAGGTTCATGCAAGATATTTGTAGCTCTAGTGATTAAAAGAATTTACTTCATTTTTATTATTTATATAAAAAATAAGACACTTTGTATTTTGCTTACACGTATTAAGAATCATTCAAACAAAAAAGTACTGAGATCACTTTTATAGATCGACATCGGCGTTAGATCGGTAAGTACGTTAGTCATTCAACTTTCATCGACCACAGCCCCATAACATATCTTAGCATCTCAACCTCCAATTGAGCTCATCCCCCCAAGTCGGAAGCACACTTGGGGCCTTGTCATTTGTATACCAATTTCCCCCTTGCTTTGGTACCGTGCACTTTGTCGCCATGCTCTCAAGATACTTATTTGCATGCAAAACCTAAATGTCAGAGGCACTTGGGCTTACACCACATTTCGTTTTCTATACGAGTTGTTAATGGAGCGGAGAGCTATATGTACGTTGTACTTTAGGGTTGTTGGCATCTACAGTTGACGAAACTTTGACGTCAACAATAAATGTTATTTAACTTCCCCTAATTGCCATTAATCTATGGAGATTGCGCACTGCAATGTCTCAGGCTCTCTGAACAATTGTCCAGGTTAACAATTTTCTGGTGAGGTCTTACGACATGGGCCTATATAAAAAAATATAGCGTTTGGATGGTGAGAGACTAAGACAGCATCTCAAGCTATTTTTGTCATGTACCATGAAAATCCAAAAGTTAAATTTGTTTAAATGCATATTCTGGAGAATAATCTTTCTTTGCCTACGTTATTTGTCCCATAATTAAGGATGGCTTACACATGGAAGAGATTGGTATGTGCCAACCACCAGCACCTATATATTAGTTGTATCAATCTTTAAGAACTTTTATTTTATTGTGTGTATAGGTTCAAAACTCAGTTTTATTTTCAAATCTTTGCCATTTGAAGCTTCATCCCATTTGCTCACTTTTCTTTATTTTTATTTTTAAAATATGGTCAATGGGGTTCAGCCTAGTGGAAAATGACCTTAACTTGCAGACAAGAGGTTTTAGGTTTGAACCCCTATGATTACTTGGTCTTGTAATTTAAATTATCGCTTCTAGTTTATAAATAAATAAATAAAATTTGTTTCACTGGTTCTTAGTTATGTGTTTGCTAAAGAAAAACTCTTTTTGTGGCCTAAAGGCCAAATCAAAAATGCATTTTCCAATAAAAAGAAAAACACAGATATACTTACGTAAACACAAACACAGGGGATAAGTTCTCTGGCCCTAATGTGAACATGGAAGTACAAGCTGACAGGAATGAAATAGAATATTAACCCATTGAGATGATAGAATATGGAGAGCAACGTTTTACTAGCTTATTTGCAAGACCTGTGTGTGGGAATGTTTGTTAGTAGTATTTTAAGGAAAATCAACTAAAAAGACAAAGGTTATTTACTTTCCTTTTCAGAGGCTAACAAATTAGTTCTTTATTAACGTGAACAACTAACAATAACATTGAACGTGCATATCTAGCTTGCGAAGCTACATGTTTGAAAACATACCTTATATTTACATGTACATTGGGCAACTGCCATTTATTTATATTTACAAATGTCCTTCACATCATTCTCAAGAGAACCATAATCTTTTTCTTCAAACTTTAAAAAATCCCAAACACAACAACGTAAGACACACTTGAAAGAGCTCAACTACAGTGGCTTGAAACGAAATCCCAAAATTATGTTTGGTTACAATTTTGACCAACATTCGGTTCAAAACTTTGCTACAATTTGAAAACCAAGTTGAGGGTTCTAGGGACTGGGAGCTAAATTGGGAAAGAAGAAAGATCAGAGAGAGGGGGGCTGAAGCTCAAATAAAGAAGCTGAAGAAACTAATTGACAAAATCAGATTCTGAGGGTGACGTCCAAATAGAAGCTGATAGTAAACAACGAGACTTCCAACCTAAAACCAGCCTATGATTGCCCACCTCCTCCACCCTATAACCATCATTAAATAGACCCAACAGGAGCTTTGCCTGACAATGATTGGCAAAGCTTATTGGCATAGGCTTAAACCCTACCGCGCCTAACCACTCCGACCAAGAGCAACCCACCTCCCCGTTGGCACGATATATTCGGGCCAATGACCCGGCTATTCTGGGCCCCAAGAACACTCTCTCTACTAAAGCCCGAGCCCGACTTTGCATTGGGAACCCGGCCTCGAGTGAGTCGTATACTGCTGAGTAGTGGTACAATGAGTCCGTGAAACGGGCCACAAAGCCTCCGTCTCCCGCCGCCCGGACCTCTTCTTCTACCAAAGTTACTAGTCTCGGGTTTAGGGTATTGGCTCCGGATAAAAAGGAAGCAATCGAATCCGGAGACCGGTAACTAAAATGTGGGAGGTTTAGCATGCAATTGATCACTAAGGCCTCACCTTTGACCAACTTGAGAGCAGACGCTCGAAATGTCTCATCTGAATCCAACCTACATTGATGAAACGAAAACGGTTGACCAATTGACGCGGCAAATGCGGTCAAACGGCGGCCTGTCTCTTGGACGGTCCCGATTGATCTCCTCCCACTCCCACCCCTCGACAACGCGGTGATCCTAAGATGCGGGGTTGGTGGGCCATCCTTCCTGGATACCAAGGCCTGCATCAAAGAGGCCCATTGGATCCCCTCCATGATGTCATAGTCCACAACATGGACCCGCCTATCATGGACCACAGCCTCCAGAATCGCCTGATTGGCTGTGAAGTGCCCAAACTTAACATATGGCGACATATCCTGCAGCAGCTGAAACGCAGCGATCACGTCCGTCGGATGGTGTCCATGATCTCGGTGGGTCCCATTCCCAATCAAATGCTTACCCTGAACACCCCCGGCGCCTTCTAGCAAACCCTGAAGGGCCTCAGTAAAATACGCCGCCAGCCTCTCCATGTTAGTACCGTCAGTTGGAGAGACCAACTCCTTGAGCCGAACCAATATCACCCGAGCCAGATCTCGGCTCTTGTTTGCGCCGGTCAGGGCCTCAGCCGCCGCCATCAGCAGATGGACGAGCCGAAGCCCCTTCGAGTCCTCGCCGTTAGCGCCTCCGTCTTCTTCCGTTAGCATCATAATTTCGCCCGACGACGTGGTATCGTTAGACGCTTCTAATTCGTGAACCTCGTCCTGCGCCGACGACGAGTTCATCTCAGTGCCGTCCTGGTCCTCCATCATCAACTCAATGAGCTCGTGGAAGTCGTCGCCGGCAAGCTGGTCCGTTGGAGCCAGCGCGTCCCAGTCGACCACAGGCGACCAGTCGTACCAGTGATCGGAGGACATGGTGTTGGTGGTGGTGGTGCTGCACCCAGATAAATCCAGATCGAACGCACGCCCACCAAGTGTTTGATCAATGGCCAGAGCCATAGCTGAACTCAATAGCAACTGGGTCATGCGACTTGGGTTAACGGGTCTTAGTTGGGTGATGAAAAAGTGGTAGATTTAAAGAGGGATTGGAGAGAAGAAGGAGATTGAGCAAGAGACAGTTTGGAGTATGTAAGCTAATAATTAAGAGTTTAATCATCGACTAATTGATGGGCTCATCTGATCATCAACCCAAGCTTCAGTTTGGTTTTATACACTGCAGGTCTTAATCATGCTTGATTAATTATATGTTTAAAGACTTTTTGCTCTGCTGCCCCCCAAGTTTTAACATTCTTAACTTTCAACCTCCTAATTAATTTAATTTAATTAAGTAATTGGGTTTTGGGTATCTTTTTTAGTTAATCATTTCATTTTAATATTATTATTTTTTACTTCAACGTATTATATAGGCTCTCTCCTAGCTAGCGGCCTAAACTAAAAGATACTTTGCTTGTTTAATTAAATTAATTAAATTATTTATTTTTACTTGATTCACTTGGCTGAGGGGATAGCCCAAGAATCAGTGATATGAGAATCCTTGGCTCTTCCCAAGTTTACTGAATTAATGCGTGTGGCTAACACAAGATTCTTTGCATCCATAGTTTTCAATCACAATTTAAGGAAAGAAAATTTGAGAAACATTATGATGCAACAATAAAGTTCGAATTACAATTCCAGGGTATGGTTTGATTGATGTAATCGGATTGGATGAGGTAAAAAGTTCACCAAATACAACTCTTTCCTTTCCACTCATTGTTAGGTTCAATTAGTTTTTCTACACAATAAATTCACACATTACAAGTTTTGTGTTAAATGGGTTTCAACGATTCTGAAATTAGATGTACATTTGCAAAGTTGTACAATGCAAACATGTATTTAATTTGAATAGTACTCTTGTTACTTGTTGGAAGTTCATCTTTTCTACTAAAAATTAGACTTATGATTATCTCTCGTATACACTGTGAATTCACAATGAAGACGTACTTATTGATTTATTGAATAATTATTTTCTTTTTTTCTTTCTTTTTTGTCACAAATCTCCGGAGAGTTGTTCTCTACATAAAATAACATAACCTTTTATCATTTCAATCTTTTAAAATAATGATGTACCTTTTTATGATACCAGCATACCAAAAACGTGTACAAAGAGAAGATCAATAACAGAAAAAACGTGTACTTTTTTTCTTCTTATCTTTTTTCAAAATCCGAGAAAAAAGCGTGTACGAGGGAGTCTAGCTAGCAAGTTTCTTTTTCTTCAGTCAATGGAGTCTAGCTAACTAGTATTATATACAAGATAAATGAAAGCATTTTTCCTCAAACTTCGAAAAAAGTACCACCAATAAACAAAACAGATATTTTCTGCGAGATTATATACTCAATAACATGTGCTTCCCAATAAAATAAGTAAAATGAAACCAAATTAATATCCAAATAACCAGTGGCGGACCTGTGTAGGCGCAAGGAGGTGCACCTGCACCTCCGGTCGCCGGAAAACACCATAAAACCTGCTGATGTTGCACCTCTGCTCATGCACAGAAGATGTTCGATGAAATGCGCAAGTGAATTGTGCTGCTGCGCGCAGCTCTTGAATGAAATGATGGAGGATGGGGTGGAGCCCAACGCATTTACTTACTCATCCGCTTTGAAAGCATGCGCCCACCTGGAAACCGTTCTGCACAGGAAATTGATTCACTCCTCAGCAAATAAAAGTCCTGCCATGTCTAATGTTTTTGTGGGTATGTAACAGAGGCATTTCAAGTTTTTGACAGCATGCCAGAACAGAATTTGGTTTCTTGGAAGGCTATGATAGTGGGTTATGCAAAGAATGGTCTTTGCCAGGAGGCTATGAAGCTCATGTATCGAATGCGAACAGAGGGTTTTGAGGTGGATGATTACATCCTTGCCACTGTTCTTACTGCACGTGGAGACCTTTTTTAAAATAAAAAAAAGCTTGGCCAAAACGCATCATTTTGGACCAGAGTTTTAAAATAAAAAAGATATAAAAAAAAGGGGAAACTGATGAGCCATTCATGGGCTTCTAAAGGGATTTTATAATTCTTACCTAATTGGGTTTAATTTGGAACTTCTCTTTATTCAATTGGGTTTTGGAAATTCCTTAACTGAGTGGAATTGAGAATTCTTCTTCAAATAAAAAAACAAATTTAACATCATGAACAACAACCAGTATGTGTGCATCACTAGAGTCTTGTGTTTTTTCTTCCTTTTTTTTTTTTTTTTTTTTTTTTTTTTTTTTTTTTTTTTAGTTTTTTTTTTAAGAATTGCACCTCCACTGAAAAATTCCTAGATCCGCCGCTGCAAATAACTCCTCATTTTTTTGCTATGAGATCAACCTCACGGCAGGCCAATTTGAGTAGCGAGTACAAAGAGGTTTAGGGTAAATCCCATATACATAATCATTCGTAAATTCTCAATTAATTTATAGTTTAGTAATATTTTCTTTGTAATATTTGATGAGATCTTAAGTTCAAAACCTTTCTCAGTGAAAAATAACTTTGACTTGCAGACCAAAGGTTTAAAATTTGAATCTTCACGACATCATAGTTTTGTGTGTGTGTGTGTGAGAAATCTCCCTCCCTTTTATCTAGTTTAGACTATCCCTTCGCTTGTACTAAAAAAGAAGAAGTTCAAAACTCCTCTCTCATATTGATTAAAACTTTATACGCAATCTACATGTATTACGTAATTAAACTCACGTACATTCATCCTCCATGAGAATACAAAAAAATAAAAAATAAAAATCTTGGATAGGGAAAGTGTTGAAAATAAAAAAGTATAATGGAAAAAAGTGGAGATATGAGAGAAAACAAGTGCATGGCAGCAAAATGAAGCTCGCGACAACCAATTACTTCAGGAGAGCGACCACTTAAATTCGCGTAGAAATCATCAAAGTGAAAGCTCTGCTGCGAAAAGGGCTTTTGGACAAAGCTTTAACCATATACAGATTAAACTCCACAACACATGAAGCCTTTGTTTGTGTCACTTACGATTCAGCTGCTGCATACAGTTCAAAAGCTTCCTCTCAGAGTTTGACTGCCCTGCTTTTTCACCATATCAGCATCCTTGCCACCTCAATCTTGCCGGCTCGACCGGCTCAGCTCAACTTACTTCAAATTTTTTTGGTGAGAAAGAGATGGGATTTAATCAGTCCAAACCAAAAAAAATAGAGAGAGAGAGAGAGAGAGAGAGAGAGAGGGGTTTTTATTAATTTGAATTAAATAAATTAAGGCTTGCTCAATCTTGATTTGTCTGCTACCCACTGAGCCACTACGTTCGCTTTCTTTCACTTTCAATTGCAAATTTTACACTGAGAATGTCTTGTGTGTTGGTTGGATATATAACACTAAAAGGCTTCACCACCTCATGGGGTCTTCAAGGGCAAAGAAACATGGTTGGGTGAGTTCATTTAGGGCACCCGGCCTTTGGTTCCCTATTATACAATTTCACATATTATGTTGTTAGTTTATGAATTTGAATTTTAAATTGTTGATTAGGTAACTTATTATTTAAATGGATTGTCTAAATTCGAGTTCGACAACATAATATGTTATATGAACTGACAAATAACACTGTAATTCATCAATCCAAGCACACACAAATGTACTCGAATCATATACACAAGTATATTTGTATCATAGGCGCCACATCTTTATTAGAAAGTGCATATTTGTTTTCATACAAATAATTATAAATATTACTCACTATAAAAATAAGACAAAGAGTTGCCCTAAAAAAATTTACACCAAAGGCATGTTTCTCAACAGGCACAGAGGTTTTGATCACGAGTTTACTGGCATTTTATTAGTGGTTCTCAATTCAAGCCCACATGGTATCTGTGCGCGTGAGTTTTCCCCCTCTCCTTCCTAAGAAAGGGCACATACGAACAGTTAATTTAAGATGTGGAAGTGATATAGTTAAAAGGATGAATTTGTTGGTTTAAAGTTTAAACAGACACTTAGAATTTAGCATTAGAAAACTTCAAGCAAGCGAAGAGACATGTTTACATCTATAAATAGATTTCAAATGGTAAACTTGATCTTCATTAATGCAGTTGCTAGATGAGCTTTTTAATTAGCGCTTCAAATCTATCTGTTTCTTAATTCTCATCACAATTATTATCATTTTATATATTCTTTTGAGATAGATATTTTTATTTTCTTATATAACTTGCATGTGAGGTGCATGCCATATTTTTCTTTTGTATTAATTTGTTGTATCTGATGGTGAATCATTACTAATATGTGAGTACTAAAACTTGTATGATTAAGGATGTATACCCATTTTTAAACAGAAGTTAACGCATTTAAAAAAACAGCATGACCAGGAAATTTTAGAAGTCATTACTACTTTACCAAAATGCATGCCTTAACTTTGTACTGCCAATTATTTTTTTCAAAGCAAATTTTTACCTCTTAATTAGACCCACCAAAGATCATTTTGTGTACCTAAAAGTCACACGTAAAAAAAGAATCCCTATTGATTGAAAAAACATAATTGAAATTTTTTTTATAAAAGCGATATTGTGAGCGAGAGATTCAAACACAGAACTTCAGGTGTATAGATAACTGTTCTTTACCACTTAAACTGCAAACCCCTCGTATGGATAATTATTCCAATTTGTAAATCCCTCGTGACCAAAGAATGGAAGTGATAGTTGCTCAATAAAGTCAACTAAATCCAAGGCCAGGATTTTTGTAGATGAAGTCGCAGCAGAAAGTCAACAGATGAATGTGGAAAGTCAGCATGGCAATCCTTTGACAAAGACAGTGACCTTTCTCTGATAAGTGTATGTTACTTTCATGGAGAGCATAAATTACGGATTAAATGAATTACGTCATAAGTGACCTAATAAACAGTTGCATGATTGGATCACAATTCTATTATAATCCAGAGGCCTGCATGTTTCTGAAAGAGAAGCACGCGCATTCTTCGGGGACGCTAATCTCAGACCTACGGGACGGCAGAGAGATAGGTCAAAGAGAGTTTAAAACATCAGTTTTTCTCTCTACGTTTTATTTATTTATTGTGTTTTTGAATGAGAGGCAAGTTCAAGATAAAATTTAGACCTGGCAAACGGGTCGTTTTAACGGGTTCCGGGTCGTGTTCGTGTTAATCCGTTAAGGTAACGGGTTGAACACGACACGACCCGTTAACTTAACGGGTGGAAAATATCAAACCCAAATACGACCCGTTACAATTCGCGAATAATCCGCACGACCCGTTAAGAATAAACAAGGAAAAAAAATTATTGCCCAACGCTAACTCTTCTTCCCCCAAACCCCAGCCCTAACTTTTCCCTCTTCGTTTCTGTCTCATCCCCCCACCCCAAAGAAAAACAAAAAAACCTTCTATGTCTTTCTTAGGTATCTCACAAAATTGGTCCCTATCTCTCTCTCTCTCTCTCTGATAACCACTTTCACAGTCAGTCTCATTCAATCCAACCTTAAAACCCAACAACAGCAGCAAAAACAAAGGAATAAAGAGAGATGGGGAAGTACATGAAGAAATCTAAAATCTAAGGTGACGTCGCCGTGATGAAGGTCTCCGTTTCACAACAATCTTCTCTTGGCTGGGCTGAGTCTGTTGAGTGGAGAGAAGAAGAGAATTTTTTTTGTAAAAAACAAAATGAGAGATAGGGAATGACAGGAAGAGGAAGAAGAAAATGAAAAAAAAATAGAGAGCTGGAGATAAGGGAAAAGAAGAAGAAAAAAAAAGTGAAGAGTCACGGAGAGAGAATGGGTTGAAGGAAAAATAATATTAAAAAAGAGAGTGGGAAAGATGGAGAGATAAAAAAATGACAGAAAAAAGAAGAAGCATTCTTTTGGTGTTAGGAATGAAGATATGTTTTTTAAAAAACATTTTTCAAAATTACAAAATTACCCTCTTTAACGGGTGGATGCGAATATTCGCGAATTGACCCAACACGACCCGTTAACTTAACGGGTGGCTAACGGGTTCACCCGTTTTCAACCCGACCCATTAAGCTCAACCCAAATACTGATAATTTCGTGCGAATTCGTGTCGTGTTAACGGGTCGTGTGTAATATTGCCAGGTCTAATAAAATTGGAGGCACAGTTATTTGCATATATATGAATAATTGTTAGTTGTTGATGTTGCAAGTTTCATTGTTCATTTTCAAATATGCATCAAGGTCGGAATGGATTCAGTGTTGAAAACAAATATCTTATGTTGTATTGACTTTTTAAGAAGTTAAAATTTTACGCGCACATATGAATAATTGTCAATCTCTGATGTTGCAAGCTTCATTGTTCATTTTTTAATAACATTATGGTCGAATGACTGAGTGTCGAAAACAAATATCTTACGTTGCATTGAATTTTTTACTTAAAATTACATCATTGGATGTTGTAACGTATTAAATTGGAAATTATATCGGTATAATGTAAAAGTACAAGTTAAATTGAATATCGCAACGTATTAAGTTGGAAATGATGTCGTTACAATGTGAAACCAAGGTTGGGTCAAGCGGGAACAAAGCAAATGTAAATAAAAGGTTGAAAGTGGTAATACCAGTCATGCATTTGTTGGCTATGTTACGTATATCATTTTATTAAGCAATTTGTTTTCTAGTTTTTCTTTTCTTTGGGGTTCATTGCGACATGTGTAGAGATTGGTACTTGACAAAATAGGTTAATTAGTATTTGTAGTTAGACATATCATTTAAAGTTCTATCCCTACCATAACTTAATTATATCCAAACTTCTGGCCTGCCCCCACAATTTTGTAGGTGAGCAGATCGAAGAAAGTGCAAATTTTTGTAGACTAAGTGCTTTATTTTTCTAAATCCCAAAGTCTCTTCAATTTATACATGTTCAAATTAAGAGTTCATAAAATAATTGGATGAGAATGGAAGGTCAGGTCAGACCCCAGCCAAATCTCTCTTCTTATTCTTCTTCTTCTTTTTTCCAAATTAAAAATTAAAATTTTTACATGGGGATTAAATTGCTCTGAAAATTAACCAATGTTATGCATGATCTTCTAGTTGGGTCATTGGAGTTCTCTTTAAATATAATGCTAATGTTGGAGTGATTCCTTGTTATTATTATCATTATCATTATTGTTACAAAATCTTGTTAGTTATTTGCAGCCAATCTTTGGTTAACCATGAATTCTAAATATCTCAACGTACGTATATATCAATTCTTGAGTATTGTTCTCTTATTATATATCTAGCAAATTTTGTTGTTGGATTGTTAATTTGGACTATAAATTCAAACGTAAATTACATTATAAATAAATTGATTTAATAATTTGACAACATAACATAGTAAATTGTAAAACAAGAGCATTTATGATAGATGAAATACTATGAGACATGAAGGCCCTGTTTGGAATTGCATTTTTTAGTCAAAAATCTGATTCACTTTAAAAATAAAATATTATGATTATTTTAAAAGTAATGACCTCATGACATCAGCTTTTAAAAGTAGCCTCTAAGTTGCTTTTGAAAGCTGTTTTCACAAGAATCGAATAAGAGCCTTTAATGAATTTTTTTCAATTCTCATAATACCATCATTAATATTTTTAAAAATAACATCATCTACCATCACCACCGTCACCTTCACCTCCATCACCATCACCACCACACCTCCACCACACATCACCACCACTACCACCACCTCCTCCACATGCACCTCTACCACCACCACCTGCACATGCTCCACTACCACCACCTCTAAAACCATCTCCATCACTGCCACCACTACCTCCTACCACCACTCACCACCACCTCCTCCACATGCACCTTTACCACCACCTCTAAAACCATCTCCATCATTGCCACCACTACCTCCTACCACCACTCACCACTCACCACCACCTCCACCTCTACCACCACAACCACCACCACCCACCACCCACCACCCACCACCACTCACTACCACCATTACCACCACCACCACCACCACCACATGGTTAGCACATAATACTTTCAACATCATGTCTATTTGAATTTGTTATCATCCACAGTTACAACAGTTTTATATTAAAACTTACCAAATAGTTTTGACATTGCTTTTTATACTAACAACACTTTAAAAATATTATTTACCAAACATGGAATTGCTTTATTTCATAGCTGATTATTTTCAAAACATAGCATAAGCATCTTTTTTTAAAAGTGACAACAATCCTAAACTGGCCCGAAATACAATAGAGTTGTGCATATTTATGTTGAATGCATGAATACCCAAACGTCCAAAATTGACTATCCTCATCATTTTCTTTAGATTGTTTAAATTCATTCAATCAACTAATTCGTAATCTAATAGTCTAATAATATTTCTCTTCTCAATATTAGATTTCAATATTGAAAGAGATTACGAGTTCAAATTTTCCAATTCATAAAACAGACATCTTATTTGTGGCTTTGTACATTGATGGAGAATGGAGGGTGACGAGAGCAACATGGTAAGAGCCATTTTATATTAATCCAAGTCAAAGCACTCCATTATTGGCTGCTTTACACAAATATATATATATATATATATGGACGTATACGGAATAATATATTGGTTCTTGAACTTAATTATTGTCAACTCCGATCCAATAATTAAACAATTCACCCAATATGCACCGTATATACCCTAAGTTATACTGGAGAGATGTAGATTCCTTGTCGGTTCCCATGGCATGAGATTCCCTTCTATACAATAATATATCAATCAAGAAGCAAATTATAGTAAAATAGTAGTACATGCATAGCATGTTCATATATATATCCATCCATTGGCCACTTTTAGTTCTTTACTTCAATGGAGGTGGCAAAATCTGACCTGTTGGGGAAATGAATCCCTTAGTTTTTTCGGTTAGGAAGACCCCAGGTCAACCTTTGAGCACATACAAATGTATGTTTGTTTGTTTCCCTTTCTTTTAGGCCAAACCTTTGTGTTCCTGGAAATATAAGTTTGTTTCTAGCTTTTCATATGAATGATTAAATCATTGTGATATGTGGGTTATGAGAGAAATTTGTGTCAGAGTGTTTTTGTCATGCACCGACCATTTGAGTGATAAGTACCGTCTAGTAAAACTTATCATGCATTATAAAATTTGAAAGTGACATCAAGCGCGAAACTAGAAATTTTTACCAAAATGGGGTGTTTTTTTTCATATGTTACGTATGGATGGTTTATTGACTTTTTTCTTAGAGCTACTAGAGTGGATTTTTGCCAATTTTTACTGGTTTAGGTGTCTTAATTTCCAATAAATAGAGCGGATTCCTTGAAATTTAGCATCAAATTTCAATGTTTAAATTTTTTTGCACTCGACTAGAGCCCACCCTAATCTGAAGGTGGCTCTGCTTTGCGTGATATGTTTTAACTAGACAATACCTGACACATGATATGAGCACTCGCCACCCAAGTTTTTCTCGTGGGTTACACTTCTGCATAACGCAGAAACATGCTACTGACTTAACGTTGAAGGACCAAGTGGTCATATATGGCCAGCCAGCTCAAAAGGAATTCCTGAACCCAAAATATTAATTAAGTTTTGAATTAGTTATATGATAATGAACATGTTAAGGTGGACTGATTAGCTTAATCACGGGTGTTGATGATTTCAATGGATGGAATGAATGAGTCATAAATCGGGTACTGTTCCTCAAACAACCAGCAGATCATCAGCGCAAACAAGCTCATAGATTTGATTAGTTAATTAGAAGAAGACATTGGGGAACTTGAACTTTTTGTTTTTCTGTTTGTCTTTGTTTGAGCTTCGCTGTGCATTTAAAAGATATTAAATTACATACCCTTGCTCATCCAATTAAAAAAAAATCAGCTGCTTTATATATAATTGATAAATAAATTAAACTGAAGCAGAATTTTGTCTTTGCTGCTTGATCTCTGTTATTTTAAGTTGTAATTATGATGTGGGTTTTATGCATCTTTTGGGCCAAATTAATGAAACTCCATATTTGTACCATTCTTGATGATAACTATATAACATTGCGTTTGTTAAGCTATCGGTTTCTCTTCGTAATGTAGTCATGGTACACAAGTTGGTTTTTTTTATAAAAAAAAACCACCAATTGTAAGCTGACTTAGAGTGTTAGAACTGAAAGTAGTTGATAGAGAATTAATATGTACATTATCTTGATCAAATTCTTTAGCCATATCATAAAACTAGCTATAAAGTAGGACGTACTTTTGAAAGTTGGGAATAAATCCCACCCAATTTTTTAGGGTTTCACAAAGACCCAGCACATACTTGTCTCCTTGTAAGGGTGATATATATATATATATATATATATATAAATCTCATTTGCATTCTGTCTTGGTAGTGGTTAGCTTGACTTGGGCACTGTTGAGAGTGTTTGTTCCACATAGACATGTTATGGGACCTAGCCTAGGTTTATAAGGAGTTGGGTTACTACCCTAATTGCCAATTGATTTTGGGGTGGAACCTCAACTTCATTCATGGTATCAGAGTAAGGCTTCACGTGTTGGGCACAACGGCCACACGTGCTCCCACGTCACCCAATATGTGTTGTCGAAAGTTCGTCACACGTGCGGGGCCGTGTTGAGAGTGTTTGTTCCACATTGAAATGTTAAGGGACCTACCTTGGGTTTATAAGGAGTTAGGCTACTCCCCCCATTGCCAATTGGTTTTGGGGTGGAACCTCAACTTCATTCAGGTACACTCACAACATCAACATTTCTTACATCTTATTGGAAACTACATGCAAATCAACACAAATTGAAGTTATAATTCCACATTTAGGGTTTTCAAAGTTGCTAATTGGATCAACATCTGCCATATGTACGGCTAAAATTAGATGGTGTTAACCAGAATTAAGCAATTCCATAATCAAAGTCAAGGCAATCATTGGCCCATTATTTCAGAAAAAAAACAATTGAAAATGATATAAAATATAATTCTGTTTGTTCCGTAAACACAATTTAGGTTTGTCAACTTTCATTAAAACGTTTTGTGATTTGGTATCCATTAGTATATACCAAATATGAGATGGGATATAGCAATCGTTATTTTAAGTGATCTCAATAATAAATAGCTTAATCAAATTATTTATTGATCAAAAGAAATAATCAAAATGGACAACACTAACAAACTCCATTCGATCAGCTTATCTCAACTATGGTGAGCATAATAATGTCCATTTGGATGGAGGGATTCCAAATCTAGGGATTTAGATGAGATATATATGGTTGAATTATTAGTTCCGATTACTACAATTCATGTATGTCAATAAGAATGAAAGAAAGAAAACATGGCTTCCAAATATATTAATTCAATCTAACGTTTTCTAATTGTTTTTAACAAATTTAGCCTTATTATCAAATTCAAATCTTCTCTTTCAAATACCTCTATCTCAATCGAGTCTAATATTTTGTTGGCCGGTTGAGTTCACAAGAGTGACGCTCATTCGAACTCGGGACCTGACTGTTCGTTCATGCTCTATTCTCATATATAAATTTATTAAGCTTGTTAAGCTATATATATATATATTAAGCTACATTATATAAATGATGACAGATATGTGATTTTTATTTTATTTTATTTATGGAACTGATGATATGTGACTGTTGCCACATTAATATATACAAAACATAATGAATGATTCAAGCAAATGAGGGTTGATTGATGAAATAACTGGCAAATCAGTGCAGCATTCTGTGTTGGTTGGAATTACCGAAAGAGGACAATAAGGAACTCGGCAACTCCCAACTGATTTGTTTTTCTCATTGTCTTTGCCAGACTTTGTTGTGATGAAATGAAAGAATTGATAATGAAGTGAGAAAGCTACCATTTTGTTTTTGGGACAATTAAAAGCATAAAAATTTATATATGGGTTCTTTTTCTTCTCGTCATTGGGAATTAAATGATTAATACCTAACAATAAATTTGGTATAAAATAATATTTCCATCATTCATCACTAATCACTATAATATCAACTAGCTCTTCATCTAGTGGTATGGAGAATGTTCCGATTTGAACCCTGCTCCCCTAATAAGTTATAAATATTTAAATAAAAATCTAATCACTATCATGCATTAATTAACCCAATTTCATAAATTATTTGAGGCTTAACATAGTTTTATGAAAAAGAAAAGAATTTACATCAAACATTAAAATCATCGAAGTAGAATCTTTTATTGATTTTGAAAATTATAATCACTAAATGTAAGAAAATTTTAGCGTTATTATTGAGCATAACTGGTGAATATTGCTTATATTTAAAATTCAAGCAGAATTCAATGAGAATAAAATGTGTACATTATAATGAGAGGTGTAAACTTGCAGAAATAAAAGTACTTTGTGAAGAAGCATTTATAAACATAAATTCCTACAAAAGCAATTTCAAACCGAATCTCGTTATCCTCTTCATTTTCTAATCTCATCATTTGTAAAAGTACAAGCAAACCCACATAGTTAATTTGCCCTCACCCACTGAAAAAAACGATGGCTGGTGTGAGTTCATAGGCTTTGGACAATTTCCATAATGTAAGTTATGTTCATTGCTAGTAGTTAATCAAAGCCAAAACCACTTTGGCCTTAATCAGTTTTTCACAAGTTTCAGCAATATGTGAAGATGAGCATGACATTTCACCAGCTTGATGTAATGTTTCACTTTGACAACGTTACAATATCTGAAAATGGAACTCGTTGGTCCAATCTTTAGCTGCACATAGCTGAGAGACCAAGCAGTGGACCAAACAACACACGTACAATTTTAAATTTGATACACGTGTATGCAACCAGAAGGTTGGAAATAAACCCACAAAAGTTTTGAGACCTAGGAGTAGGTACGTAGGAGAGCCTCTGGGTCTCTTCCACGTGGAGCCATAGTTTATGCTCCTAGATAATTGTTGCACGTCATGGCCACTCCTTGAATTTATCTTCTTTTTTTTTATAAAAAAAACTTAATAAGAAGATTAAGATGGAGGCAGGCAGTGACGCCACTGTGTGTGATTACTGATGGCTACTTAATTGTCTTGTTTAGCGATAATTAAGTAGTTGTTTATGTTTATGATTTTAAATTAGTTTCTAAATGGGGGTTTCAAAAGCACCAAATGGGTTTTCTATTGAAAACAGACAGTGACATTAATTAATTAAGAAGGTGCAAATTGCAGTGCTTTGGATTACAGATCGAACACTGGGTTGTTGACAGCGTTGTCTTCTTTATCTTGTGATGCATGGTTAATTTTGGAAGTAAGTGAGGCTATATTGTCACCCACCATAATGCTGATTTCACCTTTCAATTAAATAGAAAATTCAGTACGATTTTATTCTCTTTTTGAAGTATTTAATAGCACAAGCTCTATATATCTTTATTTTTTTTGTTCAACCAAAAACAAAAACTAATTCGAGTCTGGAACCAACCAAGGACAATAATGCTCGTTCACTCAAGGGTTGCCCTTGTGTTAGGAGACAATTTCTCACATTGGAATATAAGCCGATTTTGTAGAGTGCAAGTTCTGGTTTCGCCACACAACCGGCCGGAAGACAATTTCTCACATTGGAATATAAGCCGATTTTGTAGAGTGCAAGTTCTGGTTTCGCCACGCAACCGGCCGGATTCCACGGAAGAGATGATTTATAGAATGTGCATTAAGATGATTGATTTTATGTATGAGCATAATATCGAGTCAATGAATAATGATAGGTTAACGTGCTAGTGTTGATTAAGTGGGTAGTTACCCCAACTGGGTTTGAACCATTATAAGGTGGCCACTTTGTAATCTTAGTCTAGAGTGTCATGGACACCATAATACCATCTATTGAACATTCAAGAGTTTTATATCACTTCTTTCAAAATGACTACAATGGACATGAAGAACAATCTGTAGCTACCTCAACCTCAATTCTAACATTTTCTCAATTTTCACATTCTTTCAAGAAAATCAAAGACACGAACGAAGCCATTATTTACTCTCCTTTTAGTTTATCAAGTTACATTAACAATATTTCTTTCTGGTTTAGACAGATCTGGGAGAGTTAGGAAGTACAAGTTGTAATCTTTCTCAGCAACCACATGACGAGCAGCCGGTTTCTAAAACACACCTCTACACTACTCAACAATTTAAACAGATCTGGCTTCATACATGTTTACAATCTTAGGCTTCAAACAGCAAGCATTCGCATTTAGTTTCTGGGACTAGAAGCAAGAGTCTACGGATTTGTCAACAATATTCAACTCAACACTGGAAAGTTAGGTCCTATGAAGACATCAAAAGCCAATAATGTCACAGCTTCGGATGATCAGATTCATCAATGCATATTGGAATCATTCAACTAATCAATAGCCAAGTCAATGAGATTACCAATGCTACATTATACTGGGGAGTTTATTGATGGAGCAATAGTAAATACGAATACAAGAACCAAACCTACCTTTAAGACTTCTAACTTCTCAACTAAGAATATCAAGTTCATAAAAGGTTTTTATAAGCTTGATGATTCACAAATAATATCAAGAAAATAGGAATGAAGGATAGAGATTTGTTATCCTAGTGAGACCATGAACCCTGTGCTGAGAAAAATTCTACATGAAGATGTATACTCTACAGGTTTCTACTTGGAATAAATCTGTAGACTGTAGAAACCAGAATTCTCAGTTTAACGAGCCGTTTTCAGAGAATAAGCAAGAGAGGGGTCCGTTCTTTATCCATAAAGACGCAAAGTTTTAATTGTATCATGCTGGTTTCCTTTCTTACTCCCCTTAGATAATTAAAATATCATTTTCTTGTGCAAATGAAAAAACTATCAAAAGTTTATTCTGTTAAACATGCTTACAGTTACAGTTCTTGATATGGCATTTAGCATCCTCAGTCACAAGGGGTATTTTATAACTAAAGACAGAGGAAGATTTTTAAAAGGAGAAGCAGCCTGCACTCATGCGACAATAAGTCTTTGAATCTTGATCTAATATCTTTTACATTAATTAAGAAACTTTTAAGTTCATACATTAAAGGGAGCGTCACAATTTTTGAGAGTTGGTATGTTCATTTCTTTTCCCTTAAACAAACTAACCTTGTCTTTTAGGAGACATAGATCATTTGACATTTTCATTGCCGATAAGTTTTCCCTCAGTTTTGTTTAGTGAGCCATGGACGACCCTTGCTGCTGCTATGGCAGAATCTGCCCTCTTGACAACTCCCTCAAGCTCTCCAACCTTCTCCGACAACGACACGACATTTGAGTTTGTTGACTGAACTAACTTGTTCGCAGTATCCAGAGCACGGCATAACTGGGATAATTTTAAAAAGAGAAAAAAAAATCAGAATATATACAATATTTTAAAACTCGCAAGTTGGTAATTTCTTTACCCAAGCACAAAAATTTAGTGTTACTAAATGCTCTTAACAAATATTAAAAACCACTAATAATATTTCAGAAGCTATCCACTGTATACATCAATCCACAGTGCACCTCAATCAACAAAACATTCACGATGCACCCAATGAAAATCTATATGTTGTTGTACCAAATAAAAAGTAATATGCTATCCTTCTAACTTTCTGTCCATACAACTTTGAAGGAATTGCCAAATAGATTATGGGGCCTTTTTCTGTGAGGAGTGATTGTCAAATACATTACAGGGGGTTTCTTTCTGAAATCGTATAGACAGTACGTGCATCCATGATCTGGTTGTTATATATATTTTTGTCAAGTTTTTACATCAATTTTGTATGGTGTTATGAGGTTTTTCTTTCTACATACCCAATTATGTGAATGATAATTGTAATGCAATAGATTTTACCATAAGGGAAAACATAAAAATGCTCATCCAAGCAGAATCTATATGTATGCATTTCATATTTTCTAATACGGATCATTCATCACCTTCAAAGTAAGAGCTGCCCATGAGTGGTCTGTACCCGCAAGCGCCTCGTTCAACTGCTCATAGTTCTCCTGAAGCAAACAGGGTATATGGAATAAGGAACACTCCCATACAAATAAGAGGATGCAACACTATTTTTAAAATGCAGAAAACTGTTCTCTTTCAAAGCAGTTAGCAAAACCTTACAACAACATCATATACACCAACACTTTGGTGAAATTAACCAAACTTGCTCATAACCTCAAAAATCCAATTTCCATATTAAGTTATGCACTTTACCCATCTGCCTATTGAACACAATACATTTACAATAATCTGATAGCCATAGATAATTGGGTGAACAGTTCTTGATGCATAACCAAAAGGTCCTCAAGTCCAAATTAGTATTTATTATTTTCTCTTACTGGGTTTCCAAATTTCCAAAAAAAATGTGAAAAACCCACCTAATTCTCAGAAGGGTTTTCTGTCATGCAAATGAATTCAAATAAATGAGAATCAAACAAGCAATGAGATTGTGGAATAAGAAACCTGGAATAACTTGGTGAGGTCCAAGCTTGCAGTGGAGCTGGAAATAGGAGAAGATGAAGAGGGTTCATGTTGTTGTTGTGGTGGTGGTGGTCGTGAAGCATCTGATTCTCCCACATCGCTCAGCAGATCGCCTATGCATAGAAGAGGTCCTCCTACACCTCTCATCATCTTTCGATCCTCCTTCGATTTCACTCCTCTTCCTCTGTAACTCCATTATATCAGGTGGGCCGGAGTTTGGGCTTTCCTGCAATAGAGAAAGACCCGACCCGGCCCATGTAAGTAAGGACCGAATCTCAGGGCACAAAATCAAAAGTTATACTCTGTGGACTCTGAAAGCTTCATCTTCTCGGCTCTGTGTCTGATCAGGTGAGCTTCAATTGCCGTACACTTCAATGGGTATCAATAAATTTTCAAACTTCAATCGCTATTTGTTCCTTCTTTTTGTTCTGCTTTTGTTTTGGGCTTTTACACTGTGTCTAGGGTTTTGGTCGCCCATGTCCTGCATATTAGTTTGATATTTTTGTGTTCATTTGAAACACTTTCACAATCAAAATCTTCTCCAGAGCTTCATGGTTTGATAAGTATCTTATTTAGTAAAATGAGGAAGAGAAGCTACAGTTTTTTAAACTGACAACAGAGTGAAACAGGATTGAGGTGGATTGCTTCTCATAAGCACAAAGTGTAGCTAAAAACAGAAGAATGGGAAGCCAAGAGCCTGTTAAGCACCTTGAGGATTGCTCAGTTTCCAAGTGAGTTTAGTCTTTCTTCCTTTACTTGTTTCCACTTTGTGCTTGAATCTTTACTATTTCTATGTTTGTGAAGTGTCACTGGTGCTCTCCAGATTTTTGAATTAATAAATTTCTTGTTTCAAATATCTTTACCATTTTAGAACTGTAGTGACTGTAATTCTTATTAAAGCATTGGGAATTCATTGGAAGTTTGTGGCCTTTTCTGGTTCTTAGTATGAATGAGATAAATGTTTGACAAAATGATCCTTATCATGTGTTCCATGATGACATTATGAGATTGGAAGCAATGACATATTTTGTTGGATGTGTTAAGCAGTTATAAGATAAGCTAAGGTGTAACATAAGATTGTTCTACCTGTGTGATCATACTTTGTTAAATTTTCTTTTTTAACTCTGCATATTCAATCATTTCCTGAGCTCTTGAGGGTGCCATTTTTAAAGTTAGATGTACTTGTTTTCCAAATAATTGAACAGTAAGATAGATTAAAGCTTCTCTATGACAGATTTTGCCTATAGTCACTCGCATTTCTAACATTAACCAATGTTCTTAGTGTTATGAAGTGTTTTTCATCACATATCACGCATAGATCTTGGAACGGTTTAGTCATTATAGTATTACATATTAGTGTTCCACATGTCAAAAAGAATATTATATAAATTGATGTTGAAAATAAATTAACAGATTTCTATACACAACTTGTTTTGACCTATCTACTGAAATTTGTTTTCACAATTGCCCTTCAATATCGAAGCTATCCGTAGTACTGTGCTGCTTTGTTCCTCATTTTTATGTTTGTTTATGGAAATTGAGGCTTCTCATTTTGATTGTTTATCTTGTCCCATGGATCCATGCTTTTTCTTGAATGAGAAAAATGTTGAGGCATTCATATATCTTATGAACAATTATGAATAAGATTTCTGGAATTTTGTTCATTCTGTCATATCATTGGGCTTAACTTCAGTACAGCATATCAAATTCATTACACAATAGGTTCATAAGCTCTTGCTCTTTTTGGCATTGTAAAGACAATCTTTCCCGGTTTCATCTTGTCCTGGTTTATTTTTTACCTTGAAGAGTAGTTTAAGTGATACTCTACATTATTATCTACAGCGCGTTGGGCACTTGGGTATTTTCAGTAGCTGGGGCCTTGCTAGCAATTCCAGTAGGGATAAAAAAGAAATCTTTAGCTCCACTTGTGTTCTTTGGCACAACTGGTACCATGCTTGATATTATTATGGGAATCACTCAGTGTGAAAGAGAACATGCAGAACGCCAAAAACAGCTCTTAGAAGCCCAACATTCTGCAACTGATGCTTCTTTTGCTGAGACTGGAGCCGAGTCCTAGTCTTGTGCATATGGAGCAATAGGCCGCATTCTTGGCTGCTATCATTTTCTCTTCAGATTGCTTTGCTGTTAAAGCTAAATCCCTTTCTGTAATGATGGCTCTTTGTTTCTGTTCTGAGCTTTCTTGTTTCATGGGTTAATAATCACTCAGAAGTTGTTAATTATGAATGAGTTCATGCTAGATCTCTCTCGGATGAAACTTCCTTATGAAAATTGCTTTCAAGTTGAGCAGAAAATTTATGACTTATGAACCTTAATTGTTACAACATGAACATTAAATATTATCAGAAGATCATTTGGTTCTGAAGCATGGCATCTGCACAGAAACGATTTCAAACCTCCCATTTTCCTTATCCAAACCAGCATTTACATTGACTTCGAATCTGAAAGGGCTGTTCTTTCCTTGCTGCAGCAGTGTTTTCAGAAGAATCAACCAAAGCCCATAGAAGTCCATATTTTCCTGAAAACAGTGTTTTCCCTTTCCTTCCAAGCTCTTCTTGTGTACATCTGATGAACAAGAAACCAAAACTCCTTTGTCGGTAGCAGCTTTAGGTTGCCCGATGCTTTTTGAATTATGTATGGGAATCTCTTTCAAATCAACTTCTCCAGCATGCTTTCTCCCCCTATAGCATGAATAGACTCTTTCAGCCTTGATGTTCCCAAACAAGAGCTCTGCGGCCTTGTTTCTGACCAGGAGTGGCGCATAATCTGATTCGTCCCATACATACAACTGCAGATGGATCAAGAGAAATAGCCATGCTTAACATGCATTAAAAATCAAGAATTCAGAAAAACAACCAGACTGAAACAAATCATGGTTGAAAGGTTAAACTAGAGGGAAAAAAAGTTCACACCATGAAGGGCTTGTATATGAGGCTTATGACATGAAGGCGGTTCAAGCTTTCCGAACAATAAAGTGCAACTCCATTCTGCTTAAACATGTTCTCACTGCAGGGAAATGCACCAAAGAATTCACCATTGACATTAATTCAGCAACCAAAATCACACATTGCCATGGTACCAAGGCATAAGAAATCTCAGATGCTCTGATATCCATACCTGTCCAGCTCCAAAGGGGAACCACAAAGCTCACAGCCTGTACAAATGAGATCTGTTGCTAAACCGCCATCTCCTGTTTTATATAATCTCCTACTGACAAACATGTCTTCCTTGTCAAGTAACTCACATTCAGCAGGAGATGACAAGGTAAACGGCAGAAAAATTTCAGCAACGGATGCATAAAAGACGGCCTTGCAAGAATCGGGTAGGCGTGATAATTGCGAAAGTGAAAAACAGTCCTTAGGCTGTTTCCTCTCTTCCGGGAGCTTCCAGTTTCTTGAGAGTTGCCCCTTCTGCAGCTGACAGCCATGGAACTCATGAGTTGTGTTGCTCTTCTTCACCCATTCTACTACCTTTCTAAGCTTTTCTTTTGTTGCTATCCCAACTCTACACTCCTCTATCAAGTCATTGACACCTAAATATTAAAACAGCAACCTCTTACACTTTGCCTCAAAAAGTTATGAGCATGTAACGTCTTTTGCCAGACAATCTAACATGTTATGTTGTCAGACTATCAATCAAGATTATTCTTTTTGTAAATTCTTTTCGTAAAAAGAAGATCCCGATTCACAACCTAACAACATGTCGGACATTAGACTGTTTCAGTGATTTGTAAAAATATTATACCTTTAGTAAGGATGGAATCATAAGGGTGAAGTAGACATTGTAAGGATGAGTAGTGGTGCGTTCTGGCCTCAACAACATCACCATATTTTGTTATCTTCACATCTGAAATCAAAATACCACCAAAAACAAATTAGACAGTATTAATTGACAAAGGCTAGAATCTTTATATCAGAAAGAAAATTCAAATGTATAAGATTAATTGGATTTTGAATAAAATAAAATAAAATAAAAAGATTTAAGCTTGCAAGTTGCAGCTTTACCCACTTTGTAACAAAACGACGTCGCCTGCTACCGCCATGGATGCCATTGGCTTCTGCCATAAGGATACGGAGAAGAACGGTCTCGTCTCATCTCCCACTTGGATATCCGTTCGGATTACCTCTCCGCCTTTTGACAACTTATACTTTGAGAAAATAAAATTCTTATTTTAAAAATATAAGAAAGGAAAAGAAAGGAAAGGAAATAGCAGACAAGAGAGTCCAGAGAGATACGACACCTGAAGAGGAGTCGTTCTGTGGACGAAGACGACAAGCTGAACGTAATCGCCGATGTGAAGCGCCGCCCTGGACAAGTCGATGAGCGGTCCGTACCATCCGATAACTGACGCCATCTTCTTCTCTTTCTTAGATTTTCCCGCGGAAACTTTCGGCAACTACTGTTTTTTTTGTTTTGTTTTTATTTTTTTTGCGAAAGGCACCTACTGTTTGGCTGCGCAATTGGACACGTTAACTTTTTCTTAGAATAATATTTTTTTATAATTCTTTTTTCCGAAAAATATTAATTTTCTAATATTCATAGTTATATAATTCTTCTTTCTTGCGGAATAATGGGATAATGAGATAGCATGGGGTTGGAAAACCGGATAGAAAAAGGATTCCAAGAAATTTAAAACTGAAAAACACACATTTATCATGAAGAATATCAAATGTTTAGTTTAATGATCCTCATCTCATTCAGAATAAATACTCAGAAAGAAAGAAAAATAATTCATTGCATAAACAAACATAAAAAAGTGTGTTACCTTTTTTCATTTGAGCACAAAGACAACATACGTGCGATTCAACTGGGAGACTACCAGTCGTTTATGACAGACCAAACATATAGCTAATGTCTTACCACTAATCCTGGTCACCCAAAGCCAAAAACTTTATTGGGCAGCAGTCCAGGAATATATAACACAAAAGAAAATTAAACCACAAATTCGGCTAAGAAACTCGGTGTCCAAGCGCCAGCCATGGGCGCATTTTAACCAAGTTACACTGGATGGAACTGGCCAACAAAAACAGGGGCCTCTTCCAGTAAAGCAGCTCTGTTAAAAACAGCTGCTATAAAGCCAATGCCACCACCACCACACACACAACCACCCACCCTTATCAACACCTCCCGCAAAAACGTTTCGGCAGAAGACATATCCCATAGAGCATCAGCAGAGATTAAACTGTAAAATTATTATTTTCTTCTAAGACTCTATTCGGACTATACACTAGTTTCGTATCTACAACAGAGCCTGCCCATTGCCATAAAAAGCCCTGTTATCATTGATCTTTGTAAATTTCCATTCATCGCGAACAAGTGCGTCAACTGATTCAAAATCCCAATCTAGCAGAGATATGAGCTCATGTATAGCCTTGCCCCGATATCAATGGGTCCATCATCACCCCCAATTGCATGAAGTACTACAGAAATTGTTGAAAGAACACGCAGAGTCAGGGGGAAAACAAGAGGATCGATTTCACTCTCGTTAGAACTATGGGTGGCTACACCAACATCTTGGGCTGCAGCACCTTCATTAGTACTATTTCCAACTGCACCCAGTTCAGCTTTGAGGTCATAAGGTCTTATGACCAAGGCAACATCTTCAAGCGCCCTACATTTACCAGGACTACCTCTCCTGAGCGAGCGTCTGTTAGAACATAAAGTCAGCACTACTGTGGATGTGGCATCAAGCCATTCGACCATCAAGCCCTCAACTTCATCATAATATATTCGACGTTCAACCTGAAGGCATGTAGTAGGTGTAACAGTTAATTGCAAATGGATCCCCATACTACAGTTGCATAAAGATACAAAACAGTTAGAAAGCTACTTACAGCTAGCTTGTGGATATAAATGGACATGAATCTAGGTCCTAGACCCATTATTCTTGCTTCTGATAATAAAATCTGAAACCAGAAAAAAGACAATCCAAATATTAAACACAGAAAATATATATATATATATATATATATATATATCCAAAGCGTAAAGTGCAAAATGAGCACTCCAAAATGATCATAGGTCCACCTCTTTTACAAACCATTAGCACAAAGACAGAAGATTCAAGACAAGGATTGCTAAGAAGATGCTATAAGTCTCTTTAACACTAGATGCTAGGGAATCAGATGATGCCATGGTCACTATGAAACAACACAAATTGATAGAAGATAGGAGCTCATCAGTTCATTTTGGCACATCAAATTATTTATAGAATCATCATTCTCTACCACGTTACAGGTTATGAAATGAGAGCCAAAAACTTGTGACACACTGCTCTTCAGCTAAATAGCAACAACGAAGATAGATTTACCATCTTAATAGGATTCAGGAAGATAGATTTACCATCTTAAAAGCATCATTATCAGTCACATAATGCAGTATGATATCATTAACAAACCAAAAGAGAGAAAGAAAGCTAAAATAAAATATCATACCTCTTTTTTCTTCAGCAGGGCCCACATGTAGAGCTTGTCACAAGCATCCTTGACATGTCTACTGGCCAGCTTCCTCTCATTGCAATAAGCAGCAACATCAGTAAGCAATTCAGAGCAGGGAATTCTATGCTTCATTGATGCAGCTGATAACACTTCCCTACTTTCATAGGACTCAGCAGCATCTTTATCGAAATAAATACCAGTGAAACATTTCATTCTACATTCATCTCCCCTGTTAAAATTATTCAACACTCTCCGATGTTTCAACAATAACTCCTCAGCTTCTATAGCCGCGGCTAGTGTACGATGCACTACAATATCAGGATACCGACGTAGCGGTGAAGTGAAATGTGTGTACAGAGGAACTGCCAACCCATAGTGACCCCAATCATTTTCTTTGTCTTTCAATTCCCCACTACAAAAATAAGCAGCCAGTTGCATTGGCTTTGTAGCATAATTCATGAGAATATTGAACAGAACGCAATCATCCTTGAGTTTTTCCCTGATTTTCTCTAATGAAAGTTGGAACTGACCAGAAGAAGATGTATCCAATTCTAGACCATGCTTGGAACAAAATGCTTCAAATTCCCTGAGTTTGCGCAGGTTAGGTTCTGGGTGCCTCCGCAGTAATGCACTATCAGGAAAAGCTCTAGATATCACTTCAGCCGCTGTTCTATTTGCTAAAAGCATTAACTCCTCCACAAGAAAATTTGATTCCTTCCGTTCAGAATGCATGCTATCATACGGAACTCCATATTCATCAAACAGAATAACAACTTTAGAACTCTCAAGCTGAAGAGCCCCATCACTAAACCTCCTCTCCTTCAAAATTCTGGAAATTTCGTGAAGATCTTTAACAGACCTACGTACATCAAACCATTCAAAATGGCCATGCAACTGAGGACGACCATTTCCTAGAATGTCCACACTTTCCAAATTAAATTTCCCATCAATAATGTCTTGAGCATGTTCATAAGAAAGCTTGCAACATGATCTTATCACAGTGCGGCCAATCCATCGGTCAACAACATCCCCAGCATGATTCATGTCCACGAAAATTGAAAATGCAAGTCTCTCTACTCCTGGGTTAAGTGAACCAACATTCTCTGAAAGCAAAGGAGGTAGCATTGGTAATTTCCTCCGTGACATATACACACTTGTTGATCTAGATTGAGCTTCTTCATCTAAGGGTGTGCCAGGTAAAACAAAATGTGACACATCAGCAATGTGGATACCAACTCTGTAAATTCCATTGGATAATTTATCAACTGAGAGAGCATCATCTAGATCAGTGGCAGTAGAAGGGTCGATAGTAAATATGCACAAGTTTCGGAGATCCCTCCTAGTTTGGAATTCCTCCTGAGGCACCTCCCAGGGGAGATGAGGAAGGCAGGAAAGTGATTCAGGAGAAAACTCAGATGAATTAATTGCATTTTGAAATAAAATTGCTTCAATTTGGGGCTGTAATTCACATCCCCGCCCAAAAGCATTCAAGATGACAGCTTGGGGAGCAGAACTTTCTTCATCCCATTCATCAATTCGCGCAGCAAACAACTCCATTTCAATTGTTTCATCACCATTCTCCAATCTTTTCTTGATTGAATCAGGAAGGTTTCTCACAAGGACCACCATTTTTGGAAATCTTGGGTCAATTGGGGTCATCTGGATGTACTCATGGTTAGAAAATGACGAATTTTTGTTCTTTCTCATGTCTTTTCTGCAAAACTCCCTGTAAGAAATCCACTGTTTTACATTAAGAAAACCAACAATAGCATCTCTACGAGGAGACCTTTCAATGATAGCAACAACCCTGCCAGTTGGTCGTTTGGAAGGGAATGAATTGATCATGGCACACAGCCTCTCTACTGAAAGTCTAACTTCATTCTGCTCAGGAGAAGAACCTGCTTGTATAGAATCTGAAGGCAACGGATACCTTCCAGCAACATGATCATAACTTGATTGTCCAATTGGCCCTGAATGAAAAGATTCACCCACAGATTCCTCAGGACGTGATCCCCTCTCAGGAAGCAGGCTACTTCGATCATTACCATACAAATAAACCTCATCTACCTTAGCTTTACCTTTGCAGTTATAACCCGCAATCACATTATTTTCTAGTTGCAAATTAAAATCATCCACTGGTGCGGAACTGGTACAAGTTCCAGCTGACCCTTTCATCCTAGTCCATAATGGTAAGGGATCAACCTTAACCACCACAATGTCTCCTTCCACCTACATATAAGAAGTCAATACAAAGCAATTATGAACTGCCCTCCCCACCAAAAAATAAATAAATAAAGGAATGTTACAATAACATTATAAGCCAGCTACTTGTGAGCATTCTATACTGAAAAGCAAACAAGCCAAAAGTTCTTCTAGTGAAGACACAGAATGTAAGAGATAATAATTCCACTTACAGCTCTATTCTGCTCAGCAAGTCCACCAATGAGAACATCTGTTGGTACTCCATCAACTTTGCAATAAGCCTACCAGCACAGAGCACAGTATGCATATTATCCACCGAGGAAGTTATGAATGAGGAGCATTGAGAAATCTTAAGCCCACACTGCATCTCCATATATAAGATGAGAAAGAAATAAGATCACAAACCTCATGTCTGTTGTGCGCATTGACTCTAAACAAAGCTTTAAAAGCTTCACCTTTCTGAAAAATAAGATAAAAATGAGTCACAGTAAGTACTTTCTTCAGCAACAGAGGTCCATTCACCTACAAATAGAATCATATACAACGAGCAAGCAGAACAGGAATCATGTCATTAAGACCTAATAAATTTACCTCTATAGCATTATTAGTAGCCTCCATAGACCAGTGTGGAGTAAAATATTTTCTTCGAGCATAACCTTCAACGTGATGAGGAGGAAAATCCTTTAGTATAAATATTCCAGGTGATTCTCCACAAGCCACTGATTCAGGACAAGAATTTGCACACACTCTTTGACCAGGATCACATGGCAGAGAATGTTGATTTTCCAAACTTTGCACATCCTCATGATTTTCTTGTTCATTGATGTGCATTGTTGGCAATGAACTGAAGGGAAAATTAGATGCTTTGTTCATTCCATGCTCATATGGAGGATGCAGGACAAACTGATGTTGCTTCAAGGGTGTGGTTACATGATCAGACGTTCTTCCATTTCCCAAGTACTCAGAAACTTCACTGCGTATTTCATTTGCTGAATTAGATGCTGCCATTAACAAGAGGGGAAAACCAAATATGAAAGTCAGCACCAATGAACACGCAGAACAGAGAAAGTAGACACACAAAGATCAAATAATGACAGTGCATTATAGGAGCAAAAGAAACACCGCATTAAAAGGGTAAGAAAAGAGAAAAAGCAAACCATAACAATATTCATAAAGATATTCACCATTAAGAACTATATGTGCCTTATTCAGCATAATGACATCTTATTCAGTAAGCGTACTAATAAAGATGAAAAGAACAAATTAAGAAATTATGCTTTTAAAGCAAAAATATCTGAAAAATACTTGAACTTAGAATTCAGAGAGCATTAGATATCTCCATCAAAGTCCAAATTGATCCAATCAGGTAGTGATTACCTTAGAATTTGCAGGATAATCCCACTCCTTGACTAGGATTTAGATTACCCAGCAGCTAAACAGCACCAATAGGTTACTGACAGAAGCATAAACATAAAGAGACAAAAACACGAAAATACTAATACCCACATTAATCAATTTTTCAGTTTAAACCAAGTCAAGACTGAGTTTGTACCTTCAAAACTCACTGACACAAAACTAGTAATTCAGAAATGAAACTTGCTCAGTGTGCTTATGGTATATCCGAAAACCAATGAAATAGGAGAAAATAAAAAAGGGAAATTAATCAAAGTACCTGAGTTGGAAGAGTTTTGTTTAGATCGGCGACGGCGCTGCTTCTTCTTCTTCTCCTTATCGCCATCTTCAACCCTGTCAACCACAGCTTGTACAACCGCGCCTTTCATAATTTCAAGAAAAAAAAAACAAAAACCCAATCTCCGAAAGAACCCAGTAACGGAAAATAAAACAAAAGCAAATAAGATTGAAAGGAAGCTTTGAAAAACACGAAAGAAGATCTTTTTCAGAAAGATCTGAGATAAAATTTTGAGGCGTCTTCCGATTGGGAAAAAATATACGGAAGGAACCGCAAAGAAAGCGTGAGAGAGAAATTAAAGAAGTTAAAACCAAAATAATGAAACGGAAAAAAAAGTGAAAAAAACGGAGAGGAATAAACAAACAAGAAGAAGAAAAGGAGAGGGAAGAGGGAGTTAGGGTTTTATAAGAAAGTGGAAATCACAGTGAGAGAGAGAGATTTTAGTGGTGGTGGAGAACAGGGGAGAGAGGTGGGGGAGAAAAGGACATGATGATTGGTCGGCTAAGCTAAGAAGACATGAGGCGCCGACTTTCGATTCCTTTGTCTTTCCCTGTTCTCTCTCTCTCTCGCCCCCCCTCTTCTTTCTTTGCCTTTTGCTTTTCTTTTCTTCTCTTTATCGCTTCCTTTTCTTCGCTTTTGGTTTTTTTGGAAAATTTTCTAATTAAAAAGAAGGATTACATTTTTTTTGGTCAATCAAAGAGAATGATGACATTTGACACATGTTTGTGTTATGGTTGAGTGGTAAAAGAACACATTTTTAGTATGTGTGAGATTTTTTTAATAAGTATTTTATGTTAAGAGTTAGTTACATACTTCTAATTTTAAGCGTTGGATTGTATTCATTAAATATGTTGGTAGTCTCTTAGACGTAATCCAATGGCCGAGATTAGAAGTATGTAACCAATCCATAATTTAAATACTTATTTTAGGCGTTGGATTGTATTCATTAAATATGTTGGTAGTCTCTTAGACGTAATCCAATGCCCGAGATTAGAAGTATATAACCAATCCTTAATTTAAATACTTATTGGAAAATGCCCCCTTAGTATGAAGTCACAAGGGTGGACCTATGAAGAGGCTCCTAGTGTTTGTACTTTAGTCTTTATTGTACAACAAAATCCACTACAATTAAATATTAGCCCACTTATCTTTTAGAATTCAGCCTATTTTAGCTACCCAAATCTTTATTTTTTTCTTCTATCCACTAAATCCTACCATATTTTCTATAAATATACATATATATATAATCCTACCCTATAATATAAATTAGCCCAAAAAATTGTGGTTATAAAAGATCTCCCAAAAACAAAAATTTGCCCACATCTATAAAAATTCCTTGGGTGTGGCATTGTATGTGGTAGAATGGTTATAAAAAAAAAGAAAAAAAAAGAAGGGTTTTGTAATTCAAATATAAAAAGTATCAGTTGTTGGGTAAAGATGAGTAGAATCGTTGTTAGTGTAAGAATTCACTTAAGATTCGATATGAAAATACAAAAATGTAAATAATAAAAATAAAATTGTTAAGAATTTGGGCAATTTCATCAAAATATCATATGAAATTTGAACTTATTTCGACTGCGATCACAAAAAGCTTTTGAAAATATATATTTCATTACATTATTAAACCATTGAGGCAAAAAACTCATTAATTTAGTGGTTTGGAGCAATTGCTCATGCAAAAAAGATCTTGGGTTTGAGTTTTAATACTCGTGTAGTGTGTGTGAGTTTAGTATGGTGATCCTCGATTCAAATCCCCATAGTACCCATGAAGGTTAGTGATCTTCCAACAAATCATTTTGCCCATAATATAATTTTTTTTTCAACAATTATATATCATGAGATTTGAGTACTCCTGACTTCCTCCAATAAAGTAGAAATCAATGTGAAAAAATATAACGTAAAGTTATATTTTATTATTTAAGGCGATGCTAGAAATCAATTACTCTCTCAAATTATGTAATTCCATGCGTGAGAGTGGGATAGCCTTTCATTGTCCCCTATTTATACCTATTAACTAGCTTACCTAGCTCATTGCTCCTTATCTCGAAAGACTTGTTTAGTGCCACTGCCACTTTTGTTGAGGAATATTCATGAGATCATGCCACACATCTAGAGATATGTTGGAGCAAAATCATCTATATTGCTAATTTACTATTAGGATGCTTCTTTTACCAAATTCGTCGTCAATTATGCATATGGTTCAAACAATACTTTGCTAGGGCACAAACAATCATGAGTTTCTTTGACATGATAGCATAAATAAGTATATGGAGATATTTTGAATTTTGTCCCAAGAATATACTTTGTCCTTCTTTTTAAATGAAGACGCTGATTGCATCCTTACCTAAAATAATGTCTTTATCCTTAATCAGTTACGAGGTTTCTTAGGTGAACTTCCATAATGATTATTGTCGAAACATAACTAGCAGAATAATTTGAAATTCTACACACACATGTAAAATTGTGATTGTCGGAAAAATATTTTCGTTTAATGAATGTCATTTTACCATGGGTTGAATCCTTTGTCACTCATACTGTTCTATCTACTTATGGTCAAGATCTATTTGATTGCTTAAAAGAAAAGGAAATAAAAATGAGACAAGACAACTACTTAAACCAAACTTCGTTTCGTAATAATGAACACAAAAGAAGATAAAAGATTGTATATCTTGGTGCTTGAAGATACCAGCAAGATTAGTGCTAAAATTGATAAAAATGATGTGTGGTCAAATCAGTAGTGCAGCGCAATGCTTGCAGCTAATAGGTTAGGCAAGTATGATATGAAGGGAGGAGCATAGGGGACGGATGCACCCCCATCAATTATTAATGTTGCAAAATCTCATATTTCTGAAATTTTATTCAATTCTTTTTTGGTTTTATTTCACTCTTACATTGACCTACCCCTCTATAATTGATTTGTGAGTCAAAATATGTTGGTATTTGTCCAATTTCATAAGTCAAGTCACAACATTTATAAATTCACTTAGTAATAATAACGTTCACGTAATTAATCTAATTTAAATGACAATGATGTTTAATTAAGTGAAAAAGGACCTTTACTTACAGACTGGTCTCATGTTCGAACCCTCATGTCATGACACCTTGGTTCTATGTGTGAGGTGCCCTCTCCCCATTTTTAACTGTGGCAAAAAAAAAAAAATATACCTTTAAATGATTTAGCCCAAAAACATTTATCATGTGTTCGTATAATCACCAAAAAATAAAGGCCATAAGGCTTTTATACGTATACAAGTTTCAATTGGGTCCAATGACAAACAAAAAGAAAATATGTAATTGGGTCAAATTAGGCCCAACCACATGAGTTCACCCATTTACCCAAAAGATCATTCGGCCACATTTCCCTATTTCTAAGCTCTAACCCTAGCCCCAAAGATTTCATTTTGCATCTAAACCCTTCAGCCGCTTCGTCTCTCTCCATCTCCTCAGCGCCGAACCCTCCTCTCCTCTCTGATCCTCTTCGCAATGGCTGCTGTTGAACCTCCTGCTCCGGCTCCAGTTCCGGCTCCTGCTGCAGTAGAACCTACTTTGCCTCACCACGACGTCAAGCTCTTCAACCGCTGGAGCTTCGACGACGTCCAGGTTCTGATTAATATTATCATTGTTAGTTGATTTTCATACATGCCTACAATCTGTTTGATTTATTGCCTGTTCGGCCTCGAATTCGTTTTCAGGTGAGTGACATCTCCCTGGCCGATTACGTTGGAGTGGTGCCAGCGAAACACGCCACTTATGTGCCTCACACTGCTGGGAGGTACTCAGTGAAGCGATTCAGGAAGGCCCAGTGCCCCATTGTTGAGAGGCTTACGAACTCTCTTATGATGCACGGAAGAAACAACGGGAAGAAGCTCATGGCTGTCAGAATTATTAGGCACGCCATGGAAATCATCCATTTGCTCACTGACCTCAACCCAATCCAAGTCATTGTTGATGCTGTTGTTAATAGGTCTGTAGGTGGATGCCAATATGTTAATAGTTATTTTGTTTATATATTTTTTTCTGGGTTAATTTCATATTAACTTAAGCTGCTTTCTGATTACGTTATGGGCTTTTTGTGTTAATCAGTGGTCCTCGTGAAGATGCCACTCGTATTGGGTCTGCTGGAGTTGTTAGGCGTCAGGCTGTGGATATCTCACCCTTGAGACGTGTTAACCAGGCAATCTATTTGCTTACAACCGGTGCTCGTGAGTCAGCTTTCAGGAACATCAAAACCATTGCTGAATGCTTGGCTGATGAACTGATTAATGCTGCAAAGGGTTCCTCTAACAGGTACTGATCATGGGTTGCTCGTTTATTTTCAAGGCTAGTTTATTTTTTAGGGAGTTTCACTAAAACACCCAAAATGGAGGTTGAAATTATAAAAAAACCCAACACCCAAAACACTTTATAAACACACCCAAAACCCATCATTACACACACTCAAAACCCATTTATAAACACACCCAAAAAGTTGACTTTGGGGTTGATTTTGGGTGTGTTTCTATGTTTAAATAGTGCTTGGGTTTTTTTATAAATACATGTCTAGGATTGGGTTTATTTATAAATTTGTATATTTTTTATTATCTTCAGTTTGATTAAATTTGATTTATTTTCTTCTGTTTATCTGTAGTTATGCTATCAAGAAGAAGGACGAGATTGAAAGAGTTGCTAAGGCTAACCGTTAAGAGGCTGCAGGAAATGGTGATGCAACAAGGGGAAAGTTTTGTTTGCATTGGTTTATTTACTCTTTTGTTTGGAAACTTTCTGTTTTATAGTTGAACATGTTAGATTTTTATGTCGTATCAGTACCAAATTAGATCAGTCATCCATTTAGTTTGGATCCTAAAATCTTATGTGGTTGAATGTTTTTGGTGAATTAAATTTTGTTTCAGTTATGTTTCATTTCAGAAGTGGAATTGTTGTCTTTCTTTTAGTTTGAAATCTACAATTACCTATTACCCCTCAATTGCTTTTTTAATGTTTCTTCTGTTTACAAATTCTTTAGTTCGATTGTTTCATCATACTAGACTGATGCCCTGTGTCTCAATCTTGCATTTTTTTTTATAATCACTTGCATCTGAAGAAGTGATCTGCTGCTGGCATGACGGATTGCTGCTACAGGTTTGTATTGTTAATGCTATGGTCCTCTGGTAGTTAGTCATACTAATTGTAATCAAGTCTGGTAGTTAATTATTCATTCATACTAGGCTAGTGGAAGTACTAAATTGGTGATTAGGGTATGATCACTAGAGGTAATAGAAGTTATCTGGGTAACAGTACAATCACTAGTATAAATGTTATACTTTGAATGCAGAAATTCAATAATCAGTCAATTTCATATCTTTATTTGGAGTACCCATTTAATCCAAATAAAAAAGTTGGGTTGACTGCAGCTTTATTTACAGAGTACTGCTGTTACTAGTCTTTGCTAGATGTTTGTGTGCCTTTAGATCCTCTTATAAGTTAAACGGGAAATGATTTTGTGTGGTTAAACTTTGGTGTTGTAAGAGCAAAACCAAGTGGTCGAAGTTGAAGCGTTGCTTTTCTTCTTTATAGTTCCTACTATCATTTTCTCATCTCCTAAGTTTCTGCTGTTGAAATATAATTCAGATATGATAGTGTTGTAACATTGCCGTGTTATTTTGAGAAATGATACCTTTATAACAACTCTATGGAAATGTAACATTTCTGATATTGACTGACCTGATTGGATATTCTTGATTGTGTGGAGCGATTCCAAATACAGAGAAATAGATAACATTTTATCCCAATACTTATTATATAAAGTTATTTCAAATACATTGTTTCTTAGTTTTTGTAGTAAATTTAGCATTTTAGTCAAATCCAAATCATGTTTCTCAAAACTCTCCATTCAAATGGAGCTTTGTATATATTTTTTCTGGTTCACAAGAGGACAGTGTGGCATACTCTTATATACGACGAATGTGCAGCTAGGAGAGCAGCTACTTCTGAACTTTCTTACTTCAGCTAGCTGACTGGTTTACTACTGGCTTTCATGTATTTTGGAGAGATTCCAACTGAAGAAGAGAGTGAGAGCTGGAAATCTGCAAATTTTTAAATTTTATTTATTTATTTAAGGAATAGATTATGTGAAGTTTGGGGTTTTTTGGTCCAAAGAAGTTCGGGTTTATACGTGCGCCTACGGGTGATTGGCCTATGTCCGCTAGAGTCATTATATGGTGAGGGCCTTATTTAAGGTTCTTAGATGAAGTCGTATCTTTTAATTGTTAAATTAAACTAACCAATTGTTAAATTAAACTAACCAATTTGATCAAATGGTTAAGAGATATGGCCTCGTCTAATGGCTTTATTAGGCCCTTAATATAGAATTCTACATGTCCATTGAGTGACATTTTTTCTCTCTTTCTTATTTTTAAAAATAAATAATAAAAAAGTAAATTTAAATTTAAATTAAATTTGTGCTCTTTTAGAGTATTTGATGGTAGTGGAAACACCACATAAATTTCTCCCAAAAAGGGGGGAAAATGAAACTAAAGAGAGCATTCATATAATTGATCTCTTCTTTGACAATTTAGCTAATCTGAAGCAGTATAGCTATTTTATGATTTATCACCTATGGACATAAATATAATACAGGGTGACGAGAATGAAGGTAGGTTCACCTCACAATGTTGTAAGCGAAGTCGCAATCTAATTATTCAACATCTAATAAACCAATATATCTTTCTTCTTTTTCGTACATATAATATTGTGAATTTGACAGCTCTTCCCAACAGCAAATCTTTAAAATATAAATAGGATCCAACTTGTCATATTAGGCTGAGTATCACAAATTTCATAATAGCTTTAAATTCATTGTCGGTATTATAGCGACTGTCACTAGCATTCTTCTACGAATAATTCAATAGAAAAAATAATAATATTGTAAGAGTCGCCATTAGTCGCCTTTGTCGATTTAGTCAGTAACTAATTTATTACATTGTAATGATTAATTTAATGGTTCTCTTGGTCCAGTTTGTCAAGCTAATTAACATAAAAATTAAACCAGCAACTTCATAACGTCAACAATGACAAATTAAGAGACCGCCAAAATTCAAGCTGTGCGGCTGCAATGCCTTTGTATGTCCAGGTCAAATCTGATTAATTTTTGTTCTCTAATTATTTTAGTTATCATAAATATGTCTACTTGGAATACCAAAATAAGCATATGCATGTGGAGAATGGGGAGCAGCTATTTTATTTGCTTGTAGAAATCAGAAAAATTATGCAATATTACTGTAGCAAGCACAAGCGCTTTGAGAACTTTGGCTTCTTCCAAATCTATGGAATATCAATATAATTATATATGGCCATAACAAAATATTAAATATAGGCTGATTAGAAATGGGTTATAGGCCAATAGGCTGATTAGCACTGGGAGTTAGGCTAATTAATTATTATCAAGTCAATGATTGAACAAAGGGGGCATGCTCATGTGGATCAGTGGGTTAGGCTAGCATGGTGGTCACCCGGATTTTATGGAGATCAGAATAATTGAAGGCTAAAATGAATCTCCAGAATCATGATACACTATCACTTACTGACTTACAGCTATGCATATATACAAATTTGAACCACATACTATATTCTCGTGAGTCGTGAGCAATTCTTAACCGTTGATGCATTACAAACTCGCGCTTGCGCGCTTACGCAACCAATCTTATCATTACTCTAAAAACTTTCAGCAGCATATAGCAGGCAGCGAAGGCTGGATTGAATGTGACTTGCCAACCATCCCTTTGCAAGACTTGCACATCAAATTAAAGGAACAAGGCTTACATCAGTTTTGCACATGTATGATGTATGTTTGCTAAAAAATGACAAACAATAAAGGGAAAGGGTCAAGCATGATATGCCTTATTGCTATAATCGGATGACATCAAGTTCACTTCTAAGGTACACTGCATTTGTTCACATGTCTAAATAATGATCACATTCAGCAAAATTATGAGTACAAGCCTGTTATGATATAACATTCAGATTTCATATAAATGAATCGGCAGTTCATTACTACCAAGATCGATGTTGTCTTCAACTTAACTATATGCATAGTTCATTAGATGTAAGGTTTCATCAGAAAGAAGGTAAAGAAAGAGCTTCTCTTGTTTAATTCAAATATCATGTTGACTTGAAGACATGATGCCTTGCTTGTTAGTCGTTAACCTTTTCTTTTCAATAATATATCCAAAAATAGAACCCTTGTCATGTGCAATTTCGTTCTGCACGTGGAAAGATGCAGACAATGCAAGTTCTATATGTGTAGGGTAATGATGAGATGAATGGGGACTTGGATTGGATTCTGACGATTGAAAAGAATACCAGTGTCTATTTCATGAGCTCATACAAAAAAGATTGCATTTAGAAAGGGCAATATTTTTAAAAATAGTGTTTTATTTATTCTCATTTCGCCTAACTATGGACTTATTTATTCACAGTAAGTAAGAAATTGAAACACCATATGTAATATCGGTTGATGACTAAAAGCAAAAGAAATAACCAAGAGGTGCATCCAAAATCCAAACACGAAAATTAGTAATAAAAGCGTAATCTTAACTAATAATTTAAAGTAAAATTATTTTCCTCCCATTACTTCATTTACATTTTTTCTTTTCCCCTTGTGTTCCAATTTTAAAAAATAAAAGGGAGGGAAAAAAGAGCACCACTCATCCTCATTGTTTCTGTTCTCTAATTACCAAACCGATTAACCAGTTGACACGAACATGACCTTGAATTTCACTCATCGTCTTCTCCACTCAACTAAGCCATTCCAATTTCTGAAGACCAATCGCTCAACACAACACTCCAACACAAACCCACTTCCATTTCCCAATCCTCCACTCCTCCCCTTCACTCTTCGACCCCCAACTCGCTCCAACTCACTGTATGGACGAGTCAGCTCACTCCTCCCACGTTCCCATAGCTCCTCTTCAAGCCCATTCAGCACCCAAATCGTTCCCGAAATCTTCATCCTCTTCGCGTTCTCTCTGGTGCTTCTTGGCCTTCGGCTCTTCTCCAGCGTCCTATTGCCCGATTTTCCTCACCGCTGGCACGGCCTTGTGGCTTTTGCTTCGGAAGCTGAGGCCAGAACCAATGCATACCCTTCGCACCTGTGGCAAGCCATTGTTGCTTACGAGGACAGAAGGTTCTTTAGCCATTTTGGGATTGACCCAGTTGGGATTGCTCGTGCAATGGTGTCGTTTTCGGCTCTTGGCGGTGGTAGCACGATTACCCAGCAGGTACTTATTTTTTGTCGACCGTTTTACGCAGACCATGTGTTCGATGTTTTTACTCAAAGAAGTATAATTTTTGTTTGCTTTTTACTTGTTTAAAAAAAAAGGCTCTTTTTATTTTGATTGACGTGTGGAGTATAGGCAATATTTTATAAAGTATGATTGATGGTTGAGAATAGATTATATAAAAAATAATAGTTAAGAGGGGTATGATGCTATAGAGGACAATCATGTTAGAATAAAAAAATGGCTTTCTAGTTTCTGGTGTCTCCCTGGCACTGAAATCTTTACAGCTGAATCATAATGGCATGCGTAATGCTTTTATTATAAAGTAGGGTGATAAAATATAGAAAATTGGAATGATAATTGTGTGATTATAGATGGTCGGGATATAAAAAGGTGTTAATGCACGGCACGCCAATCTTCTTCGTTTAGCAAACGACTTGCTGAGGTTTGACCGGCACTGAGATTTTAATATATTGCCACCCCTGCTGATGTAGACGCCGAATAAACGATTTACATCTACTTTGTCCACCAATTAGGAACAAGTTGGTGGAGAGAGATAGTCAACGCCAACGTAAAACACGGAAGGAGAATTGGAGAAAAGACATGGAGATAACAGAATAGGCCATTTCCAGCCTCAACAACCCTTTCGTCTCACTTGTTTTTGCTCTTCGTTCCATCAAACCCCTGCATGGGGTCCTTCTTATTCATCCCTACTGCTTTCTTACTTTTTGTTCTCCTTGTTCTCGTCTCCGGTGGATCTTTCTCAGAGTTCATATACCCGAATTTCTCAGCTTCACACTTTCAATTCGTTGACAACGCCGGCGGTGCCTTCTTGTCCTCTCGAAATGGAACATTTAAAGCTGCTATTGTCAATCCAGGTGCTGAACAACCCAACTTCTACTTGTGCATCATCCATGTGGCATCCAACACCGTCATCTGGACTGCTAATCGTAATGCTTCCATATCAGCTTCTGGTAAGATGAATCTAACGGCTAAAGGTGTTAGCATTTCAGATGAGGATGGTAATCCCGTATGGTCAACTCCATCATTGAAGTCACCAGTTTCTGCATTACTCCTGAATGAAATGGGTAATCTTATCCTTCTTGATCAATTCAATGGTTCCCTTTGGGAAAGTTTTCATTATCCAACCGACACGATTGTGATTGGACAACACTTACCAGTTGGGTCATTTCTGTCCAGTACTCGATCAAATTTTTCAATTGGTGATTACAGGCTCATAATAAGTGATTCTGATGCGATACTTCAATGGCTTGGACAGACATATTGGGAATTGTCAATGGATACAAACGCTTATACAAACTCGAATTATATAGTGGAATATATGTCCATTGACAGAACAGGTCTTCATCTGCTTGGTCGTAATGGAACAGTGGTCGTGATTCAGGTACTCTTGTCATCTTCTGACTTGCGAATTGCCAAGTTGGAGTCCTCTGGCCAATTTACTGTCAAAAGTTTATCTGGTACTGACTGGAAGCAAGAATTTGGTGGGCCAGCTGATGATTGTCAAATTCCATTGGTTTGTGGCAGAATTGGTTTGTGTACTGCATCCACCAGCCATACTTGTTCATGCCCCGCAAGCTTCCATGCAGGTTCTGAAGATACTGGCGGTTGTGTGCCAAGTGGTTCTTTTTCTTTGCCGTTTTCTTGCAACTCAACCATTAATGGTAGTCAGTTGAATTCACCAGCCATTTCATATATCAGGCTTGACTACGGTATGGATTATTTTGCCAATGTTTTCTCTGAGCCTGTAAAATATGGTGTTAATTTGTCAACCTGTCAAGCTCTCTGCTCAAATGACTGCACTTGCTTGGGAATTTTTTATGAAAATTCATCTGGTTCTTGCTATACACTTAAAGACGAGTTGGGTTCCATTTTTGTGAGTAATACAGCCAAAAATGACCTGTTGGGCTACATCAAGGCTCTTGTTGGATCTTCTCCATCAAACTTCAGTGATAATAAGAATCCCAGCAATCAAAGCAAAAACTTTCCTGTAGCTGCTCTGGTGCTTTTGCCGTTCAGTGGGTTCTTTCTGTTGGTAGCTCTAGGTTTCCTCTTGTGGGGAAGACGGAGACAGTCAAAGGAAAAAGAGATAAAATTAGGGCATTTTGGTTCACTTTCTTCAGGGGATATGGATGCCTTCTATATCCCAGGTTTACCTAAGAGGTTTGATTATCAAGAACTTGAAGTGGCTACAGATGATTTCAAGACCCTGATTGGGTCAGGTGGGTTTGGTGCTGTGTATAAGGGTGTTCTACCTGATAAAACTGTTGTAGCTGTAAAAAAGATAATAAATTTAGGTGTTCAAGGGAAAAAAGATTTCTGCAGTGAGATTGCAGTAATTGGTAATATTCACCATGCCAATTTGGTCAAACTGAAAGGTTTTTGCGCCCAAGGGAGACAACGCCTTTTGGTTTATGAGTATATGAATCGTGGGTCACTTGACCGCAGTCTTTTTGGTAGTGGACCAGTATTAGAATGGCAAGAGAGGCTTGATATAGCACTAGGGACAGCCCGTGGGCTTGCATACCTGCACAGTGGGTGTGAACAGAAGATAATCCATTGTGATGTGAAGCCAGAGAACATTCTCTTACACGACCACTTTCAAGCAAAGATCTCCGATTTTGGCCTTTCAAAGCTTCTAACTACTGAACAGTCTAGTCTATTTACAACTATGAGGGGCACGCGTGGCTATCTCGCCCCAGAATGGCTTACTAACTCTGCAATCTCAGAAAAAACTGACGTCTATAGTTTTGGAATGGTACTACTTGAACTTGTGAGTGGAAGGAAAAATACATTACGCCTGCAAAGCCATAGCCTGAATAACAGTAGCAGCGGTGGGGGTCAGTCATCATCGTCATCTGGGTCAGCACTTGTTTATTTTCCTCTATTTGCTCTAGAGATGCATGAGCAGGGGAGGTACTTGGAGCTTGCTGACTGGAGATTGGAGGGACGGGTGACAAGTGAAGAGGTGGAGAAATTTGTACGTGTCGCATTGTGTTGCGTTCATGAGGAACCGGCACTTAGGCCAAATATGAATACTATTGTTGGCATGCTGGAAGGTGGGATCCCTTTGGGTCGGCCAAATTTGCAATCATTGAATTTCTTGCGCTTTATTGGGCGTGGATTTACTGAGGCTTCTATGATAGAAGAGGGAACTGAGCAAATTGATCGTGTGTTGTATCCAGAGGCGAATGCTTCTCCTACAACAACAACAATGGACTCGCGTAATTACTTCTCTTATGTCTCTTCACAGCAAGTTTCAGGCCCAAGATAGTGTTGAGTAGTTGAGCAGCTTGTGTATAGTTAATCGTGATGAGAATTAAATGTATGTGATTTGGATTTTAATTTTCTTTCTCACTATATTGGAATCTACTGTATAATTCTTACATCTTTCCACAAGGTTCAAGGTATGTTGAATGCTGTAGTTTGTGCAGTTCATGTAAAGAGCTCTTTTGAGAAAGTAATATGACTTAATTGTGTGGAAATTAGATGTAGCAGGTTTGTATTACTTTGCCATAAATGTTATTATGAGAGATTTCGGAGTAGATCATGCGTTCTTAGATCTTTCATATGAGAGACTGAGAGAGGTTGTCATGGATGTGGGTAAGGTGTTTGTTGATGGTGGCCACAGAATGCATGAGGATGCCTGTGGTGAGATGTTCTTCTTTGTACTTTTAGCAATGTTATCATATATATGGGCATTGGTTGACAATTTCCTTCTGGATCAGTTGTCTTTTGCTTATACTCACTGACCTCTTCACTAAGCACAGTGTATTTCATGTATTTCCCCACTTGTAAGCCTGCGTTTTTTGACCTTTTGTTTGCTAAGAAAAATATTGTGCCTGAGATATTAGCCGATAGGTTTACGCATGCCACTATGTTTTCTATTAGCAAACCTGATATGTCCTCTGCTCACTCTTTGCCTGTTTGTGATACACTCTAAGAAAGTAAAAAGTGGCTTTGGATTTGTATTACGTTGGTAGTGTAAAGGGGTTTCTTTTCTATGTTTTTTTTAATTGAATACTGTTCTTAACTAATAAGAATTTATTTTGTTGTTTCAGTATTCAGTTTTACAAATATATATTCAACTGTTTTTTTTCCTCTTTCACTGTCTCGATTAACGATTCTGTTTATTCTTACTGCTTTAATCCCACATGTCAGCTGGTGAAAAATACTTTCCTTAAAAATGAACGCACACTCTCAAGAAAAATGGTTGAGATGGTGATGTCACTAGCATTGGAGAAGACAATGTTAAAAGGGCAAATATTGAGCTGCTATATGAGTAAGGTAAAGTATACTCCTTTATCTCATCATTCATCTCTCTGACATTTTATATAATATTTGTGTTTAACATCTTTATCTACAAGTATACGAAATACAAGATTAGTTATCAGGGATGGCCTTTCTCAGTTTTTTTCTTCATCTCACTCATGTAACATCAATCCCTCACCTAACTCTGGATGGTTACATTTTGGTACTAAGATTTATGCTTTTCCCTATTAGCTGTGGTATGGTATGCTAGGCACAAGTGATTCTGCAGATATCTTAAGATAACCAGTTATAGAGATCTTTCTTTCCTCACCTGAGAGAATGAAGTTGCAAGTGTTTGCACTTTCAAATGTTTTCTCTTCATGCAGTTGGAGATTTTTTCAGTCGAAGGAAACTAAAAGTTAGTGAAAAAGGAGGCTGGGGTGCAACAAGAGAGGTTTTGTTTTCCCTCCTTTTTGACAAACTTAGAACTTAGAAGCTAGGTTTGGTTTTTCTCAAATTATAACATGAAGCATGAGAAAACTGAAATCAAGGCGGGTTTCAGCTTGGTTCATTGGGTAGCCCTGTTGTGAGCTGTACACCTCTCTTTTCCCTGCTTAATTTATTTGTCTTAACTAAACAATTGCCTGGTACCAAGTAAGCATTTGAAAAGATTACTGTAACAAAGACACTACATATAACAGACCTAGGTGTATGACAGGTATACTGGGGACATGGAATTTATGGGGTTGAATCAGCATCAACATTCTATTTTGGGAAGCATCCATCTTGTCTAAGTTTGGGGGAGTCTGCAATGCTTGCTGGGCTAATACCTGCCCCAGAACTTCGATCGCCACTCAGGGATCCTTCCAGGTTCGTCAGCGCTATTGATGATTTGGTTCCTTTTTCATTTTTTGCTTTGTGCTACTACCTTGGTAGTTCCATAATTATAAACTTCTTGTGCACTTTGTGATTTTTACTCTATTCACTATTTACGTTCGGGTTTATTTCCAAACTAATTGTCAACGCAAACTTTTACTATGTCATAGAGGAAAAACCTTCCAAGCCAGAGTTTTGAAGAGGATGGTGGACGTAGGCTTTCTTGATTTTGAAACAGCACTTTTTGTCGTGAAACAGTATCTTCCTCTGCATGTTACTGAGTCAGAAGCACCTGTTGTCTTTCTCCCGGGAGGTATGTGTTTCCTATAATTATTGCAGTAGCAAGTTTTCTGAATCCCAGATTCTAAACAAGCTGTGGCTCCTTAAAATTGTTTAGAATTTTGTATGCGATATTTCTGTCATATTTTGGGATTCAGTGAATAAGAGGTCATGGGCTTATATACAGCTGTTCTATATTCATGGGCCAAACAAATAGGCATTTAATTTTAAAAAACTTTTTCTTTGGGTATAAATTTGTCATTTCAGTATTTTTAAAGGACTTAATTACTGTTTTACCCCTGGAACTCAAAATCGATCTCACTTTACCCCAACTGAAAATTTCTCATTTAAACTCCCATTCTCCTCACTCTGTCTGAAAAGTTAATTCAGAGCATAGGGTAACTTTTCCGATGGAGTGAGAGAATGGGAGGTCAAGTGAGACATTTTCGGTTCCAGTGGTAAAGTGAGACCGAGTCTGAGTTTCAGGGGATAAAACAGTAATTAAGCATTTTTAAATAGACCTACTCTTTCTTAGAAATCGATGTCCCCAAAAAAAAAGAAAAAAAAAGCCTTTTTGATCCGTTTGATTGTTAGTTGGGAAGCTTACATGGTTGGGTAAATTTAATCCAGTTGGTACAAACTCCAAATTGAGGGACATATGGGACTGGGAAACAGAAAGCAAAATCTGGGAAGCATGTGAGGATATGGAAAGATGGGTCCTCAAGGTCCGGGACGGAGCCTGAGCAAAACGTTATTGTTCTCAATATTAATTGTGAGTGATCCTACCATTAAACTAGTTCTTCTGGCCCCTCTTGAAGCTTTGTTGCACAGATTTTACAGTATACATAGACTGGACCACCTCACAAGCAATATATTACCTTCGAAGTCTTGTTTTCATCGTCATTACTAGCTATTTTATGACTTGGGTAAATTACTCAAATAGTCCTCAAACGTGTGCTCGATTTACATTTTGGTCCATAAATTAAATTATTAGTTCAAATGGTACATAAACTCTATTTTAATCGCCCATTTGATCCAACCGTTACATTTTCTGTTAAATGTAACCAAATTTTAGGGGCAAATACGACTTTTCATAATTAACAAATAAAATAGGGTTAAAATAAATACAAAATTAGAAAATAATTGAAGAAAAAAGAAAAAAAAAGTGTTTGGTCCCTTTGACGTCTCTTCCTCTTCCAATAGAACCCATTTCTCTGGAGAACTCCAACACCCCATTCTCAAATTGCCTCCCATTATTAATCCCATATGAGTAAACCCCTCCTCCAATCCCCTCTCCCTCATCCCCACCACTAGTAAACAAAGATCCATTTCTTAAGCCTGGCAAGCTGTATCCATGTGGCAAGGACTGAAGCAATTCCGTGAACAATGGTGGCTGTGGAGGCAGGTTCAAATGGAAAAGTGGGTCATAGAGAACCGAACTCGCTGTCCCTGGTGGGGTGTCAATCCCACCGTGGACATCTCCGAGGAACCCCAAAGATTTCGGAAAATTCGAGCTTTTCGGGTTGGGGTTTGTGAAGGTAATGGACGAGTTTTGGAGAACAGAGGAGGGTGAGCATGTAGGTAAGCTGAAAAGGTTGAGAAGGTCAGGTGTAGGTGGGTATGCACCATTAGCACCATCTTGCAATTGTTGCTGCATCTGATCATGGACACCATGAATATTGTCCCAATTGGTTTGTTGCTCAAAGGAAACCAAATGGCTGCTGTTGTTGTTCTGGTCAGTATTGGTGTTGTATAGATTGAACCCAAGTTCATTTTGGAGCTCAATTTCCATGGCAGCATGATGATCTTGTTGATGAGGGTAGGAGAGCTCTTCCATGGAGAGTCTCAAGTTTTCTGCAACAGCAAAGCTGCTGTTGTTGTTGTTGTGGGTTTCTTAGGGAGAAGGCATGAGAACTTGTGGTGGAGGTGGCGGGGGAAGAGGGTTGAGGTGGAGGACACTTTCTGCTGATTCTGGCATGGAGTTTTGGTCAAAGTTGCAGCCTACTGTATCTTCATACATTTTTGGACCAGTCTTTGATTTGTCTTATAAAGCCTTTTGCCTTTTATGGGTCTGTTTTGTCTCTCTGCAGCATTTTCACATAAATGGGGCTTGGGATGGAGGGTGGTTGTTGGATGGAATTGGGTGGAGAGTGGTTGTGGGATGGGTTTGGGGGTTGGAGCTTGAGGGAGGGAGTTTTTATTTATTTTTTAGTATTTATTTATTTTTAACATATGAAATGGCCAATTTGCCCTCATATTTAACAATAACATTGGCAGAATGTAATGATTGGATCAAATGGGCAATTAAAATAAAATTTATGTACCATTTGGACTAATAATTTAATTTAGGGACCAAAATGTAAATCGAGTACAAGTTTGAGGACCATTTGAGTAATTTACCCCTTTATGACTTTATGTATGCATTGACAAATTAGTTCTTCTCTAGATTTTTGTTTCTTCCGAAGTTCTAACAATTATTGATGGTTGCAAAGGGGTTTGTAGCTTAAGTGTTTTTCATTGAGAAGTTAAGTTTAATCCTCGGATATAGCGACTTTGACTTTTGTGCCATATAGGATTACATTCCATTTGAAATATTTTCTTATGTAATATTTTTATTTTTATTTTTTAAAATCATTTTTTGTTCCAATATTGCCCCTTAAATCTTGAATAGCGTAACTGTAATTTATGTGATAATGACAGGAAAGAACTATTTATGACCATAACTAATTAACAAATTAAGTGCTTATAACCATAATGATTTTGGTATATTAATTACTTTTTTTTTCCCTTCTTTTAATTGCATCCATAATTTTGTATATTAACGTTGTCTTTTTTTTTCTTCTTCTTCTTTTAACCCAAAAAAATGGTTGGCTTTCTTTCTTATTGTTTATGACCTCTTTATTAGGTAAATTGAAGAAAAAAAAAAAGTATATTGAAAAGAGTGCTGCTATTTTTGGTAAAAAAAAAGAAAAAAGTGCTGCTATTTCTACTCACATGTCTTACTTTTCCACCCACTTTATGTTCAAATTTTTAATAACAAATCTACCTCATTGTAAAATGACTTCTGAGGACAAACTTACAACACTCTCTCTCTCACATGCACCCACACCCATATTTTCTTTTATTGTTTTTTTTTCCAAAACCCACACCCATATGCAATCAATTTAGGAGGCTGTACAGCCACCTCTGTCGCTAGTTTAGGTGTTGGTTTCGGATGGTCTTCCTGGACCTCCTTAATGCTTTGTGGGGAATTTCTCTTTAGCTGGGGTATAGCGCCTCCAGATGAAACATCCTCTTTTGAATGCTCTGTACTTTGGCCCCAGTGGCGTTAGAATGATATATATATATTCATTTTTGGGTTGCAGTGGGAAAATCAACTTGGTGGTGGGGATGGCTGTGGATGGGAGAACGATATGTGGATGTGGGTGTGATGGTCATGGTATTAACTGTTGGGTTTTCACTAGAGGAGAAGGTTGGGGGAGGGGGCGGGCGGGCGGGCGAGGTCAACTTGGGTTGGGGATGAGTTAAGTGAAGAAATTTTTTATTGTTTTTTATAGAATTTTTTATAGGCTTAAGTGCTACAGTACCCTTTGAAACATTGGTCAATTCTCACTTTACCCCCTCAAAGTTAAAGTGACCCACTTTACCCCATTGACCGATGTTTTGTGTCTCACTTTGCCCCTCACCGTCAAGTCTATTAAAAATTCTTTTAAAAAAGCTGATGTGGCACCAATGGGACCCACTATTTGGCTAAACTAAGTGCCATGTGTGAAAAAAAAATATTAAAAATTAAAAATTGCCTTTTAAAATTCTTAATTTAACTATTAAAAATAAAAATAATTCTTTAAAACAAAAAAAATTCCCAATTCCCCTTCCCCAACCCCATTATCCATTCGCAGTCGCCATCACCACAATTACGACAACTGCTGCTCTCTCTTCCTTTCTCACAGACCCAAGTTCCACCCTTGAAATTTTGTGTTGAATTCGTTACCTACCAACTTCAACATTTGATACATCTCTGCCTCAATCCAACATCTTCCACTTTTAGCAAGACAAAACAAAGATTCAATTAGACTTTCTATGCATGCCAAAGCCCTAATTTGTTACACCAATTTTAGAAACATGGGCTGTATAAAACTCAGACCACCCTCACTTCCAGCCGCAACCCAAGCCCCACTCCTACCCCTAGCCCTTAAATCCAGCAGCCCCAACCCTCTACACAGTCGTCGACAACCCAGATGAGCCCTGGCCTCTTTTTCTATCAAACCTCCAACAGCTACAACCCACCATCTCCATCTCGCTGAATTCGGAAGCCATCAAATTTGGTTGCAGACCTTCGAACACAAAACATAAAAAACAATGAATTTTTTTCTTCTTTTAATTTGTTGGTTTTTGAATTTGCAGAGAGGGGGGTGGTTGGGTTTGGCTGGGGGTGGGTGTGGGACCTGGGTTGCCACTGATGCTGGGGGTAGTCTAGGTTGTTGGGGAGAAGAATATACAGAGGGGAGAGGGAGATCACAGAGAAAGGAAAGGGAGAGAGAGAGAGAGAGAGAGAGAGAGAGAGAGAGGAGAGAGAGAGAGAGAGAGAGAAGAAATCTGGGAAGGGTGGCTTGGGGATGAAGATGATGGGTTTTTTTATTTTTTTGTTTTTTTAAATTTCTTATATTTAAATATTCATATACACCTAATTTATTAAGAGAAGGAATATTGGTGGGGGATGAGTGAGGTCAAAGCCTTAAATCCATAATTTTTAAAAGACAATTTTTAATTGTTTTTTTTTCACACATGGCATTTAGTTTAGTCAAATAGTGGGTCCCATTGGTGCCACATCAGCTTTCTTAACAGAATTTTTAACAGACTTGACGGTGGGGGGCAAAGTGAAACACAAAACATTGGTCAAGGGAGTAAAGTGGGTTATTTTAACTTTGAGGGGGTAAAGTGATAATTGACCAATGTTTCAAGGGGCACTGTAGCACTATAGCACTTTAGCCTTTTTTTATATATATATTGTAATGGCAAATATGAAAATACAATTAAAGGGTATTTTAGGTATAATAATAGGTGGAAAGATAAGTTTGAGTTTTTTCAAATTTACATAGTGGGTGGGAAGATAAGGTGAGTGGAAAAATATGATAAAAAAGCAAGGTATATGTTAGGTTGATTATATATTGTCTCATACTTCCCCCAATAATCAAGTACAATCCTATATTTACCTAATAAGTTATGTACATAATCTCACATTTACCTAGTAATTAGGTACATAGTTTTATATTTATCTAATAACCAGGTACATTAGAAAATTGTACCTATATATGTACATATATTAATATAAAGCACATTAGCTCATACGCTACTAGAATATTTGGGTTTCAGCACCATTTTCGTATGTGCTCTTAGCTGCAAAAGACACAAATAATTATGCTCTATGTTCAAAGGCCATGGTGCAACCACTATTTTGTCCAAAAAAATGGTGCAACCACTATTAGGCTGACGGTGTTGTCTATTGGTATACGACACGAAAGAAAAATTCATGTCAGACAATATAAAGTACGAAAAACAGTATTTGTTTCCGTGACTTTGTCAATTGATTAGACATATGTACAAAGGCAATTATAAAATCGTTCTCAATGCTATATATTTTTTATATATAAAAATATTACAACCCAGGTGCTCACGCGCCTAGGCTGGATTCCACTTTTTTTTAACATTCAAAGGTTTCATTTGGTTCACGGAATGGATTTGAGGGGAAATTACTTCATATATCATTTCTCAAGGAATGAGAAATGAAAGATTCATTTTCCACGTTTGGTAATATTGGTAACGTAATTGAGAGATTCACTTTGTTTCCTTTCCCATGTTTGTTTTGAGTATGAATGGAAAACAAAGTTTGTATAATTTTTCAATTATAACCATATTAAATCAAATAAAAAAAGAATGCATTTAGGACCAGTTTGGTATTACTGTGCTGTGAAAATAATCGCTGTCAAATTTACTGTGAGAGAAAGTAGTTTGACATTTGATAAAATTTTTGTTGAAAGTGTTGTTGGTATTGATTTTACTCATAATCAGAAAATGATTGCTGATTAATCATTAAACCCAGCTTCTCTTCGAAACTGATTCCTACATAATCAGAAAATGAAAGCACCTCATTAGCTGCTTTTCCTTATAGCTTTCTCTCACAACAATTTTTAACAATAAATGATTTTCTCACAGTTTACCAAACGGGTTTGGCTTCCCAAAATTTTGTAAAAATCACTTATCACCCCCAAATAAGCAATGCCAAACTGGCACTTAATGATACATTGTAATTCAAAATTTTTTATGGGGACAAAATAGTCATGAAAATTGTGCATTGAATGTTGGCTCATTTTCCCAAATTTTCCCATGAGGAGGGAAAACAAAACCAAAGTTGAAAGGAGGGCTTCACTTCCCCCTTTACTTTCCAATGTGCCAGACAACCATTTCCCATTCCTGGACTTATCAAACATGGGAAAGCAATTGAATTTCTATTCTCAAGCCTCTTTTCTTATGAACCGAACGGGGCTTAAATGCAAACATGCATGAGCAAAAAAAAATGCAAACATGAAAAACTCTAAATAGCCTACAAATGCAATGACAAAATCTTTTTTTAACAAGAACCAAACAACAACTTTTGAAACAAGGAAAATCACCCACAAATTCCTAAATGAACTTCAAAAATGATAAACAACAGAGTGCATTAAAGACTGGTTGCAGCCCTGTACAACACCTCGGGTTGATAGTGATACGACACGTCGTTTGAGTTGTTGAGAAAGTCGAGGATAGTGTTGTCGTCTCCGGTGGTCTTAAGGATCTGGA